ATATTATATATGTTCCACAAGCTTACCATGGTTTTCAAATTCTCTCAGTTTGTTCACTATTATTATAGCATCCTAGCCAGAGATCATATGCAGAGAATCTATTATAGTATATTCCTGATACCATACAATGACATGCATATATCAACAATTATAAGGATGCTGAATCTTCAAGCGCTGCAAAATCAACCTCATCCTCCCAGTTATCCTCTTGTACATTCAAGTACTGTAAATCACATGAGTTTAGACCAAAAGATTGTAAAATCTACCCCTTATTGCCAAAGGAAAACACAGCACTCGAGGAATTCCTTAACAACAACCTTTGAAAAAGATATATCAGACCAAGCAAATCTCCGATAGCTTCCCCCTTTTTTTACATAGATAAAAAGGACAGATCTTTACGACCATGCCAGGACTATCAACAGCTTAATAAACAAACAATCTGAGATCCCTACCCACTACCTTATGGTCCCTGACCTCATAGACAAACTTTGTGGGACGTCAAATTTCACATAATTAGATCTACGGTGGGGATATAACAATGTCAGGATCAAGGAAGGAGACAGATGGAAAGCGGTGTTCAAAACCCGCAAAGGACTCTTTGAACCCACAGTCATGTTCTTCGGCATGTGCAGCTCCCTGGCCACCTTCCAACACATGATGAATGACCTCTTTGTGGATATGATAGACGAAGGATGGTTTATCATATACATGGACAGTATGCTCATATTCAGCAAGGAACCAGAAGAACACATCCTACGAACAAAACGGGTATTGCAACGCCTACACAAAAACAACCTATACCTAAAACTAGAAAAATGCACGTTTGATGTAGCCGAAATAGAATATCTCGGCATGATTGTCCGTCACAACCAGGTGCAAATGGACTCAGTAAAGCTGGCAGGAATCCAAAATTGGCCTGCACTCTGAACTTGCAAAACCGCTCAATGCCCTACTGGAAAAAGGAAAAACTTGGAACTGGACAAAGGCCGAAGAAGACACATTTGCGCTGCTAAAACACTGTTTTAGCAAGTTGCCGGTCACTCAGATACCTGATCTGAACAAACCATCACAAATCGCGGCAGATGCATTCAAACATGCAACCGGAGCAGTGTTAAACCAACCAAATGACAATGGAGTATGGCATCCATGCGCTTTCTTCTCCAAAATGTTATCCCCAGCCAAAAAGAACTGCCAAATATACAACAAGGAACTGCTTGCAGTCATCAGAGGATTAGAAGAATGGAAACATTATATCCTAGGCAGTGCCCACATGGTGGAGATACTAATGGACCACAAAAATCTCACGTACTGGCAGGAAGCCAGAAAGTTGACACTACGGCAAAGACACTGGCAACTTTTACTCTCACAGTACAATTATACCCTGAAACACGTACCAGGAACACAAATGACAATTCCGGACAATCTGTCCAGAAGACCGGATCTATACACCAAAGATGAAGAACAGGACACACCACTACTCCCAAAAACCATTTTTGCCGCAGTAGCAACCACTGATCCATTTTTCACCTGTATACAACAAAGTTCATGTGAAGGGAACAAATTATAAATGCATTCGGATCCCAAGGATTGGACCATCAAAGATGATGACGTGTTTTACAAAGGTCGCCGTTATCTTCCCACAGGAATTGAGAGAAGGGCATGTATTCAACAACAGCACAATTTGATAACAGCCGGACACCCTGGACAACTGAAAACAACCCAATTAGTAACAAGATACTACTATTGGCCAGGTATGACACAAATGATCAAAGATTATGTCACAGGGTGTGCCACATGCCAACAAAGCAAGGCAATTACCAACCTGATCAAAATACCCATCCAACCAATTTAGGGCTGAAAACAACAGAACCATTCAAAAACCTTTCCGTTGACTTCATCACAGATCTACCAAAAAGCAATGGATATGACAGTCTCATGGTCATGGTGGACCATGGCCTTACAAAGGGGGTAATACTATCACCCTGCAGGAAAACTATTAACGCATTAGGAACGGCTAAATTATTTCACCAACACGTGTTTGAAAGATTTGGACTACACGACAAACTCATATCCGATAGAGGACCACAGTTTGCATCAGAAGTTACCAAGGAACTGGCCAGATTACTCAAAACCAGAGTTAATGTTAATCTATCAACGGCCTATCACCTTCAATCTGATGGAGAAACCAAAAGGGTAAACCAGGAGATAGAGATAGAAACATATTTGCGGATTTTCTGCAACAATTTACCACACTCTTGGACAGAATATCTCACGACGGCAGAATTCTGCCACAATCATAGACCACATCCGGCACAGAATGAATCACCATTCTACCTCATAATAGGATACCATCCTAGGGATCTCCCCACAACACCAATAATGACCAACATATTGGCTGTAAGCAAAAGACTATCCAGATTACTGGAAGCAAGAACCATAGCCTTACAAGCCTATGAACTAGCAAGAGCACACATGCAAAAATACTCACAACATCCGTTACCCATGCTTACAATTGGACAAAATGTTTGGCTAGAAGCAACCAACCTAAAGAAGAAAGGAACACCCTACAGAAAGTTCAATCGGAAACAAGAAGGACCCTTTATCATCCTTGAAAAAGTATTGCCGGTTAACTGCCGACTAAAACTCCCAAACACATGGAAAATCCATCCCGTATTCCACGCCACTGTTCTAACCCCATACAAACAAACCAAAGTCCACAGAGAAAACTATATAAAACCACTGGCGGAGATAATCAATGATCAAGAAGAATACAAAGTAGAAGCCATTCTACGCCGCAAAAAGAACAGAAAAGGATACCTATATTTAATCAAATGGAAGGACTACCCATCGGCCAAAAACTCCTGGGAAGAAGAAGCAAACCTACAGAATGCTTTGGAAACCCTGAATGAATATAAAGAAAGACACAAACTGTAACAGATGCAACAAATTCCCCTCATATGCACTTCCACCAGAACGACTATGTATCAGACCCACTACACTGACCCACAAACCTTTCCCCCTCAGTTTCCCTGTAACAACCAAGAGTTTCTTACTCTGGCACACAACTCAGACAAGCATAAGAGAGAAGAGAAGAAGGGATCACCCCCTAAGGTTTCAACGGGTTTGTTGTGCTAGACAACAGGAGGACTCGCTGAGTCCTTCCCCAAGATCTATTGGGGTTTATATACTAATACAGGTTTGTTTGTACATATGTACTGTACAGTTGCTAGAGGCAGTGGCTGCTGATGTCATGGGGCCTAGCCCGTGTGACCAGCTCCACTGCATGGGATACTTGTAGCTAAAATAAGAATAGGGCAGCACTGCGCGAGAAAGGTGGAGTTTTGAACTAAAAGGGGAAGTGCCACATGGCACAGTGTGAAAACTACAGTACAAGGTTAAAGCGGAGAATGAAAATTAAAGGAAAGGTCCAAAAATGAAAAGTAAGGTAAATGGTCACATGACTGGTCATGTGACTTGGAAAAAGTAAAAGTAAAAGTATGAAAAGTAAAGTGTGAGTAGGTACTGGTACATTAATTGTAACATTTCCTCATACCTTGGCGAACCACTGGTGATCACGGAAGCACAATGGGCACACCGCCCCGCCCTCACTCGCGAACAAACCGACATTGAAGATGCCACTGAATTGATGTCAGATAGGCGCGCTTACTTTTATCTATTCCACCAGTCTAACATCACTTGCCCTAATGCCACATACCCCTTGGATACCTTCCATTGCTGGCAACAATTGCTCCTTGTTCCTGACAAACTACACGCAGTTACTTTGCTCATTGAACACTTGCAGATAGAATCCCTGGAACAACGCTTGAGGAAGAACTGCAAGAATGGAGAGAGAGAAGCGGTCGAAGCCTTCCTATGTTTAGGAGGTCAGACAGTATGTGACAACACAAGGAATACCCTCGCCTAATGAGGGTATCTCACCTCCCCTCCCCCAGATTTGTTGTCCCTACCAGCCATGATGGGACATGCATTTCCAGGGCACCACTCTCCACACTCACCGCCGCCGCCACCTCCACCAACATCTCGCCCATCACTGCCAGATCTTGTTCTACCCGTGCCTGCTCCACTATCCCCATCACGTTCCTTCACAATCAGCCCAACAGTCCCCGTAGCCAACACAGCCGAACAATCACAGGACATATCAATTCCTACACAGCCAGTGACACCCCTCCCCAACTCCCTCAACCTCGTCACAACTGCCAACTACGCCGCCAGCGCCCAGAACCGGTACTCCTTATCCCTTCAGGTTGCACTCCCCACGTACAGCACATGAATCAGAGACAGACCCCCATGTCGAGCAACGGCTCGTCTCCAGATGGAAGGCTGTTAAGGGGACAATGAAGGTGACACCCCATCTTTGGGCAATAGAAGCAAAAGGCCCTTGCCTATCTCGGACTATTCCAATTCCACTCATTCACAATCCTCTTCCAAATGACGACATTGCCCTCATATTTGACACTGTTATGCCTGTCAAATTTATGGCCATTGTGCCATCTATTGTTGTTACCATACTTGTTCCATGTGCAGACTAGATGCCCCCGGACACTGCACTAATGAATGTAACCAACAACGGAAATACCCCTTCACCCCAGATAGTTGGGGATTAGATGATATGCATAACGACTTAGACAAAAATGCACAATACAACGTAGACGGAGAGTTAGGAGACTTTGGAGCAGTCTGAACATAATGTTACAAACTATGTCTCTTATGGACTTTATTTTCCTCTCTGAGTAGCTATGTACCACTACTCATTCTTATTCCCACACTAGTTACCTGTTACGGTTTCTCACCCGTCATCATTTGTTCAACACAAACACCTACCCTAAAGTAGGACAGTATATATAGATGCCTGTATTGTAGTAAACATCTCCAATACAATTGTACACTTCAACAGTGCAACTTGGTATTCATCAGTAAAATCCTCTTCATCAGAATACGTCTCAAACCCATTACCTACGAGTTTATCAGAAACTGCTCCATTACCAGAAACCCCTCTTATTACCAGGCTTGCCTGTCAAGCGTTTAAAGGTCTGCATCAGAGCATCTTCATCTTCATCTTCTAGTTCCTCTTCCATGCTATTTCTGGCTCTCTTATGAAGAGCTTCATCTTCACTATCAACATCAGGCCTATCCAAGTCTCCTTCTTCCTCATCATCCTCAGCCTCCACCATGTGAGCTGCTTTCTGACAAATTTCTGGGAAGTGTACTATGTAATAGACATGATACATAACACATATTAAATGACTCACCTGCTAGCCTGTCAGTATTTGCATCCTTTCCAGATGCTTGCAACTTCTTCATCAGTTGGCTATATAAGATTTCTTCATCTCGTGTAAGCCCATCAGAAGAGTTTGATGTCCTTTGAGCCCTGGAATGTCTAGTTAAAGGCTTCTTGGACTTAATCCCCTGAGTTTTGTTCTGTCCAGATCTTGTGCTAGCAGCCCTCACCAAAGTAGTAGACAGAGACAGAGGTAAAAGATATAGAAAATGAGGAATTAGCAAACAGTGGAATGTTTCATCCCTCACACCTTTCAACTTTCTTCTCAAAAGTGAAACAACAAACAAATATACACTAGTACAATTAGTGACAAACTCTGGATGAAACAATTGGTAAACATCTAAGAGTATCAAGGTCAAAAAGACAAAATGCAGTACAAAGTCCATAGTTATCAATGTAAATAAGAATGACCAGCCCATCCATTTTGCCTATTACTCCAATTATCCATCTCCTTGTCAGTTTGCAAGACAATTGAGCCCCTCTGCCCTCTGGAATGCAAGTTAAAATGAGTTATATCACATCAGCAAAAGAGCACAATATCTCCCTCTCTCATCTGCAATCAATATGGGCAGGAAGGCCATAATAACTGAGCACACCAGGTGCAAACATGCAGTTCACGTTCAGTGGTAGGTTTTGGTGTAAGCTAGAAATAGTTGGGATGATTCTACTAATCACCAGCTGTCCACTAACAGTAGCTGCATGACATTGTTTAGTTAGCATACACGCAGTAAGAAGTAGTACACTTACATTCAACTGGCCACCTAAAGACATTGGCTATCTCCCATGGCGTTGTTCCATCTATTTCACCAAGTTAAACCCGTAAGTTCAAGCCTGCAACCAAAACAAGGGCATAGATAGATCCTACATAGATCTGTAAGTATGGTTTAATACAGACAAAGGTAATCTTACCACGGGCTGCTATGGCTGCAAACTTGCACCACATAGCATGCCATTGCTTAAACCATTTCTTAGATGGCTTGGGCTGAGGGAGATACCTTGCTGAGAGCGAAGACTAGCATACAAACATTAGAATGAAATGATAATTATTTGTAACAATTTTCACTTACCTTTGGGACTCGGCAACAAGCTGGATGTAGCTGATTATCAGCAAAAAGTTGACACCTATGTCTTTACTGGTCATGCGCCAACAGCGCACCACAACAGAAGCCACAGACTTGTCCAGGTAGTTATTGGTGGACGTAACAGAGGTCAACAGGGAGTTGACAGAGTGTGCCCACTCTCCTGAGTTGAAAATTGAGGAGTCTTCATGTGCAGCCGCAAGTCGTGCTATGAAAGCGTCGACGGCCGAGTTGATCCTAATAGCAGGGTCGTTGACTGCTTGCCACAGAGATTGCTGGACAGCAACTCTACCCCTTGGACAAGGCCGTCAACGTGCAAGAGCTGGAGGAGGGGCAGGAGCAGGTTATCGACATGCAGGAGATGGAGATCGACAAGATCAATGTGCAAGAGTAGGAGTAGGAGCTGCAGCAGCATATGGGTGTTGATGTGGTTGGCGTCTTTGTGAGTGTATCACCGTCAGAGATTGCATTGGCATTAAGAGGGGAGAGCCAACATACCTCTTCACCAGAGTGGGCTGGGGATGATGTTGTTAGGTCTTGGTGCATGGTGACAGAAGGTGGGCTGTCAGAGAGTGATGATGGAACTATTGAGGATGAAGCCACTTTGTCTAGCAGTGCAAGAGAGGTCAGCAGGAGTGAGCGTGCTTAGGATACCCACCAGTTGGGCGTGAAAATCCATTAGCTCTGTTGGCAGTGGTTGCTGACCCAGTATCCGAGCAAGGATCTTGACCTGTAGTGCCAAATCAGTAAATCTGTACATTTTCAGTATACTACAAAGACTGTGGGAAAATGTATGGCAGCCTAACCTTGGTTACACAACAATATAATAAGGTGTTGCAATGCTGATAACGTTAAATCAGCAATCTGCTGGACCGTGCAAGAATGGACGGTCAGACTGTCCATTTTCACATGGTCCAGTATTGTTGTTCCAGCAAAGATAAGATGAGATCACCCAATGAGCCATGAGAGAATGGATGGTCAGGCTGTCCATTCTCTCATGGCTCATTGGGTATTCATTATTGCAATCATATGCAGTGGGTGCTGATACTGAGATGGAATGAACAGAGACTTACTATTTTTCTCATAGTGATTATCAGCTTTTCACAATAGCAACCTGTCGATTCCATGCAGTGTGAAAAAAGAGATCAGCTGTTTTCCCCTTTCTCACACTGCATGGAACAATGCAACTGCACACATCCAACTGTGGATGTGGGCAGCTCTTCGCTTATCATCTTTTGAATCATTCTCTTCCTTGCCCGCCCGCTAACACCTATGTATTGGTGCAAATATTTAGATATGAGGTGAGTTTCCTGGGTTTTTTTAAACTACTTACTTGGTTGGCTGAGTACTGAGACATATTTCAGCAGAACATCCCATTCTTAGTCTGCAAAAATGCACCTGTCCTACATGTACACAATATCCTCCACTTCCACTGGAAACGGTGCTACCTACTGGTACACCCCCCCTATTACTTGGTCAAAGTCCTCTCCTGGACCAGAAAGTAAATCAGTTATTTAATTTCAAAATTACCTGATGGCAATGCACAGCTACTCAACAACAATATTTTGCCACTCTCCCGAGTAATCTATCAACATCCACTCTTTCAACCTCCATCCACACTGCACCAATTGCTACATCTGAAGATCAAGTCCAGCCCATCATTGAGCAAATCGTTAGGAATTTGAAGTGTAATTCTCAGGACGTATATGTCCAGGTGAGAAATCATTGTCTGGCTACATTCCTGATCTGATTTTTCCCCCTAGCAATTCTATATTGAACCATCAAGTTTCCCCAAGTTTGTGGACAAGCTCAGAGAAACTAACTACAGCACTCTAAGGTATGCTTTTCATGAGTGAATATACTGTACTTATGTCCTTACTTCCAGATATATGTATGACCATGTGAAAGGCATCTTGCAACTGAGCATGCCTACTCCTGTATATGAAGTTTTCATTGAGCGCCTCAGTAAACTTTTACAGGGGGAACTGTCATGCCTTATCAGACGGTCAGATGGGAAGTTCAGGTTGAGTTCTAATACATCCAAGTTTCTCCAGCGAGGTCAAATCACCACTGTACCCCACTTAGCCCTCAAGTTCCAAAGCCTTAACCCTAGCACTGAGTGGCAGGACTTGTTCATTTCCCAGGTCTGCCACTCCCAGTTACTTTGGGACATCACCCAGAAGGTGAAAAAGTACTGGGAGGAGCTCCCCCACCTTGTTGGCATTCTTGTGGTCAAATTCTACGAGTCCCACAAATACGCAAAGCCTCAATATGGGTACGCTGAACCCGTCAACATGCAGTATTGGTACAACTTACAAAAGGATGACAATATCAAATATGGCCCTCTGAGGACAGCTGATGGTGTAACATGGGTGGGTAGATTTGTGGTGGATATGTACCTGTATGAAAAGGACCCAAAGGTTGTAGGAAAGGAAAGCTATGCACAGCATCTTCCTCCGCCCGTAGTACTGGTGTGTCCCTTCTTGATCTTAACTTTCTTTGTCTAATATAGCATACATACAAAGGGTAGTACCTAACATAGATGTGGGCCAACTCTATCCCACTCAAACCCAGGAAGACAAATTCAACGAAATTTTCAATTGTGTTATCACCAGGTCAATTTTGGAGATGGAGAAAATTATGAGGAGTGCGCCCCAGACTGTCGCTAACCCAGAAGCTGAAAGTGCAGCTGCTCGAATAGCAGCGATAGAGCATCAGGAAAAATGGGGGTAGCTATATAGAGCTCTATAGCACTATAAGTACTCATAAAGCTGTTATAGTGGTCAAACCTGTTATAGAACCTCTGCCATCTATAGAGCCTCATATAGCTCTATAAATGCTCTTATAGATGTTGGAAATTGTTGTGTGGCTGATAAAAAAAAATTAACACAGACAGGATTTGAACTTTCAACCTGCTAGTCAGCTCTTGGGTGACTAAGCAGCCTATAGCCACACATCACATTTATCCACTACACCATGAGGGCTTATAAAACATATTATACAGGTGTTATATATTGACCTTTTATGGACTTAGACTAATTTTTTACTCGTTGCCACTACTTATATTTGGATAAATCATTATTTTTATTTTGTGAGTATCAGGGATACAAACTACTATTTCACTAATACAGGCTACATAATTAATTAATACTGTATGATTTATTAGCCCTTTTAAGCACCTTGAACTATATTATAACTATGACCTTCACAGCTATAAGAGCTATGTAGGCTGCTATAGGCTATAAGAGCACTTATAGTACCTTGCCTATAATAATATACTTGAATCCAAACACTTGTGGCCTCTTTCTATTATTGAACAAGTTTGTTGGATTAATCCAGAGTTTGAGGGAATTATAGATACTTCTCCCCTTGGTTAAATTTTTGCCTGCTACTGTGCTATAAGAGCTATAAGAGCTATGATTGCACTGATAGTACTATAGTTTCTATGAATGTGTTTATATATATAGGTAGTGGCTATATAGCACTATATAGCAAAAGGGTTTTTCCTGATGAGGTTGCTACCCAGGATTTGATAACAAACCGCACTGGTCGTCCTCTTCAAAGTGGTACCCATTCATGCACGCCCACCACTACTCTATCTACTCCCCATTTGCACCCCCAAGTATTGCCTAAAGAGATATCTTCCATCAATCTCTCAGTCTTCAATATCCAGCTAGATTTTGACGATTTTCTTCAGGCTTTTCAAGGATCTGTAGCTGATCTGGCACATGGATGTTTTCAAGATTATTATAATGCCCCCCAAAGTCGTGCTAAAGCAGCTAGGAGAAGGAGTCCTTTTCACTCTGAAGAAGAAGTGGGTTGGCTTGTTCGACAGAAATTGGGTGTAGGGATTTTTACCTACAATAAATGAATCATACTCATCTCTCCTCATACAAATGCCTTGGGCCCTCCAGTGAGAGAGGATCTCAGCCATCACCTTGTGTCTTCCACCACTCTCCATTCCCTCTAATGCCTCTTGTAACAGCATTCACCACGCCAACAGCATGCTAATATCTCCAACTAGGAATGTACAATAGCCAAGGCACCTTCGACTATTGTAAATGCTCATATAAGCCTCCCGTTTCTCCCTCTCGCGGTACAATTGCCTCTCATGCATATCCCTAATGGAAAGAGTGATTTGAACCTCTTCTGGAGTATGTGTATCTGGTAAATCATAAGGAGGGTCCATATCCCATGGCAAAAATTCTGGGAAATCTGAGGGGTTCTGACCCAGAGACAACTTGGGATGCAAGGTGGTTATAAAGTCGGGGAGAGACTTTGCAGCAAGAATAATGAGTGCTGGAGGTAGAGGAGGGTGGGTAATGTTTGATAGCAACAACTGATCTTGAGGCATAGTTGAAGTTTGTCGCCCATGAGTTTTAGCATAGGCTCGAGTGTTTTGTTGCTTTTGTGTAATCTAACCTCTATGTATATATCAGTGGAGAAATTGAACTGGTAAAACAAGTGGGCACCTTGGTGAGAGGCTATATGTATGCTTATAATTATGACCGATGTCTTATTGATAAAGTGTTTGATATGGGATAGCTACCAAAGCTTCTTTATCCTAGGGTTACCGGAAGTTTACAACCTAAGCTGAATAATGGGTAATAACCTAGTTTGTTCGTGGGGTGGAAGTTAATTATCCCTTTTGTTGTGAGTATGTCAATAGTCCTCGTGCTCTGGAAGACTAATATGACAATGGTAGATATGTCCTTGGTGATATAAAGGACAAGTGGTAGTATGTGAATAGAAGTGTGAGGGTATGTGTGAGTTTGAAGTGTTGCGTGACTAGCTTTAAGATATAGCCAACACTAGGTGTGACAATGATAGTCCTCACTTGTTGAGAGACTAATAGAATAAAGATAATAGTGTCTTACACTTGATAAAGGACAAGCTATGGTACACTGATGGTCGATAGAAGGGTGAAGTAATACTTGACTATGCTTCAGTGACTGACTGCAGATGAGCTTACACCAGATCAATAGATGACTGATATAAGTTTGAGATGGACTATAGAATACTAAAGCTACTTGTGGCAAATAATAAATAATCACAGACTGTAATCACACTTGGACTACTGTTATCTGTGACAGACGTGACTTGACAACTAAGCTTCCTAGGGTGGGCAATACCTCTTGTATGCTGCCTAGGCAAAAGCTAGTTGACTCCTGAGTGGTTGTCCACTTATGTGGGGACTGCTTGTAAGTAAAAGCTTTTTTTTATTAGGTGGAAAGTTGGCCTCCTTATATACCTTTTGGCTATAGAGGCTCCTTCCTAGTTGGTAATTACAAATGGTAGTACCGAGATATCTAATGGAAATTCAAAAGGCCAGAATCATCTATTGGGGACCTAGATGATTCTAGAGTGATCTTTTTGAGACTAAGAATAGAAAAGTAATTTGAAAATGTGGAGCAAAATATAACTCAGTCAGGCACAGTGTTCTATTTATAAGAAACAAATGCCAATTCAGCCTTCTCCACAGTAAAACAAGAATTTTGGAGAATTTCCTTATTTGGAAGCCCTCCAAAAGTATCCAGACTAATAGGGGCATGAAAGTATTACCTACTTCCCAAAAACCGGAGTGATTGGTGAAGTGGTTGTTGAGAAAAAGGCAGATTATGTCATGGGAAATTCACTTTCCCTTTTCAGAAACTGACCAAGCCATGTGGTCAGATTTCAGGGTGGCTGCCAGTGGCTGACAGTAAGCATGATACAAGCATTCTTGTTTGGCTCATACCTCCAAAACTAGCGGTCATCAAAATATAAAACTTTGTGACATAGTACTTTGGAATGTGTACTTCAAGATGAGGTACTTTTTGCGGGGTACAATATGTTGTGGAATGCCATGTCCATACATGAAACATTTTTCATGTATGACACCGGCAGCTTTTTTGTTGGCTAAGGTGAAATACTTGGCCTTACAACCCATAATGATGGAAGAGTTTCTGTAGATGGAGAAGGATTCCTACCTTGCCACTACTTCTTGTCTAGATAGTTGAGCATGTAAAATTTATCATATACTTTTTGGTATCAAAATTATGGGGCTATTGCTGTGAGTTCTCTGGTCCTATTTTAGGGATGCTGGTGTGAAATCTGATCTGTGCTCTTGAGGTATGTTTTGATATCAGTAGGATTATTATTTGAGCCACTATTGGCTAGAGGTGACACTTACCAAATTTGAACATACTGCAGACATGCTTCTGCAAACAATTTGTTGCTAGTCACAAGCCTCCTACAGTGAGCTAGCTATTATTCACTCCTTGTCAGTTTTGATCAGGTATGTAATTCACTCCGCTATGTTTTATTGTCAGCAGGATGGCTATGAGGATGGTGATTTGCTGAAGGTCACCTCTAGATCTCAGCTCGATTGTAGGAGTATGGTGAGCATTATTTTATTTATTAGACATTCCTATGCAGGCACCCTGCTGACCGGTATCTTGACTTTATATGGCTTTACACCTACGCTTTCTTGCACAAAGGCAGACAGGTGGATCCATCCAAGATGTCCGCTTCAGTTGTATTTCAGGTCGTTTCTGCAACTGCAATATACTCCAATTTCCCCCCCCCCATCCTCTACCCCTACTAACTGCTTTTCCCACTTGCTATGGCCAGCCTACCATTCCTCAGCATCTCTACTACTTCTGACTCTAATGGGCGTCAAGGAGCAAAAAGAAGCTGCATGTTAAAGTAGTGCATGTAGCAGCAGAGGAGGTGCCAGGCCACTTAACTGGTAAGATGAGAGTTAGATTCTAATCCTATCTAGCACTTATCACTGTATCCCAGAACTTGCACTTCTATTTTGCTACCTGGTACAAAATGGTGAGCCATTACAAAATGATCAGATTGATTGAAATAACGGTCATTAATACATGAAATGTTGTTGCCACTCTCATCACCCTTTCTAGATGAAAATCTGTCCAAAGGAGATTACATCCAGGAGCAAGTCGGTGGTGGTTTCCTTGACTTACCTCTCACCTCCACCCAGCTAAGAACCAGCATCAAAGCTACACTGCGGGATTCAGGAGTTGTACAAAAATCCAGAAGCCGGCAAACAAAACTAGTCAAGAAAGTTCCTCGCAATCCCATCACTGCGACCAGCCAAAACTACACTCCCAAACCTTTCACAGTATGGCTGATACTTCCTCCAACAGATTCACTACCAACAAACAGTGCTGTGCCAGACAAAGACTCAATCCGCCAAGGTCTCTAGGAGGCTCACAAGGGTAGCACAGGCATGATTAATGATGACCTCACAATATCAGAACAGAGAAAACTTGTTAGGACTTCAAGATGAAGGACCTCAACATTTATATTTCAAGTCTAGGCCTCACATGCAAGGTACATATTACTATTGTTGTACTGGCCTTTATTTATTCAATAATTTCTACAGCTCAACTACTCAAATCCATAGAGCCCGTTATTATAGGTGTTGGGCCGCTGTCAGATTCCCGACACCCTTTTAGACAGAGGAAGTTTGCAAATCAAAATACCAATAATGAAGGCTTACCTAGCCAAGTAGATTAACCTGCAACTAAGAAATGTAGACTGTGTCCTCAACCAAGTGCTGTGTCTATTGACAGTGATGAGCCGCTTGAGGTTGGAAAGTGTGGTGAGTGCAATTGTCCTTCCTTGAACAGATCCACTCAAAGTAGCCATTGAATGTCACCCTTCAGAAGCCAAGAAGGCCAATGCAAACCCAAGAATGACCTAGAGATAGAGGACAAATGTAGGGATTATAGGTCAGAAGGTTCCAACACCAGCTATTAGAATGAGGGTCTCTACAACAAGCATAAGGCCGAAGGTTTGATATCTAGGCATGCAGCCAGGAAGCGTCCCCGTTGTTGGGTCCTCAGCAGGATAAGGTGACACGCATGGCGGGAAAATCAGTATCAAAGGCAAAGGGCCGTGCAAGGTCTCCCAAAATAGCACAGCTGTCCTCTTATGGTCTTCCCGATGATTGCCACAACAATGTCACACCGCTGTTCTCTTCTAATGCCTCATCAAAATCATCTCTGGTGCCCTTTTGTGCAGCAGCAGGGCAAGTGCACTCTTCTGAGAAGCAAGCCAGTTCATTGCCAAGGGACACACTGTCTTCCACCCACTCCCACATTGGCATATCACCATCATCCCAGGTGTTTTCCATAGCAGAAACAGAGCAAGTGCATACTTTTAGAATGTGAGCAAGTTTATCACCAAGGGATGACATGCCTTCTATTTACTTGCACATTGATGTCTCACCAACACCCCCTTTGCAAGTCTTAGGAGAATTGCTTTCAACACCCAATTGCATGCCAGGCAATCACTCTTTAGGACAAGCATCTCCTTCTGGAAAACAAGTCAGTTCATCATCAAGAGATGCAATGTCCTCACCTCATGTTCACGCCAATGCCCCACCGCCACCTTTGCGAGCATCAGAAAATCCATTCCCTGTGCCTGCCATACATAATGATGGCTATATGGAGCACAGTGAGATTCACCAAGTTCAAGATGGCGCATGCATGAACTACCTTCATGTCAGCTTGCTCCGAGACAGGCAGCTACAGTCTGCTACTCAGGGTCACTGGATTTGTCTGCTCGCATATGCAGAGCCCCCTCAATTTGTAGTATTTGGCCATGGCTATGGCCAAGTAGTCACAGGTGGCTACCCCTCTTTCCATGGGACAGATGTAGCACCAGTGTTCTGTTTCCTCAGGGAGATGCTTATAGGCAGAACCCAGTGGTGTACCAGGACTCTGGTATGCTGTCCTGACCTTTTGGCAAGGCTTATTGCCATAGGGACATGGGTCCAATGGATGGGATGGATGGTGTGGGCAAATACTCAAGTATTTGTTAGTTTTGGTGATCCTGCACCTTTGTGCTACCTATATATTTTCATTCCTTTCTCTATCTATTCTTCTATCATTCACTATTGATTGTGTTCTCTATTATTTCGCCTTTGTGGCTGCTTTGTTTACCTTTGTTTACAAAACTTCGGACAGTACTACAGAGTCCAATGCTTCCTATTCTCTAGTTACTCACATTGGACTCTAGTTCCAGTCCCTGATTGCTCTCAGCAAGTGGCTAGACACTTCCTTCAAGCTTTGTTCTTAATAGTATTGGCTGTAGTAGAGGCCTACACGGGCCCCCCCCAGTGCCACATAAAGTTGTAGATAACTTGAAGATCACTCTGGGACGTTGAATTCTTGTGCCTGGTACAAATTTTAAACAGATAGTAGATAGAGCTTTATATTATAGAACTTACTGACAAAACCGGATAAACCCGGTCTCTGCCTAGGAGTCATTATACTGTAGCGAGTAGCACCTTCGACTATAAGTAGTAGGGGGTTTAGTATAGGAATACCTCAGTTGTTTCTATAGCCTCTCGGGCAGCGGCTGAGGTATGTTACATTACATTTATTAGAGATCACCTTAAACTAACATCTATTGTAGTTTCACTTAGGTAAATAATAAAGTTGTTTCTATAGCCTCTCGGGCAGCGGCTGTTTCACTTAGTTTTATTACTTACCTGTTAAACCTGTTGATTCACAGTCATTGGAGTTCATTACTATAATAGTATCAAACCTAGGAGGTTGTCCACCAACATTTGAGGGTTTTGCTTTTACAGCATCTATCTGGTTATCAAACAAGTCCACATTGTTTCCAAGAGTCTCAAGGGAGAATTTGAATGAGTGGAAAACATTAAGATTTTGAAATGGCAGAGGATAAGACCTTGTTTGTGCTCTGGAATGGGGCTGCTATAACCTTGAATTATAACAGGGTTTGAGTATGTCCTCAAAGCCTGGGCAGAAGTGCTTCTCTATAATAGATATAAGTGATTGTTGGGATTTGCTTGGATTTTTTTTGATAATGATATAATGACCCTGAGACTTGTCACAAAAGAAAACATCTTTATTGTCCTTTTCCATGTCATTTTAAGATAACTCTCAAATGCAAATATTTTTTCCTTACGCAACAGCCAGGTGATCATTTAAGGAGCTTCATTCCTTTTATTGGAGGCCCTCTATCCATCTTTAGCAAAGTCTATATAAAATCTTTCAAACATCTCCATATTGTAGCTGTTGGTGGTGCCAAACTGTGTGATAAATGCCTGGTAATGTAAGAGGGAATGAAACTTAGGTATGTTGAAATGGTCCCTAACTCCCAGACAAATAAGGATATCTTTGTGTTGGTGAAAAAATTGAGAGATTTGGCAAGGTAGCCCAAGGTGATATCATCATGCATTGGGTATTGGGCTATCTAAATAAAATCTAAAAGTGGTTGATAGGTGATAATAGCATGACATAGAAGTTTGCCAATAAGACAACCCAATAGTATCTTTGCCATATCTTTCTGTTCCTTCCCCCCCTATTTTACCAAGAGCAGAAAAGCCATTTTTGTAATAACAAACACCAAAGCAGGGAAAAAGTGCTCTAATGTGTGCATCAAGTTCCTCAGGATCTAGTAGTCACTGGCACCAGGTCATCATGTGCTTAAAAATGCCCTGGTATAACTGGTGGAGGATATTAGGAGTGATTGAGATATAGATGCTACAGTGAGGAAACCCAGTCCAAAAAGGCTTGTAGATGGATCCAGATACTAGTTGCTCCTTGCACCTCTCTTGAAACTGATGGAATGAATGTGTATCTTCCTTAGCCTAGTTAATTACTGAATCTGTCCATTGATCAGTATGTGGCTCTCCTGCAGTAGAGGCTGAAAGCTCTTCTGGAGATTGTTTGTATTTGGGGCAAGTACCATATTTTGGGTGCAGTCTGGTGTTGAGCATTTGCTAGCCAGCGGAAACCAAGTGCGTGCCCCAATCCTGCAGGCAAGCTCCTCAGGCCGGGGTAATAGACAGAATCAAACCAAATGTCACACAGCCCCCAGTGTTAAGGGGAGTACTTTAGCTCAGCAGTTGGTGTGGAATCACTGTTGATTAGAAATTATATACAACTTTTTCTTCGTTTTCCCCTAACCAGGCCGGGCACTTGCCTCCGCCAGTCGGAGAAAGGTTGACAGCTTAACAAGCGGACCACCCCCTGACAACCGTTTGGACCAGGGTTTATTACATTACTTTTATATATATTTCAAATACTATAGTGTGGGTAGTCGGAGATTGAGATCCAATACTCAGCTGGGAAGAGGTAGATCTGCAAATAGCAAGCGGGGACCCCCAGTTACATTTTTTTACATTTACAAAGAGAACAAGTTGACATGTCATTGCAAGACCAACCCAATGTCAACACTCTGTTGCACAACATGCGTGCACAGATTTCGGCGTTAACTAGGCAACTCGCCGAGCTACAGGCAAACCCCATTGCAGCAGCCCCCTCGGTTGAAAAGAAATCTAGCAAGAAAGTTGAAGTCGTTGCTGACCCCGGCGCCTTTGAAGGAGACAGAGCGCAATTTGCCAAATGGTGGATCAAACTCCAAATTTGGGTCAAGGCAAACTGGGATGCATTTAGCAACTGCGGTGCTATCTCAACTAAAGGGACTTGTGGTGGGTCGATACGCCCAAGTAAGACTCCAGGAGTGCTACACCGCGGGTGTGTGGCCTACCTGGGACAATCCCAAGGTTAAGATTGAAAAATATATCAAACCACAGGCTGAGCATGACTGGGCTTGCCAACAAATCTGTTCCTTCAAACAACGAAACATGAGGACAGATGATTACATTACCCGGTTCCTGGCCCTCTCCATCCAAGGAGGGCTTGGCAATGAACATGCAGTAGAACTGCTGGAGTGCAATGTGAACCCCCACATTGCAGAACAGATCTACTTGCAGGATACAAGAAGCGACAACCTGGCCCTGGCGGCTGAGGAAGTACAATGAGTCGGTAGAGCCATGGAGCTCTATGCTATGCACCAAGGTGGCGGGTCCACCAACAAAAATAACCATTCCCAGAGGAGCCCTGGGTCATCAAACCAAAAGAAAAATCACTCTCACGGGTTCCAACCATTTGGGTTGCAACTAGGGCGGGGAGCCCCAATGGATATTGGCACGGTCCAGGGCGGACAGACCCGCAGATTCACCTGCGACAACTGTGGGCAGGAGGGGCACATGGCCCAACAGTGTCCAAATAGAGTGCAGGCCCCCCAACAAAAAAATAACCAAGGGCGCCAGCCGCGCCAATTAGAAGCTGAAAAGCCAGACAATCAGCTCAATACTCTGGCCGGTTGTTCATATGATGAAATCTGGGCCTTCTTTTACGACCAGCAGGTTGCTGAGATGAAGGCTCAGGGAAAAGAGTTTTGAGCTTAGGTCACTTGGGTGCCTTCGCTCCTATGAACAATGAAGTAAACCACAACAAGGTGGCCCCTGCTCCGGGGTGTTGCACAAGCAATAAAGGAAAGATGGGGGTGGCTCCCCAATTTGTAAATAGATTTTTGAATTTGTTGTCAGAAGTATGTACTTGTATGAAGCATTGCAAATGTAATATTTATGATACTACCGCTGCACCAGCGTCTCCCTTGGAGTGTGGCCCCGGCGAGACAAACACTAGGGTGCTTGATTCTGGTAAAAATAAAAATAAAAATATAGAAAATCCTAAAATAGAAAAACATGTTTCTTTTGATACTTCTTCCTCTTCTTCTTCGGAGCCACTTTCCACAGAAATCCCAAAGTGTGTGTTGATGCACACATATTTATTCCAAAAGGAGATCCACTTAGATGTTGGTGTGGAAAACCTTGCCCTGGGCATAGTACACCCAACTAGCGCACTGCTTGATTCAGGTGCTAACAGCATCTTCATAAATCAGGTCTGGGCGAAGCAAATTAGACTCCCCCTTGAAAAATCAGATATATCTACTTCCCTCTATAACGTTGACAGTACGCTTAACGCAGGTGGCTGCATTACACATAAATGTTCTTTTGTTGTCGAGTACCAAGGACACAGAGAACAAGTCACCGCTGAAGCTACCCAACTAGGGAAGATTAATATAATCTTAGGCTGGACCTGGCTATTTAAACACAATCCTGAGATTGACTGGCAGACAGGGGTTGTCACATTGTCATGTTGACCACAAAAGTGTGATGACTTGGGTAAGCCGAGTCATGTCCGTCAAACTGAGCTTGATGAAAGGATAAATGCTGGTCACGTTTATGCTAAGCTTAGATCTTTAGAAAAGATTGACGATGACGATGACAAGGTAAAACCCGAGGAAGAGATTAAGAGGCTGGTACCTCCCAAGTACCATGACTTCTGGAAAGTCTTTTCCAAACATAAATCAGAGCGCTTCCCAGAGGCTAAGCCTTGGGACCATGCTATAGATTTATAGGACACCTTCAAACCGAGGAAAGGACACATAATACCACTCTCTGCTCCAGAAAGAGATGAAGTATCAAGTGTTACAATTGACGTACCAGTACCTACTTACGCTTCACTTTTTGTACTTTTACTTTTACTTTTTCCCCCTAAGAACTGGCGAGTGCCATTGGGAGAAGCTCACAAGACTCCAACAAATGGCCCATAAACTCAACCTAGAGAGATGTCAAGAGGCTGGAGAAATTGTTGGGAAACCACAAAAACAGCTCTCAAACGCTGGTACCAAGTGCAAGCAAGGAGGTGCCTCACAGGGTGGAAGAGGAACTGCCCCAGCACAAAGAGGCCATGGGGGGGTGCGGGGTCAAAGTGCAATGAGCCGAGAGATTGTTGAGAGCTTTGGGGATGGGCAGTATGAGTAGATAGTACAGTACTCAGTGGCTCAAGGAACATGTTACTATATTCTCTCCAATCACTCAAAGTTGGTCTTTGTCTCCATGTTCATTGGATAAAGGTGCAAAGTGTACAAGAACAATATAAAATCTATGCTAAGAAGGACATTCTCAAGCTCGCTGTGTCAGACAACGAGCTCAAATCTTTCGAACGTCACAGTGTTGCGTAATGGGCGTGATATTCCTGCAATGCCAGGAGGTGCTGACATGTACAGCAATGACTCTAGACTCAGACACGTGGCATTCCGGGTTGTTGGTCCTTTTGAGTGCGGCTGCCGAATCCACACCACGAGAATAGTGACAAAACCGGATAAACTCGGTCTCTGCTAAAGCAGCCATTGTTCTCCATGGAGAATAGCCACCACTCCATGGAGTCACCATTGTAGTCCTAGGAGTCATTATACTGTAGCAAGTAGCACCTCCGACTATAAGTAGTAGGGGGTTTAGTATAGGAATACCTCAGTCGTTTCTTTAGCCTCTTAGGCAGTGGCGGAGGTATGTTACATTACATTTATTAGAGATCGCCTTAAACTAACATTTATTGTAGTTTCACTTAGGTATATAATAAAGTTGTTTCTATAGCCTCTTAAGCAGCGGCTGAGTTTCACTTAGATTTACTAGGTTATGGGCCCTGGTGGCGCGAAAGCTACGCAGGAAATAATTCTTATTTGAAACGGCAACCTCGGAACCATGACCACAGCACATAATACATCCGCATGACCAGTTCTCACTGGACCCAACAATTTCCAGATATGGAAACTCCGGATCATCTCAAAGCTACGTCGGGAAAAGGTTCTCCAAGTTGTTACTGGAGAGGAGCTTAAGCCCTCACCAGGAAAGCCTACCTCCTTGGAGGATCCTGAAATCACCTGGATACTTAAGGATGAAAAGGCACATGGAATCATCCAGGATCATATCTCTGATGCCCTCCTCATGAGGACTGGAGACCTCACCAGCTCCAAGGAGTTATTTGATAAACTTGACTCACTCCATCAGACAGACGTCCAACATTGCCTTGGCCTTCTATTCATTCCAGCAACTCACCAAATTATCCTGGGATGGGACATCACCTATCCAGGACCACATTTTGAAAATGCGGACAATTGATTCACACCTCTCCAGAATGAAACTACGAGTTGATGCCAAACTCATGGCCTTTGCTCTTCTCCAATCTCTCCCATGCACTCCTGAATGGCAAATATTTCAGTCATTGGTAATCAACACGATTGAAGAAAATAAACTTACCTTTGATACAGTTGAGATCCGGATCACTGCAGAAGTTGCACAATAGTCAGGAAAGGCCCCTGGAGGTTCCAAATCAGCACTCAAGTCCGAGGAGAAGTGGTGTGACTTCCACAAAGTCAAATCACACAACACCTCGGAGTGTTGAACACTTCAGTCAGCTGGAAAAGGTCAAGAGAAGAAGGAAAAGGAAAAAAAACACAAGGATAAAGGAAAAGCAAAGGAAAAGGCAAATATGGCGGAGCAATCATCTGGATCTGACTCTAAGGAGAAATAGAGTCATATTGCATTGGAACATGTACATATTTCCAAGCCCCTTGCTAAACACATTCAAGCTTACCTTGTGTTGGAACCCAATAAGACCAAAACAACAATCATCATTGACTCCGGAGCAACATCCCACATGGTCCCTCACCGCTCCTGGTTTGAGCCAAGAACATACCATGTTCTGCATCCTCTGAGGACAATCAGTTTTTGGGGATGAATCCTCTGTAAATGCTATTGGCATTGGAACAGTAATCCTACAAGCAACTGTTGGCAAAAAGGACTACAATATTGCACTGTCAAATGTCTTACTTGTGCCAAACTTTACTTTAGCACTCGTCTCTGTCCACAAATTGTCCAAAACAGGGTTATCAACACTTTTTCCAGCAGGGTCAAATGCTTGTGAAGTTCGGAAAAAGAAAGAAATTATCCTCACTGCCTTACACAAGCGAGGGCTTTATCACATCCAAGCAAAACCCGTAATCAACCCGGAGTCAGCTTTTGCAGCAGTAGATGTAAATTTATTGCATAGGAGAATGGGACACATTGGAATGCACCGCTTGCAATGAATGGTTACAAAAGGACAGCTCCAGGACACAGACACCCTTACCAGGACCCCAGAGTTCTGTGAACCTTGTGCTTTAGGAAAGATGAAGAAATTACCTTTCAAGTCCACTGGAGGAAACCGAGCCAAGCACCCCATACAAATTGTGCACACAGATGTTGGAGGACCAATCAAACCAACCTCCAGGGAGGGTTTTTGGTACTGGATTATCATTGTAGATGATTTTTCCAAATTTCCATGGATATATTTCCTAAAACATAAAAGTGAGGCACTGGAATGATACAAGCAATGGAAAAAATATGTTAAACATTTTTCCGAATTCATTTGGGAGAAGAGAACTTCACTCCATTATACACAGAATTCCTCCAGAGCGATGTGGGAGGAGAATATACTGGCAATGCATTCAAATATCAACTCCAAGGAGATGGTGTCCTCCAAGAAACTACAACTGCAGATACTCCGGAACAAAATGGCATTGCAGAAAGCATGTATCAGACATTGGCTACATTAGCAACCACTATGCTCCATGATTCCAAGCTCCCAAGTCATTCTGGGTAGATGCCATGCAAACAGCTGTATATATCACAGCATGCATCATAAAAGTCTGCTAACTCAAGTTTTGTCAGGCATATGGTATCTGGATCTGGAATACCACAAAGTACTTTCAGTAGTAATGTAGGGTTTATACATGCACTATCTGATTTCCCCACAGCTATTGGAGGCTGGCTTTGTAATATTCCTTTACCCTCCTCCATTTTACCCCTTTCTCCTCATTTGCACATTCTGGAGTGTCAGATTCTTCAAAAAGTAGCAAGTGAAAGCACAAAGAGCATCAGCCGGACACCATTTCAATTAGCATAAGCTCTGGTCCTACAGGTATAGGTACCGGTGTGGGCACCTCTGGTGCCATGTCAGTTTTAAGTCACACATCTAAAAACCCTGGCATCCTTGCCATTAATAAACTCCCTGGGGTATTAGATAGTCACCTCACAAACATTGTCCCCACTATCCTGGATATATAGAACACTGTACAGAAGGAGCAGCAGGTGCATGGCCATGCTCAGGAGACTCAGGGTACTGCTGTCCCTGTCTCAGTGCCTGCTGACATCTCAACTGCCCCCATCCCCTCTATTAATTGCTCTACATCTGTCCCTGGCACTAGCTCCATTTCTTCCCCTGCTACTCCCACTCATACCATTGTGGATGCTACAGATCTATCTACTGCATGTCTACACCTTGCACTTCTACACCGGCATAAAGATGATCATCACTTACCACTGCCAGTTCTTCTACACATGGTTGAGCTTTTCAGATCTGACTCAACAATAGTGGAACCTTACCTTGTAATGTTGTAGTGGGATGAACTGTGTTGGCCATAGTTGAAGTCATTCATTAACAAAGTATAGGTTATATTCTGTTTTTATGTACCTTGTATTTATTTTCACTGTAATATTTTGTACTTTGAAAATGGTATAATCCACACTGTTTATATATAATGTGACAGATATACAGGAGAAAAAAACACGTATGATTTAGTACTACTTATTTAATTCAATTCAAACCCCTGCATGCAAGCTCTGCCTGATAGTCACCCCACATTGCCCCAGCTATGATGTCCCAGCAATTATTGGCTTCAAGCCTAGCTGCTTTAGTTGGAGGACTGTCTGCTAAAGTCCATTTGAGAGCCAATGTTGTTATTCTCTTCAGGAAAACATACATGTCACAATACCCAAAAGTTGTTATACTCTGGTGCACACAACAAGGAACTCGAGAGGAAGTTGTGATGATAGAAGGGGAGATGGTGTTCAATGGGAGAACTTGCTGAGGAGTCTCCATCTATTGCAAGGGTATATATACTAAAATACATCTGGTACTGTACAGTTCATATAAATAGAGGTACATATTCCATAGTGTTTCACCGCATTCTATATGATATCACTGCTGAGTAAGTGAAGTGTCTGATGTTATATCATATGAGAAGTCACATGCTGGGTCTAGACATTTGTTAGCACTATGGGCATGAGAGCGTTTTGGCAGGGCTGTTACAGGAGCCGTTGTTACTAATACATGCAATACTGCCAACACTGGCGGAACACGGCTAGAAACTCAAAAGATTAGCTTTGAAGCAGAGTTGCCCATTGAGCATCTGCTATTTAGAGTATACACTGGACTGGTTCTCGCACTGTCTTTTGATTGGCACTTCAAATACAAGGTTAATAGCGGCACCTGCTATTGAGGGGCTGGTCCTTTGATTTTGCAGACCAATTCCAACAGTGCCAAAGAACGGCTGCTTTCTTTGAATCAGGATCAAGACCATAGCACTAGCGCCTCTGAACCACTGCATTCTTTGGATGGCGGTCACCTTTGCAGCCTTCGACAGTATGAAGCTGGCACTTTGAATCACAGTTGCTGACAGGTCAAGCAGGTTTGTTTGCTGGTACTTCAAGTCGTAACTGACATTGTCACTTCAAGCTTCATCCCCATACCAGTGTTGTCTGTGGGGGTGGCCATTATTCAACACAATGGGCACATAAGCAGCTACATTTCAGCCGTACTGTTTACAAAGCGCTCCAGTTTTCTGGTCAGCGTATCTAGCTCTCTTGATGCTGTTATGATACAATACTGAACATCTCAAGTTTTTCAGGCTGTTAGTGCCATTATTACTCCTGGTTTTGGAAGCCCTATCCTCTTCACCTTTCCTACGAATCCTTATTTTTATTCCCTGGTCATCACACAATTCCTTTACTTGATCTCCGGTGTTTCTCAATGTCCAAATCTCATATTGCTCAATCTTTGTCAAGTCAATACCAATTTGACCACTCAGCTACTTTATCACACACATTCAGAAATTTGCAGCATTGTTTCTTTAACACAAGGGCATAAATTTGAGGAAGTGTCTAAAAAAAGGGAGGTCCATTGCATTATTGCTTAGAGATTTGAAGCTTGCCTGTTAGTGTTACAATAGTTTTGTCTTTGTTGATTCACAGAGTTGCATGTAGATATGGATACAGTAGTATAAGAATATGAATCCGCAGAAGTTGCTCAGTCTCTGTTGTAATGGCTCAGCTCTTCAGCAACAAAAAATATATTAAAATCTGTGCCACAGAAGTCCTTGGTATGGTGGCTCAATCATTCATCTCCATCATGATAATTGTTGTTGATGGAGGCGGCGCCCCGTTGTTTATTTTCCTTAACCTAGGGTCTTTGTTAGCAGTCAGCCATATATTCTTTGTTCACCATGACAATCACAGCATTTAATGTCATGACTTTTTCTGCATATAAGCACAAGGACAGTAGTGTCAATTTCATCCTTCTCATTTACTTTTGTGCTCATGGATAACTCAGGTGCAGGTCAGCCATACATTATTGGAAGAAAAGTAAGCCTATTTGATGCCAGCCCAACAAGCTATCATACAGTGAAGTCCGCTAGATATTTGTTGACTTCTAAGCTTCAAGTAGAAGCTGTAAGTTATTTTCTCTTCACCGTTGTAGCCCTTACTTAGATTGTCAGATACCCAAAAACAATTCCTACTCTGGGATTGAGAATCCTCCTCAAAATGTTGTTGATAAAGTAGGATCAGAGGACTCCAATACCAAAAATGCCAGCCCAAAGGTTGCTGACCAAGTTGAATCAAGGGGACTGTTAATTTCTGGAGCCCACAGACTGTAGAGTATAATGAGACGTGGGGTCAGTGATGCCAGTGAGGGAAATGCAGTCAGTGTAAGCAGACATTGTGTTCCTATTTACCATATGACCAACAGCATCACAGAAATTGGAAAGTATCCCGGAAGTTGTTAACAAAGACCTAGATGGAAACCCCAGGGTTGCAAGTACAAGTCAAAATGATGCCAGCAGTGTAAGGGTAATTAGTGTAAGTCAATCACATTTTGTGTTTTAATGAAATTTGACAAAGTGCTTGCTAGGTCAGAGAGCCCTAGGAAGTATTCAGGAAGCAGCTACTAATGAGAGCCCAGATGAAAGGCCTGGGGACACAAGTACATGTCAGAGTGATATCGGTGGACCAACAGGAACCAATGTAAGTCTAACATATTTTCTCTCTCTCTACCTTTTGACAAACAGTTTGCTAGGACCTGGAAGTTGTCAATATGAGCCCGGATAGAAGGTTTGCAAACACATATATGAGGCAGAATGATGCTAGCGGAGAAACGGGAATCAGTGTGAGTATAGCGTACCTAATCTCTCTATATTCTGACAAAAAGCCTACTAGAACCTGGAAATTGCCAACAATAGCTGAAATGGAAGTGGCGCAGTTGTGGGTCAGGATAATGCCGGTGAAGCAGTGGGGTCCATTGTGAGTTAAATATATCTGATCTCTCTACCTTTTGATAAAACACCTGCTAGGGCCAGAGAAGTATCCAGGAAGTTGTCAATGATGGCTCAAACGAACGCGGTGCAGTTGCAGGTCAGAATGGTGCCAGTGAAGCAATGGAAGCCATTGTAAGTAAAATATATCTTAATACTCTTTACCTTTTTGACAAAGCAAATAGTATGCCATGGAAAATGCTGCTTGGGAAGTAGCTAGCGAGGATTCAGATGGAAGTGATAAAGACATGGCTCAGAAAATACTTTCATGCCCCCGTAATAGTGAATCATTTACTCTTAACAGCATAATAAAAAAGGGTGAAGATGTTTGAAATACTCAGAATAAATCAAGGGACTCAGCAGCCAATTTGACACTGCCGTTGGCACGTAAAGATCCTGGCACCAGTACTCAGTCAATGTGCGAGGACCAACCCAATATGGTACATACTTCAGCAAATAATACGCACAATCTATTGTTGCTGATCTATAAGCTCAATCCTGTCTTAGGGATTGAACCCAACGAGTGAAGCCTCATCAAGCAACCCTGGATTACAATCTGTGGCTTTAAGTATCAGAACAGTTCAAGCCACTGCTACTCAATCCACACAGTCCATTCATTTTCAAGGGAGTCAAGATATCTCCAAGGGAGTCAAGATATCTCAGCCCTATCAAGAGATAACTGTGCTGTTAGATAATACAAATGTGGCATCTGGAAATAGGGACTTTTCAATGCAGCCCCCCCAGTGTTGAATGAGCCAAGATATCTCATGCCCTACCCAATTAAATCCAGCTTCCGCACTCCCAGCTTTATCAAGAAGTAGCTTGGTAGTACTAAGAAACACACATTTGTTATTATCTGGAAATGTAAACTCAGAAGAAGTTATTGCTCAGGTGAGTAGCTCAGATCACAATTTTGATATCTTGGACACAGGAGGAAAAGGATATATTGGAGCTGATTTGTTTTTGGTGCATTTTCTGACAGCTGGTGTTTTGAGCCAGATTTTGGCATCTGCATGGTGTGTTCTATTTCAATTGACATTATTCACCACAGTGTATGCATATCCAATCAATTGACAGGGAGTTTGCCAATCCACGCAAGGAAGGGCAATTTACCCGGGAAAGATTTGCAGCTGTGATGCGCTTTATCAACTGCTGTTTCCCAGAACACTTTGTTATTGCCAACTCCTATGCAAGGGGTAGCTCCATTGATCCAACCTTTAACTAGTTTTGTCCTTCCAAAGTGGAAGCCATCTGGAGCCGTATCTTCTCGGCACAGGTTATCTACTCAAAGGTCATTGCAAGAAGTCTCTTGTGCTGCTACCCGGGCTTCTAACAAAGCACCAATGCCTAGAGTTGTGTCCAGGGACCCATTTTTAAGAGCAAACAAGAATGGTAACTTGACGAGAATGGATCTTGACACAAACAGTACACCTGACCTGGATCAAGAGCCACACACACCACCTCAAAATGATCCTTCCAATTGCACTCAACAACCAGAAGACACTGCATCCACTTGAAATGACACCAACCAAACTCAAGGGCCACAAAATGTCACATCATATCAATTCTCCCAATCAAACTCAAGAACCAAAAAATCCCTCATCTACTCGCAATGATTCTTCTGACCAAAGGCAGGGACCAGGAAGCATCACAGCCGCGCTAAATGACCCCCCCAACCAAACTCAAATGCTGAAAGGCCCCCCATCCACTGGTCATTATTTGAGCTCTCCATCTGGTCAAGATGATTATATCGCAGGAACACTTCTTACTCTCATGTCAAAATTTTTTAGCCACATGACAAACATGCTCCAGGAAAATCTGGCTCAGAACCAAGCAGATCTTAAACAGCTGATGAACAACATTAGAATTCAAGGGACCTCCTCATCCTGGAAATGCACAGACTCACGCGGCCACAAAATTCCCTTCAAAGAAGACCAAGCATATTGAAAAAAACATATACTGTGGAGAGCCGGATCATAATGACTTCCAAGTAAGTCTAATCTCCTCCCCCTTCTGCTTTCCCCTAAGGATCTTTTGCTAATTCAAGTCTGGTGGTTTCAGAGAAAAATCAAGAAATATCTACTTGCAATGCTGAAAATATTCAGCGCCTTCCCCCCCATTAACTGAGGAGGAAATCCAAAAGTTCCTGCAACAAGAGCCAGGTTATATAGTTATCACGGCAGATAACTTTTGTCTAGATTTAAATCAATCTTGTGGCTCCATGTTAAATTGTGCAGCTATTAGCATCTTGGCAGAAAACTTCATCAATTGCATTGAGAAGTTGAAGTGGTAAAGGCAGCTGGAACCTATACCTACAAAATAGCTTACCAGAGGGTATGTCTAATTTAGTGTAAGTCTTCATCTTAAACATGTGAAGGACGGCTATAGGACTTTTGCAGGACTTACTCCTGCAAAGCATCAAGATAATCTCAGGCTAGCAAGCTAGAGAGCGAGAAGAGAACGGGTGCATGTCATCTTTTTCCTTTCCTTTAATATCTGTTGAAAAAAAAACTCTATAGTTGTATAAAGCTCACCTTGACATTGTTCTAGGAGTTCCTGAACTCAATCATCATCAAGGACTGCTCAAGGAACTTGGCTCTGCAGGTGTGAGCAATTGTCATATCCATACCGGAAGACAGAACTCCAGCATCTCCAAGCCCAAAATGGAGCGTAGATTTATGCTGACCGGCAGACCACGAGGAATATAATCCCGAGTATACCAATGGTTTCAGTCACATGGTACTCCAGTTGTCCACTCTGATACTCCTGCACCAGACTTCTAGTCCGCCATACATTCTCCTTGCATGTTCTAGTATTCCTCGTGGACTCTGTAGTTAGACCTTATGATACACTCCTTGCACATATGTTCTCCTCTTGCTAGATAATTGTCCGCATGGAACTCCGCAGTATATAAGCTATAACTCCTGTACTCCGTTCCTGCAGTTCAAATATCAACTAGATTCCCTTGCTTTTTTACCAGTCCTTTTCTAAGTCCTTTCCAATCCTTCTCCAAAGGACCTTTACTCTGCTCCTTTTCATCCTCTACTTCTCCTCTGTCCACTTTTAATGAGCTAGGGACCAAGGTCCATGGAAGGGTCTAGCACACGAGCTAAGCTGATTCCCCATCTTATTCTCCGTACTCCACTACTCCACCCTTGTACTCCGCAGCTCCGTTACTCTAAAGAGGCCACAGTTCTGACAGTAATGATAAAACAAAAATCTTGTATGAGAGCTGGACAATGTCATTGCCTGTTGTTGTGAGCCAAGGATAGAGGAATGGTCCCATTGTGGCCAGGATGCTCATCACAGATCTTACACAAATCTGGTCAATAAAAAAGCCTGTGCTCCCACCAACCTTCCACTCAACTGCTACAACAAACAGTGACTTACAAGCTTAATATCATGGGAGAAAAATGCCATAAATTGCAACGACACTCCTTACAATTATGAGTGTTCAATAAAAGAAATCAAGTTGCTTTTGTTGGCTAACCGTGATAAGGCATTAAATCAATTGCCAAGGCCAGCACACTCAGCTCCAGGCTCTTCAAGAAACAGATGTGATAATAGGGGGCCAATAACTAGTGGTCTCAGTCAGTTAGGGACAGGAGACCCTCCACCCAGCCCTTTTTTGGACTTCAAGAAAGGTTCTCCATTGATGAAGAGGATTTTACTATGGCCATACATAAGGTTGACAATAACATGTCAAACAATGAGTATGATAAAGACTATAATAGTATGGACGAAGATTAGTCAAAAAGGTAGAAGTTGGAGTATAGTAATTTATAATGTATCCTGCACCGTTGTTAACAAACTAAGAACAAGAAATAAAACATCTAAAGTATTACAGATTGTACAGCCAAAAAGATAGTCCAATAGCAGAAAGAAAGCAAGGGAAAAATTGCATGGTCATGGCAATAAACTGCAAAAGAGGGCAAGGCAAGAACAACATCAGTATTAACACAGCTCCCTTGTCATCAGTCAGGCATTCTAAAAAAATATGTGTCCATAAGATTGATTCAAAAATCAAGATAATTACACTGCAAATAAATGTCCCACTAAGAGAAAGGAACTGGAGCCACCAGTCCACCACCTAGTCCAAATCTGACAGTTCTATGGCCTTTCCAAGGCTCTGGTTATGGTGGACCACCTTTCTAAATAAGGGAGGAAGGGAAGTAGTTCCAATTTGAAACAAACGAGTCCCAGGCAATGTGTGGTAACTGTAGCTGTAGAAAAAATGATGGATAAAAGATAAGTGTACCCAAATGAATAAGACAGTAAAGAACATAGGTAACACAAAGGGATGTACTTTCTCCAGTTCAAAAACTCCCCAGCCTCATTTTAACCAGGCAAGATGAGCAACCACTGATTTAATGAAGGATGATTGAAAATCAACATCATTGAGATGGACTACCTGCCAAATTTAGATAGGCCGCTGGGGCTTAGCTGTAATGAGCAGGGGCACATGATAGTCAATGTATTAGTGTCACATACAATTTTAGTCTCTGTACGTAAATCAAACCTTTGTTGTTATAACCTCTTCCATGGTCATCAATCTTTCCCTTGAGTTGAGTTTTAAAGGCATTCTGCCAGCCAACTAACTGATAGCTAAGTCTCATGCTTGCTAACAGCTTATTGGAGAAGTTAAAGTGATGTGAAGGTAGCTTCTGATTAGATGATTAGAGAATAGTATTTTACTACATGGGGTTTATATAGCGCTAAAGTGTGGCTATGCTACCTAAATAGGAAAAAGACTAATAGTAGCTAGCCTATTGTATTGAGTGAGAATGGGTAGAGGGTTAGAAGAATAAGAATAAGTAACCAATGGCCATAAGCCCTCCATATCATGTGTTAGCACTTTAGGCAGCCAAAAAATTGGGGCTCTTAACTTGATCATCCTCACCAAAAGGTTGGGGCTAAGATCCCCCTTTTCATGGTCTACCTATAGCCATTAGGGACTAGACCTATTTGATATGGGACAATCCCTTCAAATATCATATTTCACCTGGTGCTAGGGGTTTAATGGGACAAGACCACAAATGCCAACTATTTAATTTGCAGGTTGCATAATAATTCCCACAGGCGTGCACTATGTGGACTGGCGGACCGAAAGCAGATGGTGCAGACTAAATACTAGACTATATAGACTGAAGTGAATTAGATAATAATAAGTAATGCAGGAGAGATTTGAGTGTGGAAAATGATGGAAATATATATCTAGCCAAAATGGGAACTATGCAGTGGTACAGCATAACAAAACACACAATAAAATAAGTTTTTGCATATTTTAAAGCTAATAGAGCATGAAGTGACTTTTGATGCAGTTATACAATACTTTCTTAAGAGAATTGTTTTACAAGGGTAAATAATTGTCTGATAACCCTGCTGTTTTCCTTGTTAGGACATGACTTGGAAATTTCCAAACATAAATATTCTCTTGGTAGTAATAATAGTAGGATGTCTCAATATACAAAGAGACCTACACCTATGTGTAGTGATTCAGACCTTTAGAGCACACAGCCAATTTGTATGTTTTCAAATACACCTTGGTAGTTCAGTTTGTAAAGAACCAGACCATAAATACTGGAGTCCCAGTTCAAGCCCTGGCCAATGCATGTTTTCTCTTACTAAATAAATAATATAATTTGTAAGTAGAATAAGTACTAGTAAACGTTGGTAATGGTCCTTCAAGTGGTTGCCTAGATATTATAAATATTATGTATGAAATAAGCTAGTAGCAGTGTAAAGCCATTAACAATCAAAGATACCAGCTAGGTGGTAAAAAAATACAGATGTATATATTGTGTAATTTGTGTTTCCTGTCCATGGATGATTATCATTACAGTAAATGACAAAATTGATAATAGATGTTGCTATAACTCTACCATGGATTTGTATGATTACATGAAATCAGCTGGTCGTTTTATCAGTTACAACAGCACGCACGGATGGCTGCTACTCTAACTTGTGAGATTGCAACTTGAAGTTGCCAGTATAAGCACAAAACATGACTGGCTAGAGTTAGGCCCCACCATTATTGAGATTTGACTGATTTGATCCCATATAAGACTCAAAAGTCCAAAAAGTACATATAATTCAAGAAAAGCACTAATCCAGGAAATAACACCAGTCTGGTCTGAATCTACGAAGGTATCACCACACATATTCCCCGTCAACTTGATGTAGCATTGAAGTCTCCGCCAGTGCTTGAGAATAATATTCCTCACTCCAATATGGTCATATTTACTCACGACTGTCTTTGGTACAAAGTTGGACTCCCTTGCATTTAAACCCGAGACTTTATGGCAAGCTGCTGTCTATTATCCTCAAACTAGGCTACAAAACCAGTGAGCCTTGTATTTTTACCCACCACCAAAATATTGAATTATTCTGTACACATTGTACCCATTATGTCTGCACAAACCTCCACCACCAAACTCCTCAACTGAATCGGGGTCGCCTCTGACAAAAATGACGATGTTAATGGTGTTGCCAACATGCTTGCAAATGTGCACCTTGACCACACTGATGTAAAATTAAAGTGAGAGTTTCAACCATTATTTAATGATATATAAGGGTCTCACTTTTGTCATCAGGCTTGATGGTATCGAGGAATATCTAGATGCTCAATTCAATGCAGTTACAAATCAGTTTGGTTCGGTTAACAACCAACTTCACGGTTTAACTCGTAAGGTGGACGAATGTAATTGACTTAACTGGTCACACAGGGAGGAGATTGCAACTACAAAGGAGACGGTCCGTCTTGTCAGGGACAATGTCACCAGCTTAGACAAGAATGTCAGAGCATGACAATATAATTTTGTAGTATGAAGGCAACACTGAACAAAATCAAAGATTCCATCAATGGAGTCCATCACCTCCAGTTGAGGAGTATTACCAATGAACTCACCACAATGAATAAAATGCATGCAATAGAAATGTTTGTGATGAAGCTCAACACAAATGTTGGCGTGGTAAACAGTGAGTTGTTTTGTTTTTGAATTCGCTGCAGTAGGTCACTGACCAGCAATACAAATTATTTTTATGAAGGCAACTTGAGATTCTTTTGACCGTGCTACTGGTGAGAAGAATATGCTATTGCTAAACTTACTCAGGATTGACTTCAGAACTAGTCTTGCCAACGTTCCTACAGCACCTGTGTGATCTTTGTTCAGCTCCAACAACAACTACCCTCCTGGCTTTTGATCCATTGAAGAATTTGATATGGACACCATTTCCATGCAGCTCAATCCTGCTCCCACTGGTGTATCCGGAGACCCGAGTCATGTACATGGTAGTACTAGATGCCGTGGTGATGGAGCTGGACACACCAGTTTGTCCCTCTCCACCAGTTCAGGTCAACTGAGTCACCGCCCCCGTACAGGTGATTCTTCTGGAGTTGCAAGCCACTTGTTAGCAGCAGTTGGTTACGGTGTGGAGACACAGGCCAAGGCTAGTGGCAGTAGTGTGACACCAAATTATGAGCGCCACCACATTCTCACTGGCACAGGGTCGAGTCCAAGTCCTGTTCAATCCCAAGTTGGTGACAACACAGAGATGAGCGCCATTTGTCAGTATAAACCCATCAGCAGGTCTGGCAAGACAACACCCACTTCCCACTAGACATTGGTGCGGTGCTAAAACAGTTGGTCCTGAGTTCTTAAGTTTTTCAATTTATCTCACAGTAGTACCGTCGTTTTTTCCATGCTACCCATATATTCTCTGCCCTTATCAGCTACAAATGTACTACTACAGATATCATGTTGATGCTGTCTTGAATATAAATATGTAATACTTGCCCTTTTGCATTTGTTCCCTGACTCAAACATTAGTTGAGGAGGGTTCTGTTGGACGCAAAAATCAGCCTCTTTGTCTATTGCTCTGCAAATACCACCAAGGTCACGTAAATACTGTATATAGACCAATTGAATCTTATCTATCTATAACATTATAGTCCTTTGGAGATATCCTTCTTATCAAAGTGGCGGCCATTTTGGCTCTTGTCCCAACGTGCTTTGCTATCATCGCAGTCTGTTCCTCAATTATGTGCTCTTTCCAAATCCCCTTCACCATCCCATTTGACAAATATTGTTTCTGTTTGTCCAACAAATATTCTTTTTACATGGTAGAATAAGGTCGCCCTTGGGTTCTTTCCATTTCTTGATGCTTTTGTAACCACTTTAATTATCTTGGGATCATTACTTGCTAGAAATGATGTAACTACTGCTGCTGAATTGAAACACCCTGTTTTTACTTGGTAATCAAAACCGGAGTCGGGGATTGGCGCCTCATGCCACTACAATATCTATACTGTAAACACTGGAAAATCACCACTGGAAATCAAGGTTCACATAGGAAGGTTAGGTTCAACAAGTGTCCTTGGGAAATTATGGTTGCTATACGGTCTGCTTTTAGTGTATTGTGGTATCTTAACATTATCTATTGTGTTATCATGATGATCATTAGTCACAATTGCCATCATGGCTCCAATGTGACTCTGAGTTGTTGGCCCGGGGGGAGCTGGTACTTGGGCCTTAGCCTGAGGGCAGTAGGCACCGCCGGCCATGACTCGTACATATGACTTGCAACCACTCACTCCGAGTCAGGCTCAGGCTGTATATACCCTAATACCCACTGGAATCAATTCAGACATGATCCCAAACATTGGTGGATCATCATCCCTGTCTTGCTCATGTGGCAGGTTGTTCTCTCAACCCAACGCTCTTAGCAATCACAAACGTAATTGTCCAAAGACAAGAAAATGTCTGGGTGATGCATTGGAGAAAGCCAAAGAGTTATGGATACGGAGGAAGCAACAGCAAACTGGAGCCAGCTGTTCTCAGGTTGGTAGCCACTTATTTTATTATCACATACTATGTGTGCAATGCTAAATGGTGACTCAGTCTACTGCGCCAGCTGAAACATCTTGCAATGATGACCCAGATGTAGAAGAGCAACTCAGAATGCCTGAAGTGGTATATGATTCTACTGTCTCCATTGCTGAATGTCAAACCCGCAGACTCAACCGGCAACTACCAAAGTGATTCAGAGATGATCTTCCCCAGCCATTACCAGCAGTCCCACCTTCTACAATTGATGCAACATATGGTCTTGAGAGTCCTCATGCACCCGCTTTAAGTTTGTCTTCTCATGCCCAAGTCTCTCCCGAGGATAGACCAGCCTATTTCATAGTAAAATGTCTCCGCTTCCTTTTACGCACGTCACATAACATTTTTGGCCTATTCCGACAATATCACGGCAACAAGTTTCCCACCCACAACCCCAAAGAGGATCCAACACCAGACAATTCTCCAGACTCCAATGACACTTTGCATTGCCTCAGTAATGACACACCTACTCAATCTTCCAACTCAGACTTTTTTATGCCTTATCCAAACTATAACGCATTCCGTCTTGGAGAGTGGTATTGGGATGGAGCGCAAAAGTTGAAGGAATCGTTTAAAGAGCTTTTAGACATAGTAGGCGACCCTAACTTTTGTTCAGAGAAGATTTGTGAAGTCAACTGGAATCTTGTTGATCGACGTCTGGCTGGTGATGATGTAGAGGAATGGCTTGATGATGATGCTGGATGGACCAAAACAACCGTCAGAATATCTGTTCCGTTCCACAAGAAAACAAGCAACCCTGGTTCAAAGCAGTTTGTGCATGCTGATTTCTATCACCAAAATCTGGTCTCCATCATTTGAGAAAAGTTATCTAATGTCCACAACAACGCATATTTTTATTATGAGCCCTATCAACTTTTTTGGCAGCCGGGCAATGACAACAGTCCTATCCGGACCTATGGCGAGCTTTATACATTGTCTTTTTACCTTGATGCTCACCGTGAACTCCAAGAATTGCCGAGGGAGCCTGGAAGTGATCTAGAATGTATTATTGTTGCGCTTCAGTTCTGGTCGGATGCTACACAACTTACATCCTTCGGAGAAGCCAAGCTCTGGCCTTTGTACCTGTGGTTTGGAAATGAGTCATATAGGCGGTGTAAGCCGTCCTGTCATCTCTGTTATCACATTGCGTATTTCCAGACTGTAAGAGACTTAATTTTGCTTCAAAGTTCATTATTGATGTCTCACCATTTTCCGCTATCTGGTTCTTTCAAGGAATTCATTTCTGAATCTGTCAACAATGAGGTACACTCCTCCGCATTTGGTGCTCATTGTTATCGTGAATTTTTCCACGCACAGTGGAAGACACTGTTGGATGAAGAATTTCTCCAGGCTTATAAGCACGGCATTGTTCTAACTTGTTGCAATGGAGTACAGCGTAGATTTTATCCCAGAATTTTTACATATTACGCCGACTATCCTGAAAAGTGAGTTGGGTCTAACATCTCTCTGATTATTTTTATGTTGATTACCATACTGATTATACTCTATCTAGAATTCTACTCACCAGCATCCAAAACCTCGGAAGTTGCCCTTGTCCTTGATGCTTGCTACCACTGTTTTGTGCACACAAGGTTAGAACACTTTGTGATAAGGCGCAAAGGATGACTTTTGCTTGTAAAGACAATGCCCAGCATTAAAACAAAGTATCTAGCGCTCGTTGACAAATTTACAAGAAGGATTTTATGGTAAATAGTGCTGCTGTAGAGAATCTCTTGAAGGGAGAGTCATTGGTGCCAACTGCGGTAAGTAATGTCATTGTTATCAGTCTAATATCCTAATTTTGGCCTGCAGAATGCTTTCTTGGAGAAGCTAACTCCGCTTGGCTTCAAGATGTACAATATATTTGTTGTCGACCTTATGTACAAAATAAAACTTGGTGTCCGGAAAAGTTTATTTACTCACCTCATTCGAATCCTAGATGCCTGTGGCCAAGACTTAGTGACTGTTTTAGATTATAGGTATTGAGCCTTCTTTTTACCACAGTGGATTAACATATAATATCCAAAAAGATACAGGCAGACACCGACATTTTGTAGTAGTACAATCAGACGTTTTCCGAGCAGTAGCTCAGAAATGAGGTAGATGACTGCTCATAATTTCGAGGATCTCCTACAGGTATTTGGTTTTGTGACTCTGCACAGAAAGTCTCTCATACTATATGATACAAACAGTGTGCTATTCCTGCATTTGCTGGCTTACTTCCCAAACCCCATGATAAATGTGTCTTGCAGCTGTTGTTTATCCTCACAATTGGCATGCCCTCGCAAAACTTCGTTTGCATACAGATGCAACTTTAGATATTCTTGATGGCCTTCTTTTTTCTTTAAGGAAAGCTCTACATAATTTCAAAGAGAAGACGTGTAGTGCATTTGAAACACGAGAGCTCAAATGTGAAGCAGATGCTCGCATACGTCGTGCAGCACAAAGTGCTCCTAGCTGGATCAACACAGAGGTATTTACTGTGTTTGATCTGACCCAGTGTTGAGCTGATCACAAATTATTAGGCCCCAGAAGGCGACAAACACAAAGCTGTGTCAAATTTGTAAGTACCATATTCAAATTCACTGCACTGAAAGCCAGTGTCTCCTCACATCACAAAAGCAACACAGGATGACGATTGAGGAAATTTTTGCTGAATACTTACAAAATACATGCTCTTGGTGATTATGTTGAGTGTATTAGAAGATATGGCACAACAGATTTGAACACAACAAAACTAGTACACATTTTCATCCTCAATCAAATTTAGTACTGACTCAGACCAGGGAGAGCTCAAACATTGCACGCCCAAGACTTGGTATCATCGCACAAGCAGGAAGAAGTATGTCCCACAGATCACGCAAATAGAGCAGCGTGAACATTGTATTTGACGTATCTGAGAGCGGTTAGGCAGAGGCAAGCACCGAACATGAGAGGATTCGGATGCACACATCCTAGAGACACACCACCATATCAGTCAAAATCAGAATGATCCCTGCAACATTCCTGTATTCCTTGAAAGATTTTCAGGTGACCCCGCCATAAAGGTAAATTCTATCCCAACAATAATACCTGCCTCATTTTGAAATGAACAACCTTTCAGAGTGTTGTACTAAAACTTAAACAGCATCTACTCCCTCGCGTCAAGGAAAAACTTCGAATATAAATATCAGCACACATCAATACCAGTAGAGAGCTTGCTCAAGAAAACAACCCAGACATAGACAAAAGCTCATGTGTTCTCATCAAAAACAATTGCCTATATAGACACAAGATCTTACGCATCAACTATACCACGTACAATGTGCAATGAACTCAAGATGTTATGAATCCTGGTACTGCTCACTGAAATATAATGGTACTCTCTACTCCCCCTGATGACTATACCTCTGGAGGTCAACAACACCATTACTGGTACGCACAAGTTCTTGGTATTTTTCATGCCAATGTGGTCTACGTTGGATCAAACATGGTGGATTATAACACTTGATGGATAGAGGTGTTGTGGGTGAGATGGTATAGAATAGTTGATACCGATGCAGCCAGTTGGGGTCCTCACACATTAGATTGCATCTTGTTTCTCCCCATTCACCATGAAGAAGCCTTCGGCTTTGTGGACCCAAACGATGTTTGACGAAGCTGCCATATTATTCCATTGTTCGCTGATGGCAAAATTCACAACGAAAATGGTATAGGTCTGTCAAGCTGTATTCCAGATTCTACCAATTGGCATTGTTATTATGTGAACTGGTATGGTATTTAGATAGGAGAAGCTTTCAATCTACTAATAAAATAATTTTATAGGTTTGTCAACCATGATATGGTTATGCGTTATTATTGGGGGATGGGCGTTGGCCATACTTATTGCTATGGCACTACTAATTGTTTGAAGCTTGAAAGAGGTCGCTCTTTTGGCAATAACTCTGATGATGATCTGGACTCAACTGCTGGCAGTGTTCGCTTGGAGGTGAGCTCACTTTTGTTAGTAATCATTCTGCCGCGCTCACACTTGCATAGATCCCTAGTCAATACAAAGACAAGGAAATATGAGACAATGAAAGCAATACTTCAAACACTGGGTCAGACACTAGCAAAGAACTTGACAACATTGAAGGTGCTGAAGACAATGTCAACTTAGTGCTGGCGTTGGATGATATGTACGGGTTGTATGCATTACAGCTCAAGAACAGGGACTTTTATTGGTAGAAAATCATATACCTAGTATCTCTTTTTTCATTCTTTTTCTCTCAATACATTGTAGTAGGATCATCTGACATGTTCATCATTTACAGAAATATTAATCATAGGTGTTACTAGTATATGTATACTAGCCCGGGATGGACTTGGTGTTCGAGCCTGAGGTTTAGGCTATTATCCTCTCACAGGTAAGAACATTATTTGTAATTCAAGTGTTTCAGCGTATTGATAATGTTACACTATTAACACAATAGCTATGACACTTTGGCATTGCTTTTATTCCCCTTACACAGTTTCTAACCCGGTACTACTATCCGCTAAATCTGTTAAATCAATGAAGATGTTCTCCTTATCCCTCACTGTGACTGTTTTGGCGCATTTGTGTGATGGAAAAACCTTTCGTGTCATAACAAGTCCACATGTACAGCTCGCAAACAACTGTTAGTTTTGGTGATTCTGCACCTTTGTGCTACCTATATATTTTCATTCCTTTCTCTATCTATTCTTCTATCATTCACTATTGATTGTGTTCTCTATTATTTTGCCTTTATGGCTGCTTTGTTTACCTTTGTTTACAAAACTTCGGACAGTACTGCAGAGTCCAATGCTTCCTATTCTCTAGTTACTCACATTGGACTCTAGGTACTGTATACCTGTCATACTCTCTAATAATATAGTTACTCACATTAGACTCTAGTTCCAGTCCCTGATTGCTCTCAGCAAGTGGCTAGACACTTCCTTCAAGCTTTGTTCTTAATAACAACTTCTTAAACTCAGTCACACTAATACCGGGTCTTGTCCACAAGTCCAGCTACAGTAGAAGGTCGAGCTCAGTGGGTGGAGCTGTGGGAGGTCTCTGAGTGGGAATGACAGGGAGGTCCATACATTCACGAGCTGTTAGAAATATTAGATGAGATTTGATTTACAACCATTGAGCTTGTGTTGAAGTACTCATCGTGATTTTTCTTTTCAGCTAGAGGGTGTGAATGCTTTCTTTTCTTCCTGTCACTCGGCTCAGGCCTTCTAGATGTCTTAGATGGCCCAATCCCGTCTCCCGATTCATTATCATGATCCCAGGACCGTTCTATCCAGCATTTATCCAAATCCTGGTAAGCAATACACGGACTACTCACTGCTAGTATAGGTACTAGGCACGACATTCACGGAACTAGTTGCCGCCACACTGCGAGGCCTTCTGGTGTTAGAACGAGCTCTAGGTGCATTGGTAGGCATGGTAGGCATGGTGCGCTTGACAGTTAAACAGATGGTGATGGGGCAGGAGTGGAAGAAGTAGAGCGAAGCTATTAGGATTCGAATCTTTCCAATAGTGAGTGTTGTTCCACTTCTACTGGTCAGTTGTATTTCAATGCTTGTGAGCTTTATACCATTATATGTATATGTCACAGTTTATTATCAGGCTTGCCCCCGAAAGGCAAACAGGACCCGTAGTACTGTTTAACGGCATTTCCATTCCTGTTAAATTTGATCGCTCCATTGCTCCAACGTATTAGATATCTCCCTGACAAAATTGGAAGGCTGTCACATAAGTCTGCAAATACTAGGAAATCCAAAATTTGCCCTATTTCTTTGTTTCCTGCCAATTTCAGCGCCCCCCCCTGTATAGTCTTATGAGGTAAAGCCTTTTCCTACTTTATATCTTTTATTGTTATAAGTCTACGCTAGAACTATTACAGTCACATATTCTCACAATGTCAAACCACCCCAACTCCGTACAAGCACCGACACCACTATCAAAGGGATTGAACCTCAGCACATTATTACTCCAAATGTACCACTCCGGAAGACCTATTTAGTATTGATCTGTCCATGTCAACTGGGGCAAAAATTCAGTAGGTTCGCTCTGCTGCTAGCACTAGCTACCATACAAGTAATTTGCGGTTTTTACAGCTGTTTGAAGCTCCATGTTTAACTTGAAGTCCTCCATTGTCAGGCACTGCATCATGACTTGGCCTGAATTGAATATAACCTCCGAGTCCGTAACAATCCACTAACATATGCTTCATGAAATATTCAATCCAAGCCATATTGAGCACACTATGAAATTAACCCTTTTATGTTTTTCTAGGTATTAGTATGATGCCCTTGGCATTGCTTATAACTATTTTCTCAGATCCAACTCTGAAATTGAAGCTATATATCCTACATTTTGTTCCTTACTACTACTACACACATCTATGTATCCACTTCAAGTTACTGCCATGTCACCAGGCAAAAACGGTGATTTTTCTGAGCTTCATAACACAACTAAAACTCCACAAATAGGCTCTACAACCACTGGGAAATGCCTGCGAGAAAGTGCTCTAATTCTTGGTCCTGGGAAGAAACTGTAGGTTCTCACATCACTGGAATTCAGCCATTAAAGCCAATTTATCAACATGACAAACACCCTTTGCAGTTGTCATGCAAACCCGTTAGTTCACCATGGACAGCACTTCGGACAAACAATACACGCCCTTTGTAACGTGCAAACATTACTTATGAACAGGATTGTTTGGCTTAGGGAACTCACTCACCAAAACGAAAAAGACCTTAAATTTGAGTTGGTGGTTTCTTCCCCTCATTGGAAAACATGGATCATTCACATGTTCTTTACTAGAGAGCAACAGGAATTCCATGTATTTTGATCTCTTCTTCGTATGATTCCTGGCTTGGAGGATTGCTTATTAGAGGGTGATGCAGATGAGATGGTAGCTATTGCGGAAATGGTTATTGTTGCTTTTATCCTCCAAACTTGGATTCCTTGTTCAACAGAGCTTGGAGAGGTGAATATATGCTTGTAAGCCTGTCAATAAAATGTATAAACGATGAAAAAACCATATAAAAGGCAAGAGGAGTTGGGGGTCATTACCGACACAAGTATAAAACTCCAAAATAATTCTTGCCAAGGATCTTCTGCATTGTATATATAACCATGATACAGAAAGACCGGCCACTGATCTCCTGAGACTAGCATCTCACCATTTCTTAACTTGTGTTTGATTCTGATGGGTTGCATTCAGTATAAAGGCCACAAACTTCACCAGGAAAAGGGGCATACTCGGAATTTGACCAGTTCAAGCCAGCGGGACAAAGCAATTTGCCCGTCCGCTCATAATTGAAGCCATGATCAGTCTTAATGTTCCAAGAAAGACAAGGATGAAGCAATTCACCTCTTGGAGTTATCCAGTCTAAGACAACACCTTTCAGACTTTTCGTGTCATCTGACCTGGCGCTGGATGCGCCTCTCTGAATCTAGGGAATTAAATAATTGTTAGAGGTGCAAGAACTGAAAGCTACACGGTCCGGAAACGCACACATTCACGGTATGACAAGAGTTATATCCGCATTGATTGTGTATGTCTCAACTCAGGTATGGTTTATTGTCCTATGTCATAGAACACACATTATTAAGTAGCCCCCAACACCAGGTTCGCTTCGCTCATCCCCGATATTTTCTCGAACAGATACTGTTACCAATTTGGAGAGATTTTACACCACAGTGTTGAACCTGCTGGATGACCCAGAAGAACGAGAGGAAGTGAATAATTTACTGGTGTGGTGGAATTGGTATGCTAGTCTTTTGCTATCATGCATTGGTCACTGATACACTCAGTTTACAGCCAGATATTCCCGAATCACTCCTCTGCACAACATTTGCCATCGAGAAGATAGTGCTTTGGCCAAGATTAAAGAAAGGAGGGCAGCGTTAAAACGGCGGCAAGAGAATCTATGAATGACATTGTTGTCTATAGTGCTGTAACATAGTAGCTATAGTACGCCTAGACAAGTCCCTATTATATAGCTCTATATAGCAGGGCTATTTTGAGATGTTTGGTATACCAGCTATAGTATCACAAAAGTGATATATACAATCCATCTCTACTATAGCTGCTCTTATAGAATATAATAGATATAACAACCATCAATGGTTATTTCAGAATGGTCATATTATATATGTTCCACAAGCTTATCATAGTTTTCAAATTCTCTCAGTTTTGTTCACTATTATTATAGTTTCCATACTCTCTCAGTTTCATTCACTATTATTATAGCATCCTAGCCAGAGATCATATGCAGAGAATCTATTATAGTATATTTCTGATACCTTATAATGACATGCATGTATCAACAATTATAAGGATGCTGAATCTTCAAGCGCTGCATAATCAACCTCATCCTCCCAGTTGTCCTCTTGTGCATTCAAGTACTGTAAGTCACACTGTTGACTGTGTGTAATGTAATGCTTATGAGTGTTGTTCTAAAATAATTTGGTAGGCTACTCACAGAATATCGTTGTAAGTGTTTTTATGAAACTGCAAAAACCACCTAGGAGCCTTCCTTTGTAGCTCTTCTAACCTGGACAGATAATATAAATATCTGATAAACACTTGTGAGTAAAGGTTGACGTAGAGTGGATATTGAATTCACCTGGGCCTGTAGACCTGTTCAGAGAAATTCAAGGTGGTGCAAACACCTTTTGCAAGTTCATGAAGACAGTTTTCAACCTGTGAAATATAGATTGAGGAAAAATCATGTATATTACATTACAAACTCACAGCTGTAACAGCCAAGGCAATTAATGGCAAAGGTGAGTCTTTGAAATCACTTGGATAGAGGACGCCCTCCCCCTTTTTATGGAACCACTGAACCTGAACTAGTAGCTTGATGATGCAATATCCAAAAGGTTTTTGCTTATCATATGAATAAGTCTGAAATACATAGTCATAAAATGTTTAAGAAGAGTATATATGAACACTTACAGAAATATCCAAACCACCAAATATAAAGACACCTTTTCCATTACTCAACAACCACTCCACTATAGTACGTACTTCCTTTGGCAGCTTGTCTTTGAGGGCGTATTCTGAGAGAATGAGTATCCTAGCCTTTTGTTTGACTTCACCTCTAAGCTGAGCTGCAGCCGTCCACACCTGTTTAAAATTTTGATATTAGTAATATTAGAAGCATTGTTCTCACTCACATAATCAATGATTCTACTTTTTTTCTGCTTGTTCCTTGCATTGTCCAAATCTACTACGGTAGTCTTGAATAGTGAAGAAGAACTTGCAACTTTGATGATCGCATTCCAAACAAGTTTATCTCGTTCATTAGTACCTGGGAAGCCTTTCACAGTAGAAAGAATGACATGCATTTGAGAATGTCCTGCTTTAGCCAGCCTGGAGCTGGTAGAGCTAAAGCTAGTGATAACGGCCTGTGTAGAATATAAGCCTTATAATTTTTAAACATATTGCACACTTACCTTGGAATCTCTGGAAGGTGTTAATGAAGGAGAACTATTGCTATTCCTTTTACGCTTATCGTTAACCAACCGGACACTTTCAGCCGGTGATGCAGTAATCTGTATCGGTATATGTGGATCAGTGAACTAGAAAAAAAAAAGGTAAAACTCACATTAGTATGCAATGATAACACTATTTGTTCGTAGCAAGGATTGTCCAGCTCCTGGGTCAATGAAGGTGAGGGAGTAACTTTCTGTGAGCTTTCTTCTGATGATGCTGCATTAGTAAAGCTTATAGCTAATGTTGAGTTACTTGCCTGTCAAGCGTTTAAAGGTCTGCATCAGAGCATCTTCATCTTCATCTTCTAATTCCTCTTCCATGCTATTCCTGGCCCTCTTATGAAGAGCTTCATCTTCACTATCAACATCAGGCCTATCCAAGTCTTCTTCTTCCTCATCATCCTCAGCCTCCACCATGTGAGCTGCTTCCTGACGAATATCTGGGAAGTGTACTAAAGAAGAATGACCAGCCTATACATTTTGCCCATTCCTCCAATTATCCATCTCCTTATCAGTTTGCAAGACAATTGAGCCCCTCTGCCCTCTGGAATGCAAGTTAAAATGAGTTATATCACATCAGCAAAAGAGCACAATATCTCCCTCTCTCATCTGCAACACCAGGCCAGGCTCAACGAGGCAAAGCTCTCCCCCTTCATGCTGACCCAGTGGTATGACTAGACAAAAGAGTTTGTCCTTGGCATTCCTGTGAGCCTTGGTTGAAACATTGATATTGACCATAAAACCTAAGAATGGGCAGACAGCAGAGGCATTGTTACCAGGGAGTAACTCAGCATGTTGTCTGAGTACCGAATATTCAGCAGGTAGATAAATAGCAAGCTACATCAATGGTATCAGCAGATTATCCTGTAAATTAAGCAGAAACAATATCACTCACCATTTCATTTATCCATTCAAAGAGATCAGCAAATACTGTTTTAAGTCTTTGGTAAATGTCAGTGTGGTCTTGAATCTCCTTGGACGTATAGGGGATAAGCTCATATGATTTGTTCTCAAGGCATACTTTCTCTTCATCATCAAAGGGGGAATATTATTGGGTGCATTATTTCCCTTCATTGATTCAGCATAGTTTGTAAATGGAAAAAAAAAAGAACTCACTTTTGTACAATGGCGGTTGTACCAAGAGAAATGTAGAGCTTCAAATGTGAAGCCTTCACCTTCAACAGCTGAGTCTACATGATGTAGAGATGTGGTGGAGCCTAGGCAGGGCTGGAAGTTAGGCAGGAGAGTGATGTGAATTGATTCTGGCATAGAGCTGTTTAAAAATAACATGAGCAAATCATCGCTGTTTTTCAAGAGAAGAGGGATGGAGGGAACTATTGAGGATGGTATATACAAGTATGCTGAGGGGTTTGTACGAACCCCCATTATAATGTTTCTGTATCTAAGAACAAGTATTTAGCATTGATATTGCGTACACTACATACATGATAATGACATACCTTGGCTGTCAGGTCCTCCACATCTGTGACCTTGATGGCTCTACTTGCCCTTTCTCTTTCTGATTTGGTCCACTTGTAGTTATTGCCAGCATCTCACGGTGCAGAGTATTGGCGATTGCCTTCAGCCATATTCTGGAATGTCGTGCTAACCACATACATTTCAGGGAGGACAACTGGTGGTAATGATGGTGATTGTGGTTGAGAACAAGGCAGGACGTCATCAAGATCGGATAAGGGAGTCAGGAAGCGTACTGAAGATGTTGTACCTACATCTAAGATAGCCTGACCATGACAATGTATAGGTACATGAGCTATGCCTATAGTGTGCATACAGACTCCCCAACAATCTAGATGACGATCCAAGAGTTGGAAAGTACTACAAAAAACCAAAAAAAATCAGAAACTGTTAGAATCAAATGATTGTAATGTACTTGAATCAGATAGCCTTAAAAAACTGATCAGAAGCCTCAAAATTTGTGCAATCAATATTGGCAGGAAGGCCATAATAACTGAGCACGCCAGGTGTGAACATGCAGTTCATGTTCAGTGGCAAGTTTTGGCGGCAGCTAGAAAGAGTTGGGATGATTCTACTAATTACCAGCTGTCCACTCACAGTAGCTGCATAACATTGTTTAGTTAGCATACACACAGTAAGAAGTAGTACACTTACATTCAACTGGCCACCTAAAGATATTGGCTATCTCCCATGGTGTTGTTCCATCCATTTCACCAAGTTGAACCCGTAAGTTCAAGCCTGCAACCAAAACAAGGGCATAGATAGATCCTACATAGATTTGTAAGTATGGTTTAATGCCAACAAAGGTAATCTTACCACCGGCTACTATGGCTGCAAACTTGCAGCCCATAGCATACCATTGCTCAAACTGTTTCTTAGATGGCTTAGGCTGAGTGAGATCCCTCCAAAGGTTTGCCAGGGAGATACCTTGCTGAGAGCAAAGACTAGCATACAAGCATAAACATCAGAAAGAAATGATAATTATTTGTAACAATTTTCACTTACCTTTGAGACTTGGCAACGAGCTGGATGTAGCTGATCATCAGCAAAAAGTTGACACCTATGTCTTTACTGGTCATGCGCCAACAGCGCACCACAACAGAAGCCAAAGACTCGTCCAAGTAGTCATTGGTGGACGTAACAGAGGTCAACAGGGAGTTGACAGAGTGCGCCCACTCTCCTGAGTTGAACATTGAGGAGTCTTCATGTGCAGCCACAAGTTGTGTTATGAAAGTGTCGACAGCCGAGTTGATCCTAATAGTAGGGTCATTGACTGCTTGTCACAGAGATTGCTGGACAGCAACTCTACCCCTTGGACAAGGCCATCAACGTGCAAAAGCTGGAGCAGGGGCAGGAGCAGGTTGTCAACATGCAGGAGATGGAGATCAACAAGATCAACGTGCAAGAGTAGGAGCAGGAGCTGTAGCAGCATATGGGTGTTGGCGTGGTTGGCGTCTTTGTGAGCGTATCACCGCCAGAGATTGTTGCAGAGATTGATTGGTCTGCAATTGGGACTCGTCAGCTTGGGTTTGCTGTGGAGAAAAAATAGTTAGTAACATTGGCATTAGGAGGGGAGAGCCAACATACCTCTTCACCAAATCGGGCTGGTGATGATGTTGTTAGGCCTTGATGCATGGTGACAGAAGGTGGGCTGTCAGAGAGTGACAATGGAACCATTGAGGATGGAGCCACTTTGTCTAGCAGTGCAGAGAGGTCAGCAGGAGTGAGCGTGCTTAGGATACCCACCAGTTGGGCATGAAAATCCATCAGCTCTGTTGGCAGTGGTTGCTGACCCAGTATCCGAGCGAGGATCTTGACCTGTAGTGCCAAAATAGTAAATCTGTACATCTTTGGTATACTACAAAGACGTGGGAAAATGTATGGCAGCCTGACCTTGGTTACACAACGATGTGATAAGGTGTTGCAATGCTGATAACGTCAAATCAGCAATCTGCTGGACCATGCAAGAATGGACAGTCAGACTGTCCATTCTCACACGGTCCAGTATTGTACCAGCAAAGATAAGATTAGATGAGCCGTGCAAGAATAGACGGTCAGACTGTCCATTCTTGCATGGTCCAATATTGTTGTTCCAGCAAAGATAAGATTAGATCATGGCTCATTGGGTATTCATTATTGCAATCATATGTGGTGAGTGCTGATACTGAGGTGGAATGAACAGAGACTTACTATTTTTCTCATAGTGATTATCAGCTTTTCGCAATAGCAACCTGTTGATTCCATGCAGTGTGAGAAAAGAGATCAGCTGTTGTCCCCTTTCTCACACTGCATGGAACTTTGCGACTGCACACATCCAACTGTGGATGTGGGCAGCTCTCCGCTTATCATCTTTTGAATCATTCTCTTCCTTGCCTGCCTGCTTACACCTACATATTGGTGCAAATATTTAGATATGAATTGAGTTTACTGGGTTTTTTTAAACTATTTACTTGGTTGGCTGAGTACTGAGACATATTTCAGCAGAACATCCCATTCTCAGTCTGCAAAAACGCACCTGTCCCCCCTATACGCAATATCCTCCACTTCCACTGGAAATGGTGCTACCTACTGGTATATCCCCTCTATTACTCGGTCAAAGTCCTCTCCTGGACCAGAGGGTAAGTCAGTTATTTAATTTCAAAAAATTACCTGATGGCAATGCATAGCTACTCAATAACAATCTTTTGCCACTCCCCCGAGTAATCTATCAACATCCACTCTTTCAACGTCCACCCATACTGCACCAATTGCTACATCTGAGGATCAAGTCCAACCTATCATTGAGCAAATTGTTAGGAACTTGAAGTATAATTCTCAGGACATATATGTCCAGGTGAGCAATCATTGTCTGGCTACGTTCCTGATCTGATTTTTCCCCCTAACAATTCTATATTAAACCATCAAGTTTCCCCGAGTTTGTGGACAAGCTCAGAGAAACTAACTACAGCACTCTAAGGTATGCTTTTCATGAGTGAATATACTGTACTTATATCCTTACTTCCAGATATATGTATGACCATGTGAAAGGCATCTTGCAACTGAATATGCCTACTCCTGTACATGAAGTTTTTATCGAGCACCTCAGTGAACTTTTACAGGGGGAACTGTCATGTCTTATGAGACGGTCAGATAGGAAGTTCAGGTTGAGTTCTAATACATCCAAGTTCCTCTGGCAAGGTCAAATCACCACTGTACCCGACTTAGCCCTCAAGTTCCAAAGCCTCAACCCTAGCACTAAGTGGCAGGACTTGTTTATTGTTGAGGTCTCCCACTCCCAATCACTTGGGGACGTCACCCAGAAGGTGAAAAAGTACTGGGAGGAGCTCCCCCACCTTGTTGGCATTCTAGTGGTCAAATTCTACAAGTCCCACAAATATGCAAAGCCCCAATATGGGTACGCTGAACCCGTCAACATGCAGTATTGGTACAACTTACAAAAGGACGACAATATCAAATATGGCCCTCTGAGGACAGCTGACAGCATAACATGGGCGGGTAGATTTGTGGTGGATATGAACCTGTATGAAAAGGACCCAAAGGTTGTAGGGAAGGAGGGCTATGCACGGGATCTTCCTACGTTCGTAGTACTGGTGCATCCCCTCTTGATCACAACCTTCTTTGACTAATATAATATATGTACAGAGGGTGGTACCTAATATAGATGTGGGCCAACTCTATCCCACTCAAGCCCAGAAAGATGAATTCAACAAAGTTTTCAATCGTGTGATTACCAGGTCAATTTTGGAGATGGAGAAGATTATGAGGAGTGCACTCCAGACTGTCACTAACCTAGAAGCTGAAAGTGCAGCTGCTCAGATAGCAGCGCTAGAGGTTGCTACCCAGGATTTGATAGCAAACTGCACTGGTTGTCCTCTTCAGACTGGTACCCATTCGCGCACACCCACTACTACTCTACCTACTCCCCATTTGCACCCCCAAGTATTGCCTAAAGAGATATCTCCTATTGATCTCTCAGTCTTCAATATCCAGCTGGATTTTGACAATTTTCTTCAGGCTTTTCAAGGATCTGTAGCTGATCTGGCACATAGATGTTTTCAGGATCATTATAATGCCCCCCGAAGTCATGCTAAGGCAGCTAGAAGAAGGAGTCCTTTTCACTCTGAAGAAGAAGTGGGTTGGCTTGTTCAACAGAAATTGGGTATAGGTAGCTCCAGCAACAATGTCACAAGGAGGAAGTGAAAAACGGACACGGACAATATTATATGTATTACTTCTCTTGTTCTTGTACTCTGCGCTTGTAAATGATATTGTACTTAGACATGTATGACTTCTATTTGTATTAGAACAAGCAAATTCTATGTTTTACCACTACGTATTTCCAATTTGGGATATTGCCAGTGGAAATTAAGGTGTTGCATCTTGACAGCATATTTACAAACAGATCCTAGATAATCAAAGGTATCAACATTATATTAACTGGTGTTATTATTTCATAAACTGACTGGAAGTGTATGGTGTAATATAGGTTCAAGGAGAAAATGGCACACGTACCAAGTATGGTTGATTGCACATGTCCTGCATGTGGAAAACTTTTGAAAACACCACAGGGTGTCATGGCTCATCTATTAATGTCAGCAATGTGTGCTTGGTATAAGAAAGGAAAGAGAAGAGAACTTGAGGCAGACAACCTAGGCCCTGAACAAGTAGTATTTGATGAAGTCAACTTGGATGAAAATGTTTACGACCAAGAAAACTATGACTCAGATGGGTCAGAAGATATATTCCTCAACAGCTTACAAAAACCATTTAACAATTTCCTGAATGATCCTGCAATGCAAGGCAACACCCAGGATAACTTGAACCCTGGCCCAGAGATGCAGGCTGGCAGTTCACATCACCCCCACTCCCTGCACTTTAATCTGGATGATGATGATGAAAGAGTAGTGGAACAAAATGAGAATGCTGGCAAGGTTATAAGGGTGGATCTGGATGCTCATGATCCATGGAGGGAGAGTTTTCACCAGTTCTGTCAAGATGATGATGAGATGGACATTGATCTTCCATATAATAGATGGGCTCTATTTTCCACAGAATTAGACTGGAAATTTGCACATTGGGCATTACAGGAGGGGGTTGGCCAGAAATCTCTTGACAGATCACTGGCAATTCCTGAAGTGAGTGACACCTCCACACTTTGATTCATGTTTTATGTTAACTGACCTCCAACCTTTACGCCAGGTTTCCCAGAGACTGGGCCTTTCTTATCAAAATAGCAGAAGCCTTCTAAAAATTATCAACTCCGAAATTCCTGAAAGGGCCAAATGGCACCCAAAATATCTACACTTTGATGATCGTCCAGAAGAAAAACACCTTATACAATATAGAGACCCCTTACAAGCCATTGCTTCTTTGTTGGACAATCCAGCACATGCGACAGACATAGTCTATAAACCCTCAAGAATATTCACAAACAGCCACAGGGATGATCATATATTTAATGAGATGTGGACTGATGGATGCAAGAATACGCACTTTACCTCCTGCATATGGATCAAAGCATTTCAAAAATGGTTTATCGCCTCTTTCTCAGATATCTGGAGGTGAAAGAAAAAATATGGCCAAGGTACTTTTAGGATGCCTTGTAGGAAAACTCCCCAAGCAGGCAATCATCGCAATTAGATCACTCTTGGACTTCATTTACATTGCTCAGTACCCCACACACAGCGATACAACCCTTGGATATCTATCAGATGCTCTCAAAACATTTCATCAAAACAAAGCAATTTTTGTCACTCTGGGTGTTAGAGAAAATTTTAATATTCCTAAATTTCACTCTCTACTACACTATGTCGACTCTATTTGCTGGTTTGGGGCTACAAATAACTACAACACAGAAATGTTTGAACATTTCCACATAGACATGGCCAAGGATGCATGGAGAGCATCAAATCATAGGAATGAGCATCCACAAATGACCACCTGGCTAACAAGGCAAGAAAAAACTGTGTGGTTTGAATGCTATCAATTGTCTTTACAAAATAGACCAGTTCTACGTCAGCAAGATATTCTCCAGAATTCATCTGGATTAGATATTAACATAGCCAAAGTATTTCCTCTTCCACAACAACCCCTTCAATCAATTCAACAAAACCACCAATGTCATGGCTTCATACGTGATATCAAGGAGTTTCTGAATCACCTAATGCACGGTCAGCCAGGTTATATATCCAGAAATCAAGTCAATATTGCAAATCTCCCATTTGATTCACTTGACATATTCACTAGTTTCAAACTCACTCCAATTCACCTTGGAGATGATGCTAGTGCAAGTGTAAAGTACAAAGTCATCAAAGCAAGACCTAGGTCCAAAGGAATTGCTCCACAGTTTGATAATGTTGTTGTATTAGACTCATTAGAAGCAGAGTCAACAGGTGTTACTGGTAATATTTTCCTCTAATTTCATGATCAGTTTCAAGTTGTGAATTAATATTTCATGACATAGGTACTCGTGTTGGAAGAGTTAAAGTAATATTCAAGCTCCCTGCTATTTTTCATGGTGGTTCTGTTGGTATACCAAAACATTGGCCCAAAATTCCATTGGCGTACAGTGGATGGTACACCAAGTTGAAAGATAGTGCAGATCCAGCACATATGATGTATGTGGTTACAAAACCTGCACTTGGAGCTGATGGTACTCCACCAGCTTCCATAGTATCATTAAGCAGTATACAACAAGGCTGCCATTTGTTGCCTTTGTTTGGAAAAGGTCAAGTGCCTGCTCACTGGGGTGCAGCAAATGCTTTGGATGTTTGTGATAGATTTCTATTAAATAATTGGGCTAGTTTGTATGCTTACCAAACTATTTGGTGAATATTAATAATATCATTATTAGTATCAGAAAAAGGCTCTCATAGACATAAATGAGCTGGTATAGCTGGTATAGCTGACATAGTAACTATAAGGCTTCACATAGAAATGTATTGGCTATAATAGGAATTTAGTAGCTATCATAGCAGCTATAGAAACATATCCAGCTATCAGAAAAAGGTTCTCATAGACATAAATGAGCTGGTATAGCTGGTATAGCTGACATAGTAACTATAAGGCTTCACATAGAAATTTACTGGCTATAATAGGAATTTAATAGCTATCATAGCAGCTATAGAAACATACCCAGCTATATAGCAAAACAGTTTTTCCTGATGTACTATCCTGTGCTATTGTGACAACCAAGAGTTAGTTACTCTGGCGCACACAAGAACACACTTATAAAGAAGATGTTGAGGGAGTGGTTACCCCTTAAGCTGCAGAGTGTTCATTGGTATACAACAGGAGGACTCGCTAAGAAGTCTCCTGGATTTATTGGGGTATATATACTAATACAGAGTGTTTGTACTTATGTATTGTACAGTTGATAAAGTCAGTGGCTGATGATGTTATGGGGCCTAGCCCGCATGACCAGCTCCACTGTGTGAGAGAGTTGTATCTAAAATAAGAAGAAGGCAATGCGGCGTGAGAAAGAGGAGTTTGAACAAAAGGGGAAGTGCCGCGTGGCACCCTGTGTGAAAGCTAAAGTGTACAAGGTTAAAGCGGAGAATGAAAAAGAAGGAAAGGTCCAAAAATTGTGTTATCGTAACAGCTATAATCTTACGGTATATTATTTTACGCTGCTACCAAGCTACAAGCGCCACCAGTGTTCATTGTGGTATAGGTGGTGTAGGTGTAGCAAAACTATTACTTACCATACTGCCTTTCTGTTATAATGTCAGTGCATCAAGTATCGTTCTAAGACATCAGAAACATGTCACTGTCATGAGCTCTGCCTTGCAAGATACATCTGAGAATCATACTGCAGATAAATTTTGTTAATGGATTTAATGAAGGAGTGCGTGATCATTACTCGCCAGTCGCCATCAGACTATAGATGTTTGCAGGGACAGCCATATATTACAACAACAGAGAAGGCGCAGGAGAACTACAGTTGGAGACAACACATTATCAAGCGTACAATAAGGAAAGAATTTCATCAGTACTCACAATCATTCCTTATATTACGGTCCTATTACAGCAAATACATGAATTGTTGTGACAATGTTGGGCCCAAAGTTCTGGGTATGTCTTATCATCAATGTTCATACTGACGACAGGGTTCTACCAGGTGCTATATACTGTCAGAAAGTAGAATGGAGACGAACCCTGACATTGCTTACCAAAGGTGCGCTGTACTACAAGGTTGCAGATATTCAACTGTGTATACACGTCAGTATTATGAGGGTCATCAGAGAGATGGCAAGATGCTAGTGCACTTACAAAATTAACAATGTACACTGTGCATTATATAGCAAGATGTCTGCGTTGCAATTTTATCGAGGATGGTCACTCACAAAGCCTTGATAGCTAGGGAGCTAAGATGACAGAAGCTTATCATCATGATTTGACTGGAGGAAGACTTGTAACTGTGGCTGAAAGTGGCAAGACCTGACATTCTCTGGTCCGAATAACCTGCTGAGAAGAATGCTGCCGAGGAATCCAAAATAGACAGGCCTTAATAGAGCATACAATGGATTTCGTGTCAGAACTAGGTGGATCAATTGTACTGTCAGACTGATATGTATTTTACTGTCTTACACATTTTATAAAGAGCTAGAATGCTAAAGATACGTTTATAGGACTATCATTGTTTTCCTGATGTGCTGACATACAACTTTTTCCCCAACTTCAAAACTCAACTTTACACATTATACAATATATTGAAATTCATAAAATCATGCACATGCACATGCATTAATCTATTTATATTCAAAATTGAACTTTATATACAACTGCAACACTCCATGAACACATGCACCCACACCCCCACACCACAATTTTATTCCACTCAGATGGAACTGCAGAATGCACCTATCAAGGGATAGGATAGTGGAAATAAATACTGCTTGTTACAATACACAATTTTTGGACCTTTAAGTTTTATTCTCCACTTTAACTTTCTTGCGTAGTTTTGACATACTGTGCCATGTGGCACTTTTTATTTTGTTCAAACTCCACTTTCTCATGCTGCACTGCTTTCCTTTATTCTTAGCTACAAGTCTCTCACACAGTGAAGCTGGTCACACGGGCTGCGCCCCATGACATCATCAGCCACTGCCTTCATCAACTGTATAGTACACATGTACAAATAGTTTGTAGTAGTATAAATACCCCAATGGATCCAGGAGACTCCTCAGTGAGTCCTCCTGTTGTTGTTATGATAACACAATTTCCGGACATCTCCTTTCCTTTTATTCTCCGTTTTAATTTTATACTTTAAATTGCCACGCGGCATTTCCCTTTCTCACGCCGCGTTGCCTTTCTTTTACTTTTAGACTTAACTCTCTCACGCAGTGGAGCTGGCCATACGGGCTAGGCCCTATGACATCATCAGCCACTGCCTTCATCAACTGTATAGTACACATGTACAAACAACCTGTAGTAGTATATAAACCCCAATAGATCCAGGAGACTCCTCAGCGAGTCCTCCTGTTGTATACCAACTAACTCACTGCAGCCCAAGGGGTACCCACTCCCCATCTTCCACTACCTTTATAGTGTGTTCCTGTGTGCGCCAGAGTAACTAACTCTTGGTTGTTACAGTTGTTTACCCACAACAAACTCAGTCCTATCTGAAAGGCCACTCACTTCACTCAAAGATTGTCTGAGTTGTGCACCAGAGTATACAAACTCTTGGTTGTAACAGCTATCACACGAGTATTTCTCAGACTTGCAGAATATTGCACTGGGACTTTCAACAGACGGATTTGCACCATTTCATCAAAGGAAATCTACTACATGGCCAATTATAGTCTACAATTTCAATCTACCTCCGGAGATACAATTCTTAGAAGAATATAGATGCTTGTATTGGTTGTTGGGGTGCATGCTTATGATATTTTTCTGACTGCAGTCTTCATCCTGTATGCATTTTTGATTCTGGTGTCAGGAAATATCCCAGAAATATCAATACTAATGTTGCATCTATGTCTTCAATTTAAATTATCCACACAAGACCTCAAATCTATCTGTATGATTTTTCAGACTGGGTAGTGAAATACAAACAGTAAGTGTTTTGAATCAGCTACTTAGTATTTAGCGGATCCAGAGCAAAAAGCTCACAACATTGATATTTAAGATACTAGTATCAAAATTTGCCTGACCACTTATCAGAATTTGAAAAAAATCCTTTTTCCGGCCAACTACAATATATTGTTGTGGTATTGTTCCCCGGGTGTAAACAATCCTACTAAGATAATTCTGGCTGTCATGAAAAGCTGTATAATTCATGCAATGGATTCAAGAGAAGTACCATACTACTCAAAGTTGGGCCCATAGGAGGTGGTAGATATATCTGTTAGAATATACTCTGACATACCAATACCCCATAGGATAATACCTCTGATTTGTAAGCCAATCCAGTATGCAGCAGCTATACTGTGTAAGACGTCCGTGGTTGCATGTCATGTTTAAGATCCTGTATTGTATGACCTTGGCCATATAGCTCAATTGGTAGAGCAGCTGGCATGTATCCAGAAGATTCCAGGTTCAATCCCTGGTCTGGCCATTATCCAATTTTATCAATATCATGCCTGCAATGCGCTGTGGGGAGAGTGCAAGTGGGCAATAGGTGGGCAATAATTGACAGGAGTGGAAGTCTAGCTCATGCTGTGTACAGCTTTAATTCTGTCAACTAGCTATGTTGATCACACTAATATAATTGGGTTGAGTAGGCTTTTTGATGTATTCATAGTCATAATTGACTAGAAATACAATCAAGTGGTGATAAGCATAATAAATACTGTGTATATTCAATGATCCTCTCCGCAGTATAATATTGTTGATACAAGTGGTGATTGTTACCCATTCCAGTGTAGATACACACTGCCTGTTTTTGCTATGTGTACCAAAGGTTTGGCAGGAATAATCGGACTAAATGGCTGAGTATCACGCATTTAGATGGTGACTGAAAATTACCTAGCAATCACCACCTACCTGACAACCACCAGATTTCGTGGTGAAACCCACATATCCCTACGTCTATTGCTGATTTTCACGAGTACTTGGTCTCACATGTTTGTGGAAACTATATTTGGATTTCTCATATAGTCTGACCTGTATATGTCTATTTGGCTTTGTGTGTGTCTGTTATCCCACTTATCACAGTTTTCTAAGGCCTCAAATTAATCAAGGTATAATAAAAGAGGCGCGGAAACACCTCTTATTAGAGGTGCATCAGTGGGGAAATAACGCGTCTATGGTGTGGTTCACTTAGAGGCCGCAAATTTTGCTACCTTCAACTTTTTCCCATTTTCTTATTCCTTTCGGGAAAATGCTCCTTTTGATGAGGGGAACAAAACCTCAAAAGGATTTTCTAATTAGGTCTAAATTGAGGGAGATAATGATTTGCTAACCCCCAAATTGGCGCTCTGGTACATAACAGGTATACTGCTGGTCAAAAGCCTGTGTGACTGTCTCTGGGATGTGTGATAGCTGATATAAACTCTGTAAGGATAATGTTAAATGCTCAGTCTGTGTGTAAAGGACTGTATTGATATCTACCTGTAAGGATAATGTTAAATGCTATGGTAGATGTAAGTAAATGTTGTTGTGACTATAATGAAATAACATACCTCAGTCTGTGTGTAAAAGACTGAGGCTCTAGAATGGAAATCTACGAGTTTTTGGTGTAACCGTGGGAAATTATGTATTAGGTAATGCTAGAAAAGCGGACAAGATAGAATGAAGTCTGCAAACATAGGTAGAAAGAAAGATATAAGAGATGTGAATGCATAATACTAACAATGTGTCTGTGTGATTTGTATTGTGTTGAGCCGAATTTCTTCACTTGCAGCTGTGCATCAACCGACAGTCCTTCATCATCGGAAGGTTCATAGTCACTACCTGAATCATACCAGATGCAATTGACACCACCCTCATATCCACAGTCAGAATCAGAGTTGGAATTGACAGAAATTGGTGATGCTGTATGTGGGACACTGTCTGGAACAGCGGGTGCGTTGTAATATGTTTTTCCCTGCCAGTGTGCTGGGCTGTGCCATAGAGAATAGGCCTTCAAGTCGCAACATGTTAAACATACGGATGAAACAAGCGGCACGGCTTGGTAACCAGGTGAAGCTGCCGGAGGATGTTTCTACGCCAAGTCAAGCAAAGTTGGCAAAGCCACCACGGCGGTCCACTGATCCGGACCCCCAAATGACCTCCCCATAGACTTATAAACTTTCCCGCTTCTCTTTTTGTCCATGGTCTATTTCTTCGTCAGTGACTAAATCTATCTATCCACCTTTCTGTTCAATCTTTCAATGCTTTCTAGTGCTCCTTCCGTGTCTGCTTCTGCCTATTCTTCTGACCACGAACCCGACCCTTTCGTATTATATTCCCAATCCTTACATGATTATACTCTCAGGCTTTGGACAGAGTCTCGTAGAGTTGCAGAAGAGAAGGCGAGGGCAAAAGCTGCAAAAAGAGAAGAGGAACAAAAGAAAAAGGCCCTCAGCTCGTCCTCACTCAATTCTTGAGCCCCGTCAAACCAACTCTCTTATCATTTATCGTGCCGTAGACACGCCCGCCATTTCTCACATACAACCTCGGTTTGTGCCACAATTCAGGCTCTTACAACGAACCTTGGTTGCATGACTTACACTGCCATCTTGCAGTTATTAAGCTAGCATCGACGGTCCTCTCTGACATCATCCACTCGTTGTAAAGTCAGTCCTGTGTCCACAGACGTCGTGTTACTGTATGCCGTACCGTTGATGGATGTACGATCCATACTACCACCAATTCAGTTATATCTCCAGTATATTATCTCGCTATCTCTTCGTCGCCCATTTCCCCTCCCGCCTTAATTTCGTAGTATCATCTGCAATATATCTTCATGATCTCTTCGACCCCATGATCTACTATTTTCTCTGACACTACGTTTTAAATGGAGTTATTCTTTTTTTATTGTCGCAATGAACACTTGGAGGTTTACTACAAATAATTTCTCATTTCACTAATCACAAGCAGGCCAGGTCAGCCATGCGAAACGTCGCACGACGAAATTTGAGGTGAGGTTCAGTGTTTTCGTTGAGCGAGGAGTTTGCCTTGTTTTTACATCCTTCGTTAGCGACTAAGCCTTGCAAAAGTCATTTGAAAGGCACCTCAGGCTGGAATGGCTGAAGTTTCCCCCCGGTGTAATCATTAATGAAATCTGAACTTTATGGTAAGGTTTTATAAGTGTCGGAAAAATCGAGTCTTGCATATTTGCCCCCATTGGGCCCAATAAGACTGTCAGACAATTGACCTCAATATATGATGCAAAACAATCTAGTTAGTCCATATCAGACATTGTCAAACATACATCATGAAAATGGTGAAGGTACGATAAGCCTAAATATGCTCTTACATAGCACTATCTGTGGGATATACAGTCCCTCGGGGCGCGGGAATAGGCGCAGGAGAAGGATTCCTTTGGCAAACGAATGCCGTAGCAACGTAAATACATGCTTCTTATATAACAAACATATGTAAATATCATGTGAAAGACAATGATAGCCACAAAAGGCCGGTTGTAATCACAGAGTAAAACTTCAGGCGAAAGCTCCGAAGTTCGCTTACATAATATAATTTCTACACTATCTACCCTGAAATATCTACATGAAGCATCATCCTGATTGACCGTAAAACAAAGGTTTATATTCTCTGTGTGAATTTATGATATACAACATCTAATTCAGTTTGTTGGCTCTGATCGACTCAGATAGCAGCACAACAGCTTTGCTTTATATCATCAATTCTGGCATTCTGTTTAGTATATGACAGCCTATGCTAGCAATGTAGCAATCGGTCCCTCAGGGCACGGGAACAGGCGCGGGAGAAGGATTCCTTTGGCAAACGAATGCTGTAATAACGTAAACACATGCTTCTTATATAACAAACATATATTGCAGATGCTACCAAGAACAAATGGCACATCTACTACTTGCATGATAAAAAAGACAAAGTTAACTTACCCCTCGACTTGAGAGAATTTGCTTGATACCTTCCAGTGTGTCCAATGACAGTTTAGGGTGTCTTCCTCTGTCATTGAAAATGTGTGTGGTTGTAACCAAAAATGTTGCTATCAAGTGTAACACTATCAATCACCTGGCTGGCATCTTGACATTGTTCCCATTTTTCCCACAACATCTAGCTTTCAGTTCAAAGATTCTATAGACAGCGGCAAAAAAATTTAACATTTGTTGCTCTCAATTGCCTTTATGACCAGCTTATGTTTTTACTGGTTATAATGTCCAAGGGCACTCATTGTCTAAAGTTGTTGTCGATCTGTGCATCGCTACAAAGCGCCTATGTCATGTTATCCCGTGCTTGCTCTTTTTCTGGAGCAACCATCCTTCAATCCTTCTCTGCCAACAAAATTGATAGTCATCTCAGCGAACAATTTAGATCCAAATTTGCAATATAGCTGAGATTGACACTTGAACACAACAAATGTACAATTCTCCAAACTGATCTTTACTTATCCTCTATCTCGGTACAAATACTCATACAATCTATAAAACTATATCTTATGAAACAGATCAGTTATTATAGAGAGATCTTCCTCCACAGAATGTTATGAATGGCTTCAACATCTTGTATTCTCCCTTTCAATGCTCCCCTCCGGGGTACCACACCACACCCAACTCTAATGGAGTGGTGTCCTTCAGGTGAGGTCTGAATTTCACGAACATGCACCCTTCATCTAATAAGCTGTATAGGACGCGAGGACAGTTTCAATCCATACGGCATTGATGAGCCTTTCTTCCATCCTCCTCCTCCCACTTCTCCAAATGCAGCTGAATATTGTACCCACAACATTTATATTTTTGGTAACATATGGTTGTCTCCACTGTAGGCTGGGTTCGGTACCCATGCACAATAGCATTGGCCAATGCTTGACATCAGGAAAACCCCAGATAGCTATTATAGCCCTTATAGATCTACAAGGGCTTTGATGACTGGTATAGCTGGTATGGTTGGTGTAGACAAGTCCCTATTATACCAGCTCTGATAGCTGCCTATAGTTCATATAGCTCCTACAGTTCATATAGCAAGACTGTGGCTGACAGCACAAAATGTGCTGTGGGAATTGAACCCACAACCACATGTTAACTAATTTTTTGAGCTTACTAAGCATATACATACCAGAGCACTTATCCACTACACCCATGTGTTACAATAACACAATTTTTGGACCTTCAATTTTTATTCTCCTCTTTAACCTTTTTCTGTAGTTTTCACACAATGTGCCGTGCGGCACTTTCCCTTTTGTTCAAACTCCTCTTTCTCGCGCTACACTGCCTTTCCTTATTTTTAGATACAACTCTCTCACACAGTGGAGCTGGTCACACGGGCTGTGCCCCGTGACATCATCAGCTAGTCAGCTCTTGGGTGACTAAGCAACCTATAGCCACACATCACATTTATCCACTACACCATGAGAGCTTATAAAATGTATTATACACATGTTATATATTGACCTTCCATGGACTTAGATTTTTTTTTTACTCATTATCACTACTTATATTTGGATAAATCATTATTCTTATTTTGTGAGTATCAGGGATACAAACTACTATTTAACTAATACAGGCTACATAATTAATTAATACCGGATGATTTATTAGCCCTTTTAAGCACCTTGAATTATATTATAACTATGACCTTTACAGCTATAGGAGCTATGTAGGCTGCTATAGGCTATAAGAGCACTTATAGTACCTTGCCTATAATAATATACTTGACTCCAAACACTTCTGGCCTCTTTCTATTATTGAACAAGTTTATTAGATTAATCCAGAGTTTGAGGGAGTTATAGATACTTCTCCCCTTCGTTAGAATTTTGCCTACTACTGTGCTATAAGAGCTATAAGAGCTATGATTGCACTGATAGTACTATAGTTTCTATGAATGTGTTTATATATAGGTGGTGGCTATATAGCGCTATATAGCAAAAGGGTTTTTCCTGATGACGCATAGGTGATTGAACATCAGGACTATACTCAATTCTCTCCCAGACACCTTTTGTCACCAAACCTGGGCCTAATGCTTCTGGCTACCTACCTAGTGATATTATGCCCCTTTCTGCAATTAGACAGGTTTGTCATTTGATTCCAGTCTTTGGGGGAAATAGAGATACTTGTCCACTTAATTGGACTCACAGTAATGTTTTGGATGTTTGTACAAAATTTTATCTCAACAATTTTAGTAGTAAATATGCTTATCAGACATTATGATAAATTCAAGTTCAAATTAGTTTTTTTTTGTTTTTAGCTAAATATTGTCCCATAAAGGCTATAATTGCATTTATAGGGCTATGGTTGCTATGAAAGCATCTATATATACATGTGGTGGCTATATAGCACTACATAGCAAAAGAGTTTTTCCTGATGTACGTTATCAATGAGCTGAAAATGAAAAAGGGCCCACCTGCTACATAGATGCAGACTGGGCATCTGATATCAATGATTGTCGCTCAACCACTGGATATGTCTACCTCTGTTCTGGTGCAGCAATTAGTTGGTAGTCAAGAAAGCAGCAATCAACTGCATTGTCCAGTACTGAAGCAGAGTACATGGCTGCTGCAAAGCAACCAAAGGGGCTGTTTGGCTCCAAAGACTCTTCAGTGAAATAAAAGTCAACTATGTACCGACAGATCAACAAGTGGCAGATACCCTGACAAAAGGTGAGATACTTATTACTCTACTATAGATACAATACTGATTATTCCTAGACTTACTTCTTTGTCTAGTGTTTTTCTCACCTTTTCACAATGTCTACAATATACAAGTCCTTTATATATGAAAACAAGAGTGAACTAAGTCTAAACAGGAAGGCAATAAATGAATGTAAAGTAGTGACTATGTGTGTATGACTCATCTTGAGAGAATAAGGAATGTGATGTGAGTGAATAATAGAAACTGGTGTGAGTAAGCGACAATGTGATGCACTACATATGATGGTTGGGTCACAACTGTTACATGCTGTCACCCAACTGATTTTAAAGATGACTTATCTGACGCCATCCACTCAGAAGACATGAACTTCTATCTCTTCCTGGATGTACTGAGTTGGGGAGATGGACCTTGCTGTTGTTCTGACCCACAAATATACTATGCATGAGCACATTACTCATACTTAGTGTACAACTTCCTACAGTCCTTTCCTGCTGGTACAAACCACCCTGCAATCAAAATGAGGACAGTTGAGCAGTAGGTGCACATCATGTCATTGAAAAATTTGCTGTGCAAGATCAAAGGGGACATGGAACACTGGGGTGTGCAAAGTTCTATGCACATACTAGGTCACATGACTTGATCTACCGCTTGCTCTACAAATCATTTTGCACCAGACGTTCTAGGACCTGTTAAAGTCGTTATGGCTGTGCTCATTTGCAAGGCGCCACACACGCGGCAACAGTACTAGAAACGGTTGGCTTGACGCTTTAAGTTATGCGCTTGTAGCTGAGTCGTGGGAAAACACATATCGCAGCACAGACGGAGTTATAATTGTTCACTCCCATTTTCTCCAAGCGAAACCTTCTTCTAACCAATACACAAATTTGCTAACCGCTACAATGGTGAGTCTCATCGGAAACGTGATTAAGGAGAAGGCTAACATTTCTCAAGGATTCTTCTAAGGCTCCTGTGAAACTCGCAAAGGTTATTAAGGTATATACCAAATGGATTACTAGCATTCAGTCATACTTGAGCAGCATTTTGAATTAGGTGCTTGGCCGAACTGGTTCCCGTGGAGGTGTCACCCAAGTTCGGGTGGAGTTCATGGATGATACTACAAGGACAATAATACGTAACGTGAAAGGTCCTGTGAGAGAGGAGGATATTTTGGCACTTTTAGAAAGTGAACGTGAAGCACGGTAAGTCGTGCTTGAAATACAACAAGAAGTCTCAGTCTCAGTATGTCGCACAGTCGTCTTCGTTAAAATTATCTTGCGGTTTTCATCGCTATGTCAAGCTGGATGTAAATAGACATTGGTCTTTATAGTTATCTGGCTATCCTCCACGTCTGTATGAAAATATTTTTCACTGTGAAGGTGCAGAAGGTTCCGATTGTTGACCGTAATTAAGCTGCAAGACATCTTGGAGAAATCAGTGTTACGGTGCCCACTGCGACTTCACAGTTAGTCGTTTACCGTGAAAGGTCGGAAATTTTTCAATCTATCTACAGTTCACTTCAACCTCACGTGCCAGCTAGCTAATTAGTTTGTCAGTTGCTATATGTGCGACAATTCAGTGGATGACTTTCCGCAAGCATTCGGGGGCAAAAATCGGTCTTCAATACTTGCCTGGAGATGTGAGCAATGATTTAAGTTCGTCTTTTTTCTCTAAATCGTAACATCAAAACCACAGAATTTGAGTTCTATCTCTAAATTCCTACGCTTGTATCATTGAATGAATCATTTGAAGTCATCGAGCGCTCCCTTGACTTGGATGGCTGAAAAACGGCGGGCCGCCAAAACTACCCAGGAAGGTCCCCAGGGCTATTCTGGGACCTTCACAGGAACTTCCGGTCGTACTTGACACGGCGCATCTTGCATCGAGTGAAAATCATTCGAACGTAACACCGACTTCTCGTTGAAAATCACCCGATTTTGTGGAGATTCACAGATTGTTATTCAACTGGTTTTCTGGGGCTGAAATTGGGTGATAATACACTGTTTTATGCTGTTTTATGGCCAAATTCACCCGGTCCCTTTTGTAACATATACAGGTTTATTTCACTCGATTTTGCAGTGATTTTGACGTGTCATTCTCAGTAAAAAAGCTCAGTCAAGCAAGGTCATGTCCAGTCAAGTATAGTCATACTGTGTTGATTTCTTATCTAATTTTTACCAAGTCCGCATTATTTGGCTGGACAGCTGTTAATAATAGGGCATATGTTGATCTTTGCCCTCCACAGGCTCAAAACAATGGCATCACCTACCTAGGTTTTGTTGGAGCAAAGATAAATAAATACCTATAAAATGATCTGTAGTGTTTTTGCAAGTTTGAATTTACACCGGTTAGGGATGGTTAAGTTCGGTTTGATTTAGTCCTTGGACATTTTTGTTTGAACCCCAAACTGAACCTTCATCTGAAGGGGTTGAACCAGGTTGAACCTGGACTGTACTTGCACTGTTGAGTTTGCACTGGTCCAACTTACAAGTTGACTTTACTAACATTCTCATATGTTGGTGCCTATACAGACTTCTATTGCTTGCTTACAACAACACACATATCTGAAGCTGAAAGCCTCTCAAAGGAGGTAGAAGAGCTTGAATGGAATAAACATATAGTCAAGAACAAGTTTTATAGGTATAAGACAGATTACTACAGTCTACCAGATGATTCTCAATTCTATTCCAGGGATTACCTTCTGTTTGACCTTATATGGAAGACAAGTTAACTGCATACAATCATATTGAAGAAATACTAGTACTAGTACATGGGTTTATATAGTTGCCTGTTGAAGACAATCAGAGATAACAAGGAAAGGGCTAGTCAACTAGTTGTATAGTTGACAGCTAATCATTTAGCATTTACAAGGTGTACCTCTACTAATGCATATAATCTGCCTCTTTCTGCTGCATTTCAAGTTTAAGTTCTTCCTCAGTTAGCCACTCAAGACCTGGATGCTTCTGGAGCACATATACTCTGCCACTGTAAGACTAAATCCCAATGATATCAACTATATAAGAAATAGGGCTTTGATATCATCAGACCATTTTCCCTCCATATATTCAGAGTGCACTGAATATCTATAAGGGGATGATATACAACAAATTTTTGTGTATTTCCTTCAGGCCCTTCAATTTCATAAAATGCAATTGCTTCACCAATAATTGGAATTATATTCCCATTATTCCCTTCAAAATAATGATGTGATCTGAATTTCCTTTGTTTTCACTCAGTTGAGTATTCAAAACATGTTTCTTGTTTACATGCATTTTCCCCCATCTTGTAACCGAAATGTTCAGGTCAAGGGAAGCTTGCTTCCAAAAGGAAATAGCCTCAATCTGCATGGCAAAGTTTTGGTGAGGTTCACGTTCTTGCTGTTTCACTTGAACTTTTGCAAATAGTTGATTAATTTTTTTAGGTTGTGGCTCAAACTGCAGCTTAGGGTAGTGGAAGAGTAGTGCTTTTGTAACTTCTTGCTCATTTATAATATTAGCCAAGTTAGAAAAGGGTGCTTTTTTTGAGTGGATTTTATGCCCAACTTCTCCAATAGTCCTTTCTACTGTAGCTTGAGAGCCAGGGCGGAGGGACCCATACTATTTGTGATGAACAGGAACATGAATCAACTGGAAGATGCACAATCAAAACCTTGAAACTTTCTCTGGATTTATTCCAATATAAATCCTTTCAAAGTCAGTTGGGACCCATTCATTAATCAGGACATGCAGGACAACCTGTACTATGGTGAGTATAAGACTGGTTATTCACGTCCTAAAAGGCTGACTATATTATTTACTATAGGACCTCCCTTTAATGTTGCTCAGGCCGAGGACTCGTCAATCAATGCTGGTGTCCCACAGGCCATGCCCCTGATCTCCTCGATCCCCCTTGATCAACTCATGATCAAATCACCAACATTTAATCAGTTGTTAAAAAATGAATATTTCAGTGAAACTGTTCAAAAATACCAGTCAGCTGCCGTATAATTCATGGAAGCACAGTCTCAACACAACAGGTTAGTTGCTCGGATTGAAGGGCTCCTTGGAAAAGAAAGTCTCCTAGTAGACAAGATACGGAAAGCAGAAGACAAGCTCCAACGAGCAATGAGTAAAAAGCAAGCACTACAGCAAGAGAACCATACCCTGCATCAAGAAGTCTCAAAGTTGCAAACTGCTCTCAATAAGCAGTCATGTTCTGCGTAAGTTTTCCATTTTATTCCTTCAGAAATACTATAATACATCTTATTTAGAGGTGGTGACAAAACCGGATAAACCCGGTCTCTGCCGAAGCAGCCATTGTTCTCCATGGAGCATAGCCACCACTCCATGGAGTAACCATTGTTCTCCTAGGAGCACAATTGTACTCCTAGGAATCATTATACTGTAGCGAGTAGCACATCTGACTATAAGTAGTAGGGGGTTTAGTATAGGAATACCTCAGTCGTTTCTATAGCCTCTTGGGCAGCGGCTGAGTTTTACTTAGTTTTATTAGGTTATGAGCCCTGGTGTGCAAAAGCTACGCAGGAAATAATTCTTATTTGAAATGGAAACCTCGGAACCATGACCACAGCACGCGATACATCCGCATGTCCAGTTCTCACTGGACCCAACAATTTTCAGATATGGAAACTCCGGATCATCTCAAAGCTATGTCGGGAAAAAGTTCTCCGGGTTGTTACTGGAGAGGAGCTTAAGCCCTCACCAGGAAAACCTACCTCCTCGGAGGATCCTGAGATCACCTGGATACTTAAGGATGAAAAGGCACATGGAATCATCTAGGACCACATCTCTGATGCCCTCCTAATGAGGACTGGAGACCTCACCAGCTCCAAGGAGTTGTTTGATAAACTTGTCTTACTCCATCAAATGTCCAACATTGCCTCGGCCTTCTATTCATTCCAGCAACTCACCAAATTGTCCTGGGATGGGACATCACCTATCCAGGACCACATTGCAAAAATCCGGACAATTGATTCACACCTCTCCGGAATGAAACTAGGAGTTGATACCAAACTCATGGCTTTCGCTCTTCTCCAATCTCTCCCATGCACTCCTGAATGGCAAATATTTCAGTCATCAGTAATCAACACAATTGAAGAAAATAAACTTACCTTTGATACAGTTGAGATTTGGATCACTGCAGAAGTTGCACGACAGTCAAGGAAGGCCCCTGGAGGTTCCGGATCAGCACTCAAATCCGAGGAGAAATGGTGTAACTTCCACAAAGCCAAATCACACAATACCTCGGAGTGTCGAACACTTCAGTCAGCTGAAAAAGGTCAAAGGAAGAAGGGAAAGGAAAGACACAAGGATAAAGGAAAAGAGAAGGAAAAGGCAAATACAGCAGAGCAATCATCTGGATCTGACTCCAAGGAGGAACAAAGTCATATTGCATTAGAACATGTACATATTTCCAAGCCCCTTGCTAAACACATTCAAGCTTACCTTGTGTTGGAACCCGATAAGACCAAAACAACAATTATCATTGACTCCGGAGCAACATCCCACATGGTCCCTCACCGCTCCTGGTTTGAGCCAGGAACATACCATGTTCTGCATCCTCCAAGGACAATCAGTTTTGGGGACAAATCCTCTGTAAATGCCATTGGCATTGGAACAGTAATCCTACAAGCAACTGTTGGCAAAAAGGACTACAATATTGCACTGTCAAATGTCTTACTTGTGCCAAACTTCACGTTAGCACTCGTCTCTGTCCACAAACTGTCCAAAACGGGGTTATCAACACTTTTTCCAGCAGGGTCAAATGCTTGTGAAGTTCGGAAAAAGGAGGAACTTATCCTCACTGCCTTACACAAGCAAGGACTTTATCACATCCAAGCAAAACCCAAAATCAACCCGGAGTCAGCTTTTGCAGCAGTAGATGTAAATTTATTGCACAGGAGAATGGACCGCTTGCAACGAATGGTTACAAAAAGACAGCTCCAGGACATAGACACCCTTACTGGAACCCCGGAGTTTTGTGAACCTTGTGCTTTAGGAAAGATGAAGAAATTACTTTTCAAGTCCACTGGAGGAAACCGAGCCAAGCGCCCCATACAAATTGTGCACACAGATGTTGGAGGACCAATCAAACCAACTTCCAGGGAGGGTTTTCGGTACTGGATTATCATTGTAGATGATTTCTCCAAATTTCCATGGATATATTTCCTAAAACATAAAAGTGAAGCACTGGAATGATACAAGCAATGGAAAGAAGATGTCCAAACATTCTTCCGAACTCATTTGGGAGAAGAAAACTTCACTCCACTATACACAGAATTCCTCCGGAGCGATGGGGGAGGAGAATATACTGGCAATGCATTCAAAAATCAACTCCGAGGAGATGGTGTCATCCAAGAAACTACAGCTGCAGATACTCCGGAACAAAATTGCATTGCAGAACGCATGAATCAGACATTGGCTACATTAGCAACCACTATGCTCCATGATTCCAAGCTCCCAAAGTCATTTTGGGTAGATGCCATGCAAACAGCTGCATATATCACAGCACGCAGCCCAGCATCAGGACTCCATGGAAAGACCCTATATGAAATACTGTTTAAAAGAAGAGTTGATCCAACTTTATTTCGCCCTTTTAGATGCCAAGCATATGCCTTGATTCTGAAAGACAAAAGGCAAGGGAAGTTTTACTCCAAGGGGCACTAAGCCATAATGATTGGCTACACATATGGAAAGCAAGCCTACAAACTCCTAGACACTGAAAAACAAACTGTGTTTTCCAGTCGGCATGTCATGTTCAATGAATCCGGAAAGGTACAAAAGGACGACACTGCTCCCTGGAACACAGACCCTAGCACATATCAGTGGGAGGGACTCATTCCAGAGAATGCTCACTATCCAGACCAAAATACATTGGAGGAGGATGATCCTAACCCTCGGATCCGAGATCCAAATGAATTGAAAATGGAACCATATCAGCATGAAGATGTTCCGAGAACAGTGGGGCAATACCTCCGTGGAGACGTTCCAAGAGCAGTGGGAGCACCTGATCAGCTAAGACACCCTCCACAACGGTCTCTACAACCAAGACCTGAACACTGGCCATCTTCAGAACAGAAAGCCAAAGTAGAGTCACAGTCAGTGGGAGGACAGCCCCTCAACATACAGCCAGCTGATGTGGAAAAAGTCTGGATACAGCTAAACAGCCTGTCCATTGGATCAGCTTCTGGAAGGCATCCAACACCTCTGAGGAGTGATTCAACACCTTCAGGAGTGAGTGGGGCAACAAATACACAAATGCATCTACTCCCTGGAGTACCTGCACAAGTTCCTAAAAGAGCAGCCATGCCTGCTGAAGTCCTAGGAGTATGCAGAAGCAGTCGCCAGACCTGTCCTGCAGACAAAATCCGAGATTATCAAAGGACTCTAGATGAGGAACAGTCTCAACAAGAGTAGCATGACAACTCCATGGAGAAACCTAACACTTCTGAGGTTCATGAAGAAACATCTGATACAGAGGAGACATTCTTTGCTCGAATAGCAAGTAGCGGTCTATCTAACACAGACCTTCTAAGGACACTAAAGGAAGCCTTATCACGTCCAGATGGAGAATTATGGAAGTCTGCCTTGGAGGAGGAATTCCTAAGTATCAATACTAATGCAGTATATGACACTGTTCCACTTCTGAAGGGAGTGAAACCCATCACATCAAAACCTGTGTTCCGGATCAAGTTTGATCAAAACGGAAACATTGAGAGATACAAACGGAAACATTGAGAGATACAAACTCTGGATTGTTGCATGAGGTTTTACTCAAAGGGAGGGGATTGATTACCAGGAGGTTTTTGCTTCGGTTGCAAACTTAGAGTCAATCCAAATTATTCTAGCCCTGGCAGCAAAGTACGACCTAGAACTTGATCAAATGGACGTATCCACAGCTTATCTCAATGGAGAACTTGAAGAAGAACTGTACATGCTTCCTCCAGGGGGTGTTCCTATCCAACCTGGATACTGCTGGAGAATGAAGAAATCCATCTACGGGTTAAAACAAGCTGGTTGTACATGGAACAAAACTTTTGATCGCAAGCTCCAGGAGCTCAGTTTCACAAGACTAAATGCAGAAACATGTCTCTATGTATTCCGGGACAACAAACAAATATACTTTGTTGTTGTCTATGTAGATGACCTCCTCCTAGGAGCTTCATCCCAAAAATTCATGGATATCACAAAAGCCAAACTCGAATCCATATTCAAGATGTGGGACCTTGGAGAAGCAAAATACATCCTCAGAATAGAAATTCAACGTGATTGTTCAAACAAAACAATATCCCTATTGCAACGCCAATACATTGACACAGTCCTGGAGCGTACTGGAATGAAGAACTGCAAACCAGTATGGACACCAATGGCCTATGGATCAAAACTCCTTGCAAATGCTCCAGGGGAAGATATTGTGCAACACGAGATGAATATTGAAGGGCATCAAGTGTCATACCTCTCAATTGTAGGCTCCCTCATGTATACCATGCTTGGAACCTGCCCAGACATTGCCTACATTGTTGGAATACTAAGCAGGCATAGCTCAGCTCCAAGGAGCCATCACTGGGAAGCTGCAAAATGTGTCCTCCGATATCTGGAAGCAACCAGGGACATAGAACTACGATATGATGGCACAGATGTCTCCATGGACATGGATTTCTATGGATATTCAGATGCAGATTGGTCTGGAGACCCAGACACGTCTCAATCAACATCAGGGTTTGTCTTTATCACCATCTGAGGAGCAATCTCCTGGACAAGCAAAAGACAAAGCATGGTAGCTTTATCCTCCACGGAGTCAGACTACATTGGATTGAGCAATGCTGGACAACACCTTGCATGGCTTCAGACATTTTTTGAAGAAATTGGACATGCTCAAAATGGACCTACAACACTGCACCGTGACAATCAAGCAGCTATCATTCTTACACGAGATCCACAGTTCTGTGCTCGCACAAAACACATTCAACGGAAATATCATTTTATCTGAGATGACTTAGTATCAAAGGGAGAGGCAGTAATCAGATACGTTCCTACAGGAGATATGGTTACAGACATTCTCACTAAACCCCTCACTCATGAAAAACACTGGAAATTCTCTAAAGCTATGGGACTACGGTTGCACTCAAGTGGGAGTGACAAAACCGGATAAACCCGGTCTCTGCCGAAGCAGCCATTGTTCTCCATGGAGCATAGCCACCACTCCATGGAGTAACCATTGTTCTCCTAGGAGTCATTATACTGTAGCGAGTAGCACCTCCGACTATAAGTAGTAGAGGGTTTAGTATAGGAATACCTCAGTTGTTTCTATAGCCTCTCGGGCAGCGGCTGAGGTATGTTACATTACATTTATTAGAGATCACCTTAAACTAACATTTATTGTAGTTTCACTTAGGTTTATTACGTGGTGTGTCTACAATCTATCCTAGCAACTCAGCATCCCACTCTGCTCTTATTACTAAACCCATCCCGACTGCCAGCCTAGCCTGACTGCCAGAATATCCTGTTGAGGTCCTCTGGGACTTTGAGGATGTAAGACCGACAAGGATGTAGGCCTGACTGCCACAAACCCATCCCGACCAGCAATGGACTGAGCCATCTGACACAAAGATGGCACAATGATTTCTCCCCAAGAGTGGGCTGCTATCAAATCAACTGCCCGTATCTCCCGGCATAAGCTGGAGCAGCTTCCTGACAAAACCGGATAAACCCGGTCTCTGCTAAAGCAGCCATTGTTCTCCATGGAGCATAGCCACCACTCCATGGAGTCATCATTGTTCTCCTAGGAGTTATTATACTGTAGCGAGTAGCACCTCCAACTATAAGTAGTAGGGGGTTTAGTATAGGAATACCTCAATTGTTTCTATAGCCTCTTAAGCAGCGGCTGAGTTTCACTTAGATTTATTACTTCCATTTACCAATTGGCGGCCAAAAAGCGGTCAAGGAACTTCACCCAGTCATCCTATCCGGTACAGTGGGAGGCTGCCTTATTGGAGATGGAGCAGCAGCAGCCACTACTAGCTCTGTGCTCCAACCACTGGAAGGCTGAGCACATGCTTGGCCAATTGCTGAGGTCAACCGGAGGGACAACCAATGACTCACAAGCTGAGACCAATGTTGATAAAGAAGCAACACTCACCGGAGCAGTTTTATCAGGGACAGGAACAGGGACCGAGTTGCCAAAATAATGTCGCACAAGGTCCAACGTCTCAGAAGCTGCCAAGAAACACTGGCCACAAAAGGAGGCCTCCAAGGAGGCAACAGAAATGGGTATGGACATTGACAACAACATTACAGCTACAAAAATGCTGATACCTCCTCCATCCAGTGGTAAGTTTTCATTTGACTCATTAATATCTATCTAATACAGCATTTCTAGTACCCACAAAAAAGTCTCCTCCACCGCCATGGTTTCTTATTGCCATCCCCAAGCCCAGGAACAAGAAGCACAACACCGATTTCATACAAGTTGATGCATCCTTAGAAAACCTGAAAGGTTTTTTTTTCCCTTTCAGAGTCTCACACTGTCTCCTACTAACATATTTCTAGCTATTTTATATAAGGATTTCCCATTTGCCAGTGTTGGTCTCCACCTCCTTGACGCCATAGAGCACGACCCCAATTTCTCTCCAGGCCCTACTTCCCCTCAAGTGTTCAGTTTTATTGAGCGGATTAAGCAGGCGGACCCAAACTCCCCCAAATTTGATGAAGATAACCATGGTCTGTGCCGGGGGCACCACCAATTTACATTGGGGTCTATGACATGCTCACCAGTACTAATATCTTGGGAAACCATAGGTGCCTGTAAGGTAGCAAGCCACTTTATTGCAGCTGCAATCAAAACATGTATGGTTGCACTACACGTCTGCTTTCAAGATAAAATTCCTTCTTCCACTTTCCTTGCAGACACCTACCTACAGAATGCCATTGAACATCTTTGGGAAGTCTGGAGAGCCGCTGGGGGGTTAATTACTACAAGTTACTCACATTTTCTATTGTGACACAGATATTCAAAAAAGATGATTTTATTGAATGGATGAAAAATCATAAGGTTCCTCTTCCAAGCCTCAAGCAGCAAACAAAAAAAGGCAAGCAGCATGACATGTTTATATTATTTATTAATATGATGTACCTCTACAGATCTTGTCACTGTGATTCTGGCCTTGCTGCCTGAAAAACAACCTTCAAAGACTGAGGTTGCATTACTTATGACTAATGTAAGCTTTTGTCCTACTTTTCAAATAAGTATACTAATGACTTTCACTCCAGCAAAAATTGAAGAAGGTCCCTTGCAAGGCCACAAGAACCTAATGAATATCATCATCAATTGTTGCACAGGGATGCATGTGTACGATTAGGACTAGGTTGGACGATTCTGACATTTTTTAGTCCTCAAAATACACAATTCTTGTAGATTGGACTAATCCCGGACTATATATGACTACAGGCAACTATTCCTGACTCATGCTTTTTACTGAGTGTCATTCATGGTGATATACACTTGATGTAATCAAGTGATTTTTACCCTCTAAATGCTTGATATATCTAGGTATTCCACTGTTGAATTTAACTTGATAAAAAAATGATTATTAGAATAGTTTAGTGTCTGGCTCTGGATGGCTCTGACAATACAAGTAGCTATATTATATTCACAATATATATCTATTGCAGCATACCTGGCTAACCACTTCTTCACCTCAATTATTTCTTGACTATACCTGACCTGGCATATTGAACTAGCACAATACCCTCTCCTACTAGAGAGTATTGTGTTGCTGAACGTTCTGATCTGTCATTATCTAGCTCCTGTTATGCCACTACTCCTGGATTTGCTACTCTTATCAGTTCTTCCACCATTCTTTCTGGATCTGTCATATCCATACCGGAAGACAGAACTCCGGTGTCTCCAAAGGAGATACTCTCCAAGTCCAAAGCTCCCGAACCATCAGCATACCCAAGATTACGTTCCTTGTGGTCTGCCGGTCAGCATAACTCTACGCCCCAGTTCCACATGATACTCTGGTTGTCTGCCCCGATACTCCTGCACCGGACTTCTAGTCCGCCATACATTTCCCTTTGCACATTCTAGTATTCCTCATGGACTTTGTAGTTTAGACCTTATGATACACTCTTTGCACATACATTCTCCTCTTGCTAAATAATTGTCCGCATGGAACTCCATACCTACATTACTCCTTACTCCTTACGAGCTCCTGCTCCCCCAACAGTATATAAGCTGTAACTCCTGTACTCTGTTCCTGCAGTTCAAATATCAAATAGATTCCCTTGCCTTTTTACCAGTCCTTTTCTAAGTCCTTTCTAATCCTTCTCTGAAGGATCTTTACTCTACTCCCCTTTTATCCTCTACTCTCCTCTGTCCATTTTCCGTTGAGTTAGGGACCAAGGTCTGTGGAAGGGCCTAGCGCACGAGCTAAGCCAATTCCCCATCTTGCCCTCCGTACTTTGTTACTCCTACACCACACTCCACAGCTCTGCTACTCCGAAGAGGCCATGGTTCTGACAGGATCCTCCAATGCTCTTTCCAACTCTTCCAGTTATGTTTCTGTTACAATACACAATTTTTGGACTTTTAACTTTCACTCTCTTCAACCTTCTTTGTCTTTTGGACACTTGTGCCAAATGGCACTTTCCTTTTATTTTTAAAAAATTGACTTGTATCTTTACTTTCTCGTGCTGCACAGCTTTTTCTTATTTTCAATTACAACTCTCTCATGTGGTGGAGCTGGTCACAAGGGTTGCACCATGTACAAAAACCTTGTACCAGTATACATACCCCAATAGATCAAGGAGACTCCTCAGCGAGTCCTCCTATTGTTTACCCACAACAAACTTGGTCCTACCTTAAGGAAGTATCCACTCCTTCACTCACTCTTCTCTGCTTGTCCTCACTGTGCACCAGAGTATAAAAACTTTGGTTGGAACAGTTTCTGGCCCTGCTACCATTTTTTCTGGCTCTTCCAATGTTTCTTCAAGCTCTGACACATCTAGTGCTCTCTCTGGTGTTAGTAGTATCCCTCCCCTCCTCATGATGAATCAGCCTCCTGACCCAGCATTACATGTTGCACAGCCAGGTGATTTGCCTGAAACCAATCCTAGTCTCCCCACATTCACTGTGGGGATCAACTTATATAAGCCCAGCTTATATGCTGAAAATATTCAATTTTAGCTTTTTTCAGCCAATCAGGACACAGATATCCAATATCTTCAGCATATAAGCTGAGCTCATATAAGCCGATCCCCACAGTGATTGGAGTGGCACTATCAGCAAACCTGAGAGATTGCCACAAGTCATGTAATTGAGTTACAGTTGTTGAAAGAAAAAAAACCTCAATAGTTATTCTCATTGCACAGGGATAGCCATACACTGCTTTTTCATGGAGAGAAATATGACAAATTGGTGTAATAAATAATTTCTTCTGTGATGCAGCCTATCAAATGAGCTGAGAGGTGTGAAGATCAATTTCAGCATTTTGTTAGGCAACAAATACAAAGCTATATAACAATAACTAGTATCAGGCCAAGCCAAGTCCTTGATACAAGATGGTGGAGCTGAGTGGAGTTTCTGAAGAGTATCAGTATAAGCATGAGTCCAAACTAATATTGAACTAAGGAGATAATCCATTGGGTATCTACTCCTTACAGTATATAGTGAATATTGAAGGCCAGACCAGAAAAGGGAAAAGAATAAGAAAGTGACCTGACCAGACAACTAACCAATAAGAAAAGAGAAAGAAGTGGTACAATCTATCATAATTACTAATTGTGTGGGAAAGATCTGAAGTATTCCCACACATAGCTCTTAATCAGAGCTATGTCATTGGGATATCTTCTCATGAATGAGAAAAAAGCCCTCTATGCTGTAAGTATGATAGAATGTGAGTGTGAAAGGATAATAAAAGAAAAAAGTACATAAGTAAAAGGATCCTGGCAGTGACTTCTAGTCCAATGGCTAGGGGAGTGAGTTGAAGTGATTGAGAGAACCAAGACATGATGGGAATGCAATTAGAAAAATCAATTCCTCATATTAGCCCCCCTTTTATAAGACTCATGTCCTCATGAGTCTGGAAGCGTCACTCTGAAACTTATTAAAAATCCAGTTGAAAAGTATTGGTGGTTTAGAAGTGGTCATATAATTCTTATAAGGGCGGAATGCAAGCACAGTAGTGATAATACAAGGGACGACAGGGTGTAAGTTAAAACTTTGTGAGTAAATCAAAAACATGTGTCAGATTTGTATCTGATTCCCATGTTTGTTCTAATACTGGATAAACATGCCAATGGACAAGGTAGTTAAATTTAGAACCTCGTAATTTGGTTGGTCTGGAAGCAATGATATTCTCAACTTCATATTCATTGACTCATTCTATACTTTCTAGTGGTGGCCTTGAGGATACAGATCAATTAGGGAATTCAGAAATGTGATATAGCAATAGAATGACTTCATTGAATACAGGATGAATGGACTTCCAACTTTTTGGAATGTCAAGTTGGTAGGCTGAAGGTCCTACCTTCTGGACAAATTTGAAGGGACCAAAACATTCATTGTCTGACTTTTCATTAGTCAATCCATCAGACTTTGTTTCTCTTTTGATACTCTTGTTTTGGGGACTTTTTTGGATCATAATAGCATTTGAGATTGTTGTTTGCAAGCAGTAGGGAGGACTTAGTAAGGTCATGAATGTTGGAATAGTCAAGGTCAAAGCCTGTTAGCTTTGTTAGACAACATACAACATGAGTTGATATTAGTACAAGGGCTGGTAGCTCAGTTGGTTAGAACATTGCCATATATATGTAGGCAGAGGTCCTGGGTTTAATCCCCAGCTGGTCCACTTTGCTTTTATACACATCCTGTGGTCAGGTGGCTATGTGAGGTCACATGGCTAAATCTAATAATGAAGTTGGTTTCATCTGTTTGCCAAACTCAGCAGCTGACACAGATCTTGGGGATGAGGAAATAGTGGTGTGTGTTTGTGGATGTAGTCCATAGTTCAAAAAGAAGGGTGTCTGATTTGGATTTGTCGTGGTGTGGAGATGATTGTTGTATAGTAATTCAACAATAGAAAGCCAGTCTACCCAGTCATCTTGTCGGTGATTTATGAAGACTCAAAAATAATGTACGAGGTCTTGATTGATCCATCCTGACTGTCCATCTGTCTGGGGGTGATACCCCATAGAGAGGCCTGGTTCTATCCCCATTAACTCATAAAAGTCTTTGGTAAATTGTGATATAAACTGGGGGCCTTTGTCCAAAATGATTTTTTTGGGAATCCCATTGACTCGGATCACATTATCCCTGAGCTGAGGAGTGTAACCAGTAGAGTCAAGAGTGACAAAATGTGGGGACAAAATGTGCCATTTTGCTAAATCGGTCTACATAATTTGCCAAGGCCAATCAGGTATCGGGTTCAGATATCTGTATGGAGACTCAACCACCAGAGTTTGCAATTTATCAAGTCAAACATCCTCCTTTCTCCTGGACGTCTAGCAAGGACTTTGTTGTGATGATCCTTCAGAATGTGTGACTGGTTTGATTGTCTCCAACTTGCTTTTGATCCAGACAATACTACTTTCCAAGTATCTGCCTTTTCTTTCAAGTTTTTCTTCACTACTTTGTCTTGACTTTTGAAGCTCTTTCATATATCTAGTATATATCCTTTGTTGGCAGTGAATACTTTGAAATATATGTCTGGGAGAAGCATCTAATTTCTGTTGTCATTGGTGCCTTTAGGGTTATCTGCCTGTCTGCTTAACAGGTCCGCTTTGGTGTTCTGCTCTTCTTTGACGCGGTCCATTTTAAAGTTGTAATCTGCTTGACAACAATTATATTTCTGGAGTTGGCGGAAATAGAGGAGGCTCTGGTGGTCTGAGAGAATGGTGAATGGGTGTTTGGATTCTACATGGTGATGTTGCCATTCACCTAGTGCAGTCATGACAGTGAGCATTTTTTTGCCATAGATTTTATAGTTTTATTTAGCGGGAGTGAGGGCTTTTGAGAGGAATGTAATGGGTCTGAATGTATCATTCTGTTTTTGGGATAGGATGGCTCCTACAGTGGAGTCAGAGGCATCTACTTTTAGTTTAAATGGATCATCATTGTTTGGAATAGTGAAGGTAGGGGTGGTGGTGAGTACTTTTTTCAAAGTTTCAAAAGACGTTACTTGTTCATCCTTCCAACTCCAATTAACTTTTCTGGTGAGCATGGTGAGTGGTTTTGCAATCTTCCCATAGATGATGAATCTTCGGTAGACATAGGAAAATCCTAAAAATAACTGGAGTTCTCTCTTATTCTTCAATGTAGGCCATTCTGCTACTGCTGCTACCTTTAATGGATCCATGCATATCTTTTGAGATAATCATGCCTAGGTACTTAACCTCTTTCTTCTCAAATTCACATTTCTCTGGTTCAAGGTACAACTGGGCCTGTTGTAGACTGTGTATGTGTAAAACTTTGGTAGCAATTTGATGATATTCTTCAAGAGTCTCTGTGAATATTGTGATATTGTCCAGGTATATAATGACCTTTCTATCTGTGATTAATTCTCAAAGTAGGTAATCTATCATTGTTTGGAATGTGGTGTGTGTATTGGTGAGTCTGAAGAACATGACAAGTGGTTTGAACAAACCATAATTATTCCTAAAGGCAGCTTTATGTTCACCATGATCTTTGATGTGTACAAGATTATATTCCCATTGTACATCTAGATGTATATTTGGTAGAACCCACCTTACAGCATTGACACAAATGACAACAGCTTAATCCTTCCACGCTAGTGGTGGAATTGGCTGACAATGATTCTCCCCATTTCAACTATGCCTGAAAGTGATGTTATACAATATCCAGATAATTTACTTAATTCTGTTGTAACTAATATGGGCTTGAATGGCAACAAAGATCAGGAATGTGCATTCCACATAGTTGGTGAACATATTTTACATAGGAAACCTGATCAATTGTTGCTCTACATTGCAGGGATAAGGGTAATTGGCAAGAGTCACATTATTAAGTCCATTGTTGAACTATTCAACCGTTGCAAATTGTCAAATGAAATCTTATTAAGTGTGCCTACAGGCTGTGCTGCTGTGTTAATTGGTAGATACACCATTCATGCTTTGACAATTTTATCTTAGTCAAAAAAACAAACTGAACCAAAGTGAGCTGGAAAATATTTGGAGAAATGTGAATTACCTTGTAATAGATGAAATTTTGATGGTATCTGCCCGACTTCTGAGCAATATCTCTCACTGCATGTTGTTAGTAAAAAGTCATGACAGTCCCAATTGTGATAAACCCCCTGGCAGGATCAATGTGACCCTCATGGGGGACCCTGGTCAGTTGAAGCCTGTGAAAGATAGTGCTTTATTCAGCCACAGGATGCTGCATAACCTGTCACCGAACACAACACAGCATGAACTTGGTCAAAATACTCTTCATGGTGCTTCCTTATGGAGACAAGTGATGGACATTGTTGAACTTAAGAAAAATTTACAGGCAAAATCAGACCCTGCATTTGTGAACCTGTTACAGAGGATTTGGAAAGGACGTACTTGGGAGGATTTGCAACCTATGACAATTGAACAAACTGAAAATAGTGTAAACTACTCCATATCAGACTTTGCAGTACTTGAACAAAGGATCATGCCTTAACTTGCGGCTCACAAACCCGAGGAAGTTAAACAATTTAGGCATGCGCCCGTTCTTGTTGCCAAAAAGATTGTCAAAGATGTAATCAATTATGCAAAATGTAAAACTTACACTGCTTCTACTGCTCAACATAATAGCTTGAAAGACTATACCTTTTGATGTATCAAAAAAAAGCTTGGGTATATGTCCCATGGTTGTTGGTATGCCTGTGATAATAACTGAAAATGTTGCAACACAATGTAAATTGGTTAATGGCGCAGAAAGGATGGCGAGCAACATAAAATACTCAGAGGATGAAAGAGGTCGAAGATTTGCTACCATTTGAAACGGTACCCATATTGCCAACAAAGACAAGGTTCACCTATGTAAATGACATTGGGATCAAGTTTCCAATAGTACAAGAACAGTTACCTCTTTTACCCGCATATGCTTTTACAGATTACAAGGCAGAACCTTGCGTGAGGTTATTGTGGACCTTTTAGGATGTTTCAGCCTTCAAAGCACCTATATTATGTTGCCCTGTGCAAAGGAATTGGCCGGAATAATGATTCTGTGGGTATTTCCCAAGTCTAAGGTGACTGGACAACTTGCTCACAACTTCTGGTCCGAATTTCAGCAGTTATCTGATCTTGATGCAAAAACTCTAATAGGCTTTGAATGTTGTCATTAACCCACACAGTATTGATCACTTGACATCTTATCAAACTGTGATCACTCTACATCTTATAATTTGAAGCCACTACTCTTTCACAATCTACTGAGACATGGACACTGCTCCTTTCATGGTAACAAAAGGTTTTAAGACCTCATATCCTTCTTTGCACTTTGTGCCTCCTGTATACCAAATAACAGCCAAGCTCTGATCATAGCACCTCCTTACTACCTCCTGTGTTAGTGATACGTCCTGTTGGAATTTGGCAAACAAACAACCATGGTCAAATGTGTGGCAAATAGTATGTGGGCAGACATAATCAACCTGACACCAGTGTGTTTTGTATTCACTGTCCCATCCCAATGTGTTTTGCTGGATATTGAATCCACAAGAGACATACTTTGCTAAGCTTGGATTTTCCAAAGGATCAGAAAAGTATTTGTCCATATAATTCACATTCACAATGGCTTGGTGCTGGCTGGTGCTAGTTGGATATGCAGAAAAGAAGCCATCACCTGATATATAGTTCATCACCACTATCAGATGGAAGTGAAAGATGGGTGCAACGCTGGCCGATCTACTGGCAACCACAACATTGATGCACCTGTCTCCATTGCAGACAATAAACACCTCAGCAATCCCCATTTCCTTTCTCTTTTCTTCAGCATACATTTTTTTCTCTACCATAACCACATATCCCTCTTTCTAGTCTAGATGCCTCAATACCTTATTTTTTGCACTTCAGTGGCACATATATATCCATATCTCCCCACTTCCACCCACCTGGTTCAAAATAATGCAACACAACAGATCCTGAAACCACATTACGGAATTGGCGCAACATGCAAAGGAATTCAGGTATATGAATGATGAACAGACGGACAGTGTCATGGAGTTGGTGGATCAGATAATATTGGACGGCCATGTAGTTCTTGTGACTGGTTGTTCCAAAGAAAATGAACTTGGGGACTGACATTCTATTGAACACCAAACCCACAATTTTGACAGAGTACTGAGACATAAAAAAACCAAAGGGGTATTTGTCAACAAACAAAGGCATTGCAGGAGATGTTTCAATTTTCCAGATGATGGTTTTGTCTCCTTTATGTTCTATCATGTGTTTTTTGCCGCTTTTAAGAATCAGCCTATATTATTGCAAATTCACTTGTACCTTTGCAACACCTTACCAGCTGCCATTTTCTTTTGTCCCCCCTCTCAATGTTTTGCCACACTCCACTTAAAATCTTTCTTGGTCTTTTCATCATCCCAAAAAATGCATCTTTTCACCATGTCCTATTTACAAGGTAATATACTTTTCTTTGGCCTACGCACTGCTCGTCTTTCCTACAAATGACACTGGATTTTTCATATACAACAATGACCTCACAATATTGCTAAAGACATTACTCACACCATCAATCTTTCCTTAAGCTCCTGGTAAACTGTACCAGCCACACTCAAGGACATCAGTGAATGGGCCTGTGTCCAATGAAACCCTTGTTCATCAGACCAAGCCCACAGTCACATTATTTTGTACAAGGCCATTACGTTGATCCTACGACATTATATCCTGTCACAGTTCCTCTGCAAGGATTCTTAGGCAGACATCAACTGTCTTCTCTAGGAATGTGGAACAGGTAAGTCTTCAGCATGATATCATTTCCGTACTTAATTTCAGTGTTTCCGTCTCATAGTGCATGTACCCATGCTGCAGGTGCTGTACAAACTTTATGTCTCACGTCTGGAGGCCACAGTGGCTTATGGGAACATACCCTACAAACAATTAGTAATGTACGGCGATTCATACGCATCATATTGACCTGGAGGGGGAGCTTGTCATGCAAAGTTGTGTTTTGACATAGGCATCCATTAACCCCTTCCTTATTCATAGCAAAATATGATGTTCTTTTTTTAGGTGTTACCATTAAATGTACATGTCCAAAGTGTTTTACATCCTTCTGACAACCCTTTCAATTGGGCTTGTGCTGTCAATAGCGCTTAGTGCATAACTTAGAAACTTCAGATGGGAAGAACATGGCAAAATAGAGATGTTCAACCATGTTCCCAAACAGTGTTCTCTCATGGCAATGTTGTCAACATTAGTGTCAAGACTTTTTGCACAGGTGAAAGGAAGGTCTGTGCGCATCTCAACATTAAACATATCTGGCAGCTAATGTCTGCCACTGAAGCTTGTGAAGTGAGTCATTGTCCCCATACAATTTTTTTGTGGAAAACTCAATCCTGCTCCAGATTGGTGTTATAACCCCTACAAACTGCACAGTCATCCCTGAATCACCCACTCAACCTTCACCTGCCATTGCAAAGATGGGTCTCATTTTTGCTAATCCGGCTCCTCCCTTGACTGCAAAAGCATGCAGAGAAGGGACTGAGTCTGTTGTCCATGACTGATGTTTCATCTTACTATACAACACAACATTTTTATATGAAATTTGTAAACTTTCTACAATGTTTTCAATTTCTTCACCAATCACTGTTAACAAATAGAACAATTATTTGAGCAATACAAGGGTCTTTTCTTACTTGTGTCACTGATAAGTCCATCCTGCCTGCTGTGCTTTCTAATTTACTTATTTCAATACTGATGCTCCATGATATCCCTGTCATGGGCCTTTTCTAATCACTCTTTCGGACTTCCCTCTGTTTTTTTTTCATGATAAGATGGCAACACGGCAATCCTTCCACTCTTTTAGTTTGGCTGCCATAATTGACCTGGAATTAACTCTTCTTCTTCTTCCTCAACCAATATCTTCCCATTTTTCAAAGTACCATGCCTGCCTCTAAATGTACCGCTACTCCTCCTCCAAAAATTAATGTAAAGAAGGCGAGACTGACAAAAGATCCTAAGGAAAGAAGGTAAGGCATTTTTACCCACCATGATCTCTAATTATACCTTTTAGCAGCAACACCTTGTCAGAAGTGTCAGAACTTTCTAAACATGTTTCCAATTTAGACGTCTTACATTCTAAAGTGTGTGATCACTCCAACAAGGACGATGTTGCACCAGAAACCAATACTTGCTTGTTGTAAGCACTTCACAACACTCTTTGAACACAACAACTTATTCCTTCTTCAGCCTAGAGACTAAAACTAAGGAACTTACACCTACTGTTGCATCTGTGGGTGATAAGGAGCTTGTTGAGAGTAAAAACATTCCCTCTAAAAAGGTTGACACCCATTTAATGTATGTCTCACCCTCTACTTGGAGAGTTCTTACTGATATTTTCTCAGCACTGAGGATGCCAAACCACGCAATGCAACAGAGGAATTGACAGTGAATGTTGCTATTGATCTGGACGTGGGCACAACTCTTGAGGTCACTCTCATTCAGTATACTCTATTTTTCACTTTCCAACGCAAACTGCTTTTTAAAAATTTCTTACAGCCACATTCAATTTTTCCTCAATTATGCCAACAAAGAAATCTGTACTTACAACATTGACACTTTGCCAAACATTGACACCTGGGGTCCCAAAAGATGTAACAAAGATTGGACTTATTACCTTTGCAAAAAAGCACCAATAATCCATTCACAGTTTGGGTCGCAGGAACAATGTCCAATATTAACTTATATGCCACAGGCCCTCTTGGTCCTCCTCTTCTGCAAGCCAGAATCTTGTTGGTTCTGTTTGGGCAAGATACATGTGCTAATGCTCACGCGCAGATAAGTGCTTTGCACAATCCACCCCTTGGTTGGTTCTTGCATCCCTTCCCTTTATTTTCAATTCCAACCTCCTCCCCAATCACAACTTCAATTTTCTTGGAGAGATTTACAAGCCATTCACTTTCAAACCAACTTCAATGACCCTAAGAGAGAAGTAACAACATATTTCTTTGTTTTTGATCAAATCACCAATATCCATCAAGCTTTATCCTTTCACCAATGTATACAATGTATGTGTTGCTTTCAAGGACAAATCTGAGATGGATATTTACCCTGCTTGTTGTCTGAAAGAAGGCAATATTGTGTTGACAGAAGTTCACATCAAGCACTACAAACCCAAAGTGTCTGCCTTGCAGAATGTGGCCGCAAAGTCAAACACCAGTCATTCCAGACAAGCTACTATGTGGTCCACTTGGAATGTTCAATTGTAAAGAATACAATCCAGACTGGTTGTAAAGCCAAAAGGTTCTTTTGCCCTACTTTGACACAGCAGTCTTCTCTAAAATGTAAAAACTCTGAATATTAAAATAAGCTTGCCATGCAAGCCACCCTGTTGGCCATGTCTACTCCGGATGTGAGACATCCCCTCGCATATGCCTTCGCTGAATGAATCTTATTACTTCCATGATATTTCCCACTTCCAAACTTCCAAAATCAACCACTTGTTCCTGGTAAATTATGCTTTGGTAGCTTGAATCCATTTCAACTCCTTGGGTCGGCATGCCACCTCTTGCAACAACTACACCACTGGAATCTACATAATTTGGATGGGAGAGCCTTCTAAGTCATGTATGCACTCCTTCAGCAATGGAGTGTCCCCTCAGTTTCACTGTCAAAAACAACTTGCCATTGTGAAATTCAATCCCCTCAATTAGTCTTTCAAGCCACACAGTGAGCAGCTTTCCTGTGCTGGACTCACAAAGGACAGCTGGGATTTCCATTGGTGTCAACAGTCCTGGTCCCCAAAAGACCTCATGAGACACTCCATCAATAGAGTACAACCCTTGTTCTCTACAAAATTTAAGCTCTCTACTGTTAAGGACGCTAGCTACTCACTTTTCAGACATTGTTGTGGTATAACACTCCCTTCCCCATTATTCAAAATTGTCTTCAATAAACGCAAAAATTCCAATACATCTATTCTTCTCCACATCATTATACTGAATGTCACCAGTGATCACATAACTATTTACTGAGCTTCAACTCCCGGTACCAGGGATGCCCATAGGGCCGTGTATCTTAGAGAATAAAGACAATTGATCATCCTGATATCGCAAGAAAGCACGTGATGAGAAAATTTTGAAAGTCAGCTGAACTTTGATTCTGAACCTCTCCACAGCGGCTGGACTTTACAGCTAATTGCAGATCATTAGACATGTCAGTGTAAAAATCACATACAGGCGGACTCAAAAAATATGAATTCCAAAAAAATACAGAGACTGTATCCTAAACCTGGTCGATGCCGCTCGAGCTAACTATTACAAGTAAGGAGGACAGATATTTTGTGTTGAACGATGGTGCCAAAGCATAATTATTGGCAAGGCATGTAGCACACAGATGTGGCAGATTGGCTGTAAGATAGAATATAAATATGAGACATTGCTAAGGAAGGTACTCAGCATTGACAATGGCCTCCCAACCCAACCCCAAATACTTCTTCAACAACCAAATGCCTAATCTTGACCTCTATTGAGGCCAGTATCAACCTGGCCCCTCTCTGCACTCTGCTAGCATCCTATGGACCTCTATGCAATTATTACATTACACAATTTTTGGACCTTTAAATTTCATTCTCCACCTTAACTTTCTTTCATGGTTCTCACACACTAGCCAATATCATGTGAAAAAACAATGGTGGCCACAAAAAGCCGGTTATAATCACAGAGTAAATCTTCGGGCAAAGCTCCGAAGTTTGCTTATGTAATATAATTTCTACAGAAAGGTCCATCAGTCTTCTGACTCTGGTAAAGTAGCAGCTGATACATCTTCTAGCCCTGGTAAAGTTGTAGTCGGTATACATTACCTGGTCAGTTCTATCAATATGTTGGTATGTGATAGCTTACGCCAGCAATGCTATATCTCATAGAGCTCTTCAGTCTGGTGACTGGTAAAACAAGAGCATGTGTATTTTCTTCGGTCTGTTTCACCATCCTGACTATCTTTGCCATATAGCTTATGCTAGCTCTATTATGACCTCCATCTAGCAGCTTGCTGTGACTTTCATCTGAGTCTCTGATGCATTCGAGATAGCGGTATCTAGCATTGTTCTGGATTCATTTTGTTTGGTAAAATCTGTATATTAGTACCTAGTAGTAAGTAGAACTACTGGTAGACAATTATCAGAGCAACATTGTATATGCAACAAGATTTTGAGTTGAATAAGCCTGCGAAAAACACCTAAATCTACTAATTCATATAAAAATATATATTAGAACCCTGGTTTTTCATAGCAGCCCGCTTTTCATGAATCTTCGCCAGGGCACTGTATTACAGACTTTTATAAAACTTCACTTACTTGTGTGGCCACGTATGCAACAGAAGCTTTCGTCACGACTTGCATGCTATGTATCCTGGCATTACCAGAGCGTGTGGCCTTAGATTCTTGGTCAACAAAGCTGGGTGAAGTGAAAATGTGATCAAAAGCCTATAGAAAAAGATCAGCCTAAGGGAATCAAGGCTGTGTAGACTGACCCACACACATTAACCACTTCTTAATAGGCCGTTCCAGGGATCCTCTGCATTGTATTTGTAGTTGGCATACAACATTATTGGCCACTGGTCACCGGAATCTTGAGTTTGACCATTTACAAGCTTATTTTTGATTCTGAAAAGGTTAGTTAATTTTATGGATTGCGGGACAGGTCTTCAGTTAATTCCAAGGGAAACTTACTCAGTATTTGACCAGTCTAACACGGAAGGGCATAGGAGAGTGCCTGTGTGTTTGTGGTTGAAGCTGCATCCAGCCTTCACATTGCGGGGAATATGAGGCGCAAATGTCTGCTCCTTGGGCATGATCCAATCGATGACAGCACTCCTGATACCCTTACCCTTGGTGTCATCTGATCTGGCTCCATTGACTCTTTTCTGAATCTGTGTAAGGTGTGAATATAGTTAGCTTAACATGAAACAAGGATATGTATACCAAATCTGTGATGTGGATTATGTCCTCCCCGGAAGGATCTTCTCTCATCAAATGTTTCTTGAGCCCAGGCAATAGTTTGAGCAAATCCAGGAATACAAACTATTCCCTGCATTCCCTATACAGTGATCAATAATTAAAAACAGTGTCCTAGCAATGAAAACAGAAAACATAGAATATATACAGCAGTAAGTTCTTCCTCAGGCTTGTCAGAGACCATACGCCTGATTCCATTCTCAATAAGACCTTGAACATTACAAAACACATGTATAGCCCTTCCAAAGTGGCAACTGTGATGGACAAGGGGATTCTGTGCAGTGCTGTGATGTAGTTAAGAAAAATTAGTGACCACATGTCCTTCAACAGCGCTGGGAAACTTACTATCTTTTCCTAGGGCCCTTGACCATGGCGATAGTGAGTGTTTGAGTCCTCAAGGCTTACTTGGATGTCAAAGTACTTCCCCAATATCAGGATAACTTGCAGAACATCATGATCCTGATCATGAGAGCGATGAGGATTTCAGTTTAAATGCTAGTCTGGGCACAAAGTGCTAAGATGGAGTCATCTCCAGCATCTTGGAGCTTCAGAATGTTCTTGCTGATAAATTGGAAGAGTTAGAGGATGTGCGTGAAAGGGCCGCATGCTTATCATACCAATTGGCGGTTTTGGAAGGTTTTGGTACACCCAAGTGTGACTTGCCTAGCTATGAGGATGAGAGTTTTGAGGATTGAGGATTCAAGTTGACAAAGCCATCGAGAGATCAATGACTTTGTAGCATTGTGATATGCAAAGTAGTCTGAGTCCTTGAATAGATGCTGTCTGGAGCGAGTTCTATGAAGGCAAGCATCATTCTAATTTCAAGTTGATTCTACCAGAGAAACATCATTAAAGATTACATCAATTTGTGGACAGTAGGTGCCCTTCTTTGTATGACAGACAAGAGAGCAGCTGCAATAGGGGATTCAGGCTGCTCCGTCAATGCATTGTGATACTTTCTTAAATAACTCTCAAGCAGTATCTTATTCAACGCTTCTAGTATTCCATCCCTTGTCTTCTTTATGTCACGCAGAGTGATAGTGTGCGTCAGATCCACAAGAGACGGATTGGACACTCCGGACCTCCAGTTGCCAATGAAAGGGTAGATCTAATATTATTATACTAGTCATGCATGCAGTCTCTTGCTTGATTTCAGTTATTGATGTACCAATGCCGCAAGATCAGCAACAGTTGCCTTTGCCATGACACCTACATCATAATAATCAAACATGGGAGGCATAAGGAGTAAATAAAGTCAAACTTACTACTCTTGATAGCTAACTCATTTGGTTCGCTGCAAACAATAGAAATGCTTGTGTTGAGAGACTTGGGAGCAAGTTGCAAAGACTCTTGAGTGCCAGGATACATTGTGATTAAAGTGAGACAAGTCTCCATATACTTGCTGAGAGCTGGACTGCATCCCAGACAGGTGCAATGTCCTTTAGCCAATTGAGGAATCTTGCATTTGCATCTGTGAAAATCGAAAAAAAAATAAGATCTGAGCATATATCAACAACACCTGAACAAACCTTCCAGATCAGTAGACGCTGTGTTGCTGTAACTGTCCACAACATAGTTTACAAATGAAGTGTGAGAGGCTGTTTGTACTAACAGTGAGATTATCTCAGATATATCAAGTTATCACTCACTTGATGCCTCATAATTCACCAAACTCCTATCCGAACACTGACTACTATGTGCTTCTGCAGCACTAGTGTCTTGAGCTTGAAGAGCTACAGTCAGGCGCTGGTGACTGATACTGGTGAGGCAGCCCAACAACACCTGCAGTATGACTCCCACACCAAATAAAGTCCACAGGAACAGCATGGGGCACTGTGCAGGTCACCCAGTAGTTCCAGCTTTGCTTTCACTTGTTACTTGTGGGGGTTGGGCAGATCAATTGCGACTAGTGTTACAATACACAATTTTTGGATCTTTAAATTTGATTCTCCTCTTTAACTTCTTCTGTAGTTTGTAGTTTTCACACACTGTGCCATGTGGCACTTTTCATTTTGTTCAAACTCCCCTTTCTCGCACTGCGCGGCCTTTTTTTATTTTTAGCTACAAGTATCTCACACAGTGGAGCTGGTCACATAGCTGTGCTCTATGACATTATCAGCCACTGTTTCCATCAACTGTATAGTACACATGTACAAACAACCTGTAGTAGTATAAATACCCAGTAAGATCCAAAAGACTCCTCAGCGAGTCCTCCTATTATTTACCCACAACAAACTTGGTCCTATCTAAAGGGTAGCCACTCCCCTCATTTCCTTATAAGCTTTGTCTAAGTTGTGTGCCAGAGTATACAAAATGCTGGTTGTAACAACTAGTAGTGCCAGGGCGGGATTCCCTGGAACATTGGGGCATGGACAAACTAAAACTGTGGTAAGAACTTGCTGCGCCTTGACTCAGACTCGGACCATATTGCACTGGGAAGGGAAGAGACATGTAGGTACAAAGTAGTTGGTCTGGCCAACCAGGCCACATGCTACTGGACCAATTCAACTGTCAACTGTGCACACTCAAGAAACATTGGAAATCCAACCATGACCTCACTGTTCACTCAATAGCCACCCGTCATGGAACACTGGGCAACGAAGAGGCAGACAAACAAGCCAAAGCAGCCAGCGAGGGAACCTCAAAAACTTCACCAAGAGAAAAACTCCCACTCTGTCTATGCAAAACCCTACCAGCCAGCTCCTTCACCATTAAACAACAACACATTGCTACCACCAGACTCACCTGGAAAATATTATGGGCACAATTGCCCCGTGCTGAGCGTTTAGCATGCCTCGACAACAGTCTCCCAGCTAAGACTTTCATTAAACCAATTGCTGACCTCCCCCGCTGTCAAGCCAGTATACTGATCCAACTCCAAATAGGTTACATACCTCTAAAGAATCACCTCTTCCATATTGGGGTAGCGGATGACCCCACTTGCAAGAACTGCCCACTAGGGAGACAGAGTTGGACCCTTTTGGGGATGGCAAATTGTTTGATAAGCCAGTTGACTCACTTGAAATTGCTGATGAAATGTATATCAGACCTTTTAAGTACAATTAAATGTATGAACTTATGATTCATGGTTGTTAGGTCATATGGGTAAATCAGAAGAAAAAGTATTTCAAGATGGTGGTGGAGTAATATTTGAGATGATGGGACATACCTGGGGTTGGTTCCCGGGCACTGGATTTGCACTGGGGAGTTGGCATTTGCAACATTTTTGCGCATCCTGGGACGCTTGTCCAGGACACAACCAAGATTATCATGAGCAGGAGTTTCAGAGTTGGCTGCCTTGGAGGACCGTACACATCATTGCATGGCCGTGAAAACAGTTGGGGTAGAACTTGTGTGGTTTTCCTGTGTACATAAAATGCTGGATGGGATTATTGGTGTTTTACTTGGTAAACCAAGAATTATTTATGTCCATCTCATCACTTGCTAATATCTGGCTACACAGGCCTTCAGAATGGTTACTTGGGACATGGTCTCATTCATTGTGACATTAGTGATGGCAATTCATGGCTTTGAGTCAAAGCTGCCTTGCCCCATTTTGCTGTCCCAGATTGGCCTGTTAACATCAGTAATGACTGGTATCCACAGCATCCCGGAGTTTTAGGAGATTGGGCAATGGCTGAAGATGTTCAAAATGGTGACACTGAGAGGACCACAAAATATCTGACCATGAGTTTTTTTACTCCATTACAATAGGATGATTTCTTATATCTTTGGAATATTAGGGGACATATCCTTACCAAGCTATAGGGAGAGTTCTACAACCTGACGTGCCACATGACTACATCCATGACATGGAGTCCATTTTCTGGATGCTATAGTTGATCATGGTCAACTCCAAAGGCCCCTACTGTCAGCAAATCAGCTGGGATGAGAAAGCAAAGCAAACTACAGCTTGCAAAAAACCTGTGTTGACAAAGCACTCAACCTCTCAGAAACAGAAGCAATCTGCAGCCGGAAAGAAACCTGTGTCATCAAAGCGCTTAGCCCCTCAGAAACAGAAGCCTCTGGAATCACCACCTCATCAGCACAGTGATGTCTCATTACGCAGTCACATTACCCCTGTCTACAAAGAGGATCTCCCTAGGAATAGTACTAAGGGAGGCATCCTGAATATCCCATCTCATCAGTCGCAACTCTCTTCTCACAGCAAACAGGACAATATTCCTGCCTGGGTCAAATGGGGGTGTTACACACTTGATGCCAACACAGTAGCAATGGAAAAAGTTATGCTCTCATGCGTACACTTTATGGCATGCATCGATTATTATTTCTGCAGGCATATGTCTGTCAGGGCAGGGATGGTCAAGCTTTTTAGTGCATTCATGTGGAGTGAAACATTTAGTGGTGATGGGAACATGCTTTATAGTCCTTCCCCCAAATATATTTCATATCAGGAGATGGTGGATATTGTGAAAGATATGAGGAACAGTATTGAGCCTCAGTCTGATAGGGTGGGAGCATCTGTGGAGGTTATCAATGCTGGAAGAGAGAGGTACCAGCTGCAGCTCCAAGACGTGAAGAAACCATCTCTCTTGTCTTTGCCTGTCGACCATTACAATCCCCCAGACCCACTCATATCTTGGCCCAGCAAGCCTTCAAGTGGAAATAAACACACTTCAGATGGAAATAAAGGGGAGGAGCCTGTCAGCAAGTGCCTGAGATCAACACGCACCCGTAGCAGGCAAAAAAAGTAAAAGGAAGTACTTTTTTTGTCTTTTATTTTACGATTATGAACAAATCCTGAACTGTGCCTATAGAATGTATTGCTATCAGTCACAGTGTAGTCTGTAGCTTTACATATAATCTTTAGGTTCAATGATATGTATTCAGACTGTTGTATTTTTGCCTTACTGACCTTTGCCATCATTGTGCTTGTCACGTAAACGCCCATCCATCTGATCCAGCAGGTGCCTCTACTGCTTTTATATCCCTCTCTATGTCTAGCATCTCATTATGGTTGTCCTACGATCAGTACTTCCGGCTTTAAATGTTCAAGTTGAGCTCACATCTGCCCAGTCTACAGATGAGGATCTTACAATCTGTCCTGCTTATCACAAGAAGCTTAAAACTCCCCAGGGCCTGATATCCTATCTGTCGTCAACAAAAAGCTGCAAGCAATATAACAAATGGAAGCTACAAAGTTTGACGATTCCAGGAGAACTTGATAGGGGCAATGATTTGGAGATAAGGGAAGTACCTGATATGTTACCTGATAAACTTAGACCTATGGATGAAGACCCAGAAGACGTGGTGGATGACTAATATAATTGTCTCTATGACTTTACTCCCACAGAATCTGAGGAGAATATGGCTGGACCCTCAAAGCTTCCTGATGAAGATGATAAGGAGCGTATTGAGGTACCCCACCCTACTGCAGGCAAGGTAATTAGGATGGATAAAACGGTATATGAGAGATGGAAAAGAGAATTTGGAGCTGAGAATATGGATGGTGATATGGATATGGACTCAGATAAGTCAGATGGATCAGGGAACATTTTTGCACCCTTTGCATCAGAGCTGGACTGGAGGGTTGCTTGCTGGGCTGTACAGGATGGAATAGGCCATAAATTATTTGATAGATTAATGGCAATACCAGGGGTATGTTGCCTCTTCTCTCTTTCAAGCACATATACTGATTTATCTATTTCAACCAAGGTGGCGGATAAATAAGGTGTATCCTACCATAATATATATGGGCTCCATAAGCTGGTTGATTGTGTTCCAGAATGTGCTACTTGGAAAACTAGAGAATTGTGGTTCAGAAATAGTCCCAAGCATAAGCATATGGTTTATAATTGTGATCCTATCAAAGCTATCAAGTCCTTGCTAGGAAATCCAGCTCATGCCAAGGACATTGTCTACAAGCCCAAGCGTATCTTCACCAATGCTTCAAAATCTCACAGGATTTACAATGAGATGTGGACCGGAGATTGGTGGAACACAGTACAGGTAGGTGGCATAAATCCAAATGTGTCATTTCAGATATTTGATGATAATATTCCCATCTAGAATCGCTTACCTGAAGGTGCCTGTGTAGTCCCTGTTATCATAGCCACAGAAAAAGGGCAACTCACCCAGTTCTCTGGCAACAAGTCTGTTTATCTAGTGTATCTAACTCAGGGAAATTTGCCCAGATTTATGCGCCGTAAACCTTCCAAACACGCCTATATTCTTATTGCCTATCTCTATGTCAGCAAAAATGTAGGAGACAATCTATCCAAAAAGCAAAAGTCAGCACATATTCAACAACTCTTTCATGACTCAATGCGCATAGTCTTGGAGCCTCTGATAGAGCCTGGAAAGCATGGAATGGAAGTCACAGGGGGAGATGGAAGGGTTAGGAGGATCCATCCCATCCTAGCCTGCTATATAGCTGATTATCCAGAACAATATCTCATCACCTGTGCAAAATATGGGACCTGTCCTGAATGTGATGCCTCTGAAGATACCATGGGAGAAAGATGTCCAGGGAGATGGAGGACACAGAAGAAGACTGCTGAGGTTATATCAACAGCCAAAGTTGACGCAACCTCTATCAGCAATTTCCAGGAGAGATGCAAAGCTCAAAATGTGTCTGGGGGTGTCCGTCATCCTTTCTTGGAGGGGTTTCCTCATTGCGATAGCCCCTGATATACTCCATCAACTCTATCAAGATGTCGTAAAACATCTGATTCACTGGTGCTCTAGCTTGATGACCAACAAAGAGCTGGATAATTGCATTCGTAGACTCCCCCCTTGCTTTGGTGTATGGCATTTCAAGCATGGTTGGTCACAGCTATCCCAGATATCTGGGACGGAGAGAAAAATATGGTGAGGATTTTACTGGGGTGCATTGTAGGGAAGGTCCCCTCTCAGGCCGTAACTTGTTATAGGCACTTCTGGGCTTTATCTACATGACACAATATACAAGCCATGACAATACCACCATTCAATATCTGGAATATTGTGCCAACAAGCACATTTTTGTCCATCTTGGGGTACAAGAGCATCTCAATGTTCCCAAGTTTCACTCCATGCTACACTATGCTGAGTGTATTAGAAATTGTGGCACCACTGACAATTACAACACAGAAATGTTCAAAAGGTTCCACATAGATTTTGCCAAGGAAGGCTGGAGGGCATCAAATTTCCATGACAAAGTTCCTCAGATGACTCAGTGGCTTAGTAGGCAGGAGAAAGTAGCTATGTTAGAAAGTTACCTGAACAACTACAAGAGAGAAGAAGAGAAGCAGGTAGAGTTGGAAGGAGGTATACAGGCTAGTTTATTGCCTTCATCCAAACCCCTATCTATTTTCCTGGCTAAATGACCACATTCCCCTGGCCAGACACTGAAAAGCATTCAAACAAGTCATCAATGTCCATCTTTCTCATATCACCTACATACTTTCCTTAACAAATTCATGGACAGAGGGAACACAATCCCTAGAAATCAAGTGGCCTTGGCCCAGCTTCCATTTGATTGACTAAATATTTGGCACTCATTCAAATTTGTGTGGATAGTCAGGGTAATGATATAGATAGCATCCAACATGTGGAAGGTATAAAGGCCAATCCTGAAAAAAGAGGAGAGGAGGGCAGATTTGATGCTGTTATTGTAGCACATAGTGATGAAGCAGAGGCAATAGGCCTGCAAGGTACGTCAAACTGTATTGTCCCTCTACTGCTTTTTTGCTTACTATGTCACTATAGGGATGAAGGTTGGGAGATTGAGGGTCATATTCTCACTCCCAGATATCCTTTATTCTTACAATATTGCACCTCATTCATGGCCCTTAGGCCCTTTGGCTTACGTGGAGTGGTACAAAATATCTAGAAATCCTGGGCAATTTCATCACATGTGCGTTGTTACCAAGTAAGTCCCTCAGGCAAATGGTGTTGCACCTGGTGCTATTATTCTACTGGGGAACATACATCAAACTTGTCATTTGGTTCCTCTTACTGGACCTGGGATTGTTTGGCCGTCTACTTGGAGGACAGATAATGTACTGGATGTTTGTGGATCATTTTTACTTAATAATTGGGCTAGCGAATTTGCATACCAAACAATATGGTAGTATAGAATTCATTTGTTGGAGTATAGTAACTTAAAGTCTATTATTTTATTATTGACAACTTTGAACTGATCTGATTGGCTTTAATTGCAATAAAAGTACTCTATATGTAGCAGTAGTGGCATCTATATCAATCTATAGTGCACTATTTGCCACAAATGCTATATTTGGTCTATTACCCAATCATACCAAACTATATCCAATCATAGTAAAATCATGGTTTCCTGATGAAGATTGGGCGCCTGTGTGAAGCTCCCCAGAAATGCTGTCACTGTTGTACTCCTTCTCTGCTAACAATTGAAATGCTCACAGTAGAGATCCACCACCTTCACTTGAACATAACCTATCCCTTCCAACATTTCTCTCTCTTGATTTCTCATATATCCTGCCAGAAAACCATGACTGGTGATTGTCTCATGTGTATAACACAAGTCCATGTATGCATTGGTGAGTGGTGGAAGATGTTTCTGAAATGCTTGATGTCTGCATTGGATTCAATCATGTTGCAAGAGGTGGTTGCATTGAGCCTTTTTTGTGCATCTATAATGGCTGGAAACATGCAGTGAGTTGAATGAATATCAATACTACGCTGATAATCTGACTTCTTCCATACTTCTCTATTCAAGTCACACGTCAATTCCTCAAACTCTCCTCCTGCATGGCTTATGTCCAGCCCCTTGGATCCATCAAGTATATTGGCAATATTAACACTACCCTTGTATCCATTATCAAAGTTGTCATGAGCATTGTTAAGAGGAAGACTCTTCAGTGCCTCGAGAGCTTGTTGCTCATCAGCAGTCATCTCTGCATTCACCATCTCCCATTTCACCTGACTAACACAAACTCACCTTGCATGTGAATTTTGCGCCTGTCATTTGCTTCAGTAACCATTTGCAACTTTCTAGGCTCTGCTTTGTGAGAGGAGCCAACGCACTGGACCCTTCCTGTGGACAGTTCAGTACAATTTCTTGGCCGTGTTTTACTGGAGCTGACCATCCTATGTGACAGAATATTGGCAGGAGAAACTTACCTACAGCAATGGTTAACCATATGATGATGCTGAGCAAGAGCCTCGGATTTTCTTAGGTAAGTCATCATGATAGCTGGTGAATATAGCTAAGCCTTACCACTGATTATCTGCTGATGTACATTATAGATTCTCACCCTGCAAGTATCAACTTCAACTGTCACAGGCCCTCATGAGTTGCAACCAGCAAGCATCACAAACGGGCACCACCACCACCACCACCACCACCTCTGTGAGTTCATGTCCCTCTTCTGTGTGAGGTAACGCTAAACTAAAACAAAAAACAAAACCTATCTCTCAACAAGCGTTGAGAGGAGGAGGTCAATGAGTTCTTGATGTCAATAGATACAAGGGAATGTTGTAAGTCAAGGATGAAAGACTCAGAGGTTTTTAATGTGGAGTTAAATGGGTATTTCAACTAATAAAAAGCTAAGGAACAAAGAAATACATTGACTAGGCTTATCCTACCAGAAAGACTAATCATTTGAATAGCTAAACAGTTTAGCTTTACGCACTGGTTGTAATGACCAAGAGTTTGTTACTCTGGCGCACAACTCAGACAAGCAATAGAGAGAAGAGAGAAGGAAGGGATCACCCCTTAGGTCTCAACAAGTTAGTTGTGCTAGACAACAGGAGGACTTGCTGAGTCCTTCCCCATGTATTGCTCCTGTATATATACTAAATACATGAGGTACTGTACAGTTGTAAATAAAGTTTAAAGCCCAATGTCTAGTATGTGACCGGTCACATGATGAGTCTAGACATTGGTCAGGTGTTGTGTCACATGACTGGTCATGTGACTATGAAAAGTTCAAAAATGTAAAGTAAAGTAAATGGTCACATGACTGGTCATGTGACTTGGAAAAATAAAAGTAAAAGTGCGAAAAGTGAAGTGTAAGTAGGTACTGGTACATCAATTGTAACACTGGTCGTTATGGAAGTTTTTTTTTCCTAACAAGGGGTCATGTCTACAATACAGGGGCAGCAACTTGGTTTGGGAGTGAGAATGCTATGGATTTCTGGGAAGACATAATTGGGAGGGACCCTGACAAGATAGCAATTCCAGTGGGCCTGTTTGCAGAATCAAAGTAAATATCAATTCATTGATTACACTTATCCTATTACTACCTGTTCTACTGCTACTTTCCCAGGTGTGCATGAGTGGGATAATCTAGCAAATAGTCGTCGGCAATGTACTAGATTTTGTAAAAGCAGCCTTTGTAAGTAGAATCAATCCCTACAATATGTTTATATTCTATATCTACCCCACATCCAGGCAGTGTTCTTAAGCGCAAGATAAAGATGGATTATGAGTGGATTGTGCAAGGACGACACGACAGTGATGATGTAAGAATGTAGTCATTGGTCACTGATGCTACTGGGGTGAGCTTGTTGCAGTTTCCTAAGGCCTCAAATTAATCAAGGTATAATACAAGAGGTGCGGAAACACCTCTATTGCCTCTTATTAAAGGTGCATCAGTGGGGAAATAACACGTCTAATAAGAGGCATTCTGTGGGAACAACAGGTGATTCTCTTCTAGATAAAGTGTGTGCTTGTCCCATAGAAGAACCCAGCTTACAGACTGATTTGTAATCAAACATAGATTTGTCCAATTATTTTCAGGTGATATTGGAGATTATTTCGACACGATAGCTGATTTTTGTTTTTAATATACATCTGTGTCAACTGAAAGACCCAGAAGATGATAGAGTAAGAGTAATGGTAATAGTGAATAACCGCAATAGTACTTTACTGTCAACTCACTCTATACTCATCCTATGAGGGTTAATTGACATTTGGCCGCGCGGTTGATATTGGGAACTGCGCCGTCCGCGGAACTGGCTCTTGGTCACTGTCGTGAGGGATGAGAAAACGATTGGGTAAAACGATTTACTACATACTACATGTTTTCAACCCGTGCCCAAAATTGCGCAAAACGATAACTGCAAACACAAAAGTTAAGAGCAACAATAAAATAGCAATAGTGGCTACATATCAGCATATCAGCGTAATGTGTCTTCCCGAGTACATAGAACAACGCACAGAAAGTCGTTAGCGATTTCCACACATCACTGTATTCAGATGTGCCCCGATATTTGAGAACTTTGAAGAGCTAGACACAGTGTCAACATCATGATAGTAAAGCTACATCAGGCCTAACCTTGAATATGAAATATACCAGTGCGCCCGCACACCCGACCATAAAAGTGAACATCATCCACTTGTTTTCATGGCGAGCTGCTAGATGACCTTCCACAAGAAGTACGATCGACAACGGAAGAGCAGCACAGGTCACATAGTATTCCCAGTCATCATGCTGTAGCACGAGCCAGATGAACTGTACAGAAAAGCCCACCCAAAAGAAAACATCGAATTTGACAAGACACTCGAATATTTGATAGCTGGCATACATTCTTTTGATTCTCCTGTCGGCACCAAGAAATTTATAGACTTTCCAGCCAAATTCGTCGTAGATTTTCCAGCCAAGACCAATATATGCTAGCTCAGCAACAGAAATAACGACAGGGATGATATTGGCGAGCACATTCACAGGAATATGGATAATACCCGATGCCGATGTGGAAGAGGCCTGAATCTCTCCGATTTGTATGATGGCATAAACGAGGAACAATATGTTGAACACGCTATTCACACATTTTATAGACGTGAATCCAGGATGTGCTTCAAACCACTTACGTAAGAGCAATGAACTGCAAAGTGTTGCGTGCATAGACGGCGTCTATGGCCATTGCAAATTGAAAGACACTGAACCTCTGGAATCAAAATATTATAAGGAAATAGAAAACAATACTCACTGAGCAAGTGCGAAGATACTCAAGTAAACAGGCATTTTTTCTCTAGCCGATCCGGGACTTTGCTCGCTCCCATTCAATCGAACAAGGAGATCACCTTCAATCGCGAGGTCAACCGTTGTTTGGATCAATACTGTAGTAACGTATAGTCGACATGCTACTGAATCTGGTAGAATCTAAAGTGAGCAGGTAAATATGCAGAACGTAAAAACTAATAGGATAGGAAAGCTAGCCTTGGCCCACAACAATCTGGTACCACTTTTATTTTCCAGTGCTCTAGGAGGATACTCTTGGTGGTGCAGCGACGTATCAGCACCTATATTGGATAAGTCAAATCTCACCCATGACGTTGTAAGTAAACCCAAAACAACCTATTATTTGTGCTGGAGTAGTGAATGCTCCACGTTGTAAATTCACAGGATGGGGCGCGGCATATTCTTCTAAAAGATCGTCGTAGGAGGCCTTGATGCCTTCTATAGAAGTCGCGGACTGATGGTATATGGAAAATGACCTTGATGAACTGTTAGAATGACTGTGGTGATCCATCTTGAATGACTGAGTGGCTATGAAAACTTGAAGTAATTTGTCAAAGTATGCGCGTTCAGTCTCCGCTTCAAGCACTACACCCCAGTGAAAAGTGGTTCTGTATTCCTGGTCCCACAGTGATGGCGACTCAAAAATAAGCACGTGAGCTTGCGATCGCTGCGAAGATTGAGTTAGGGCAGTCTCCTACCCACCCTCTATTCCGAGAGAGGAGGGATTTATCCTAGTGCTTTGATGCTTTGATGATATACAAAAATAAAATTAAAATAAAACACATCACATGAACATCCCTCGCTCTCTCTCCATAACGGCTGGAACATACAACTGATTTCATAACGATAGACCTATCCAATGAGTTAGCGTACAGAGCGGAACTACAACTGAGCTTAAAATGTAGTAAATCTAAAATTTAGGGAGACTAGAATATTTGGCTCAGTATCGAGTGTGGCTGGTGCGATAAGTGTGATAGCCCAAGTCTTTGAAAAAAATTGGTGTAGACTATTTGGTGGAGTGCTTGCCAAAGAAAAAAAATGAAATTGGGTAGAAATGAGGATCGTTTGATAATAGGTATTGCCTAAGGCCGAGAGGCTGTTAGTATAAGAGTCAGGAAGACACAAAAAAAAAATATATACCTCCTATGTCTTCTCAACAAAGCTCTCATCATTTTTCCCTTGACGAAATGCATGGTGCACCCATGTTCCAAAGGGCTTATCAACAAGCTCCCCAGCAGACTACACTGGGTACAACAGTCAGGCAAGTGCATTGACAATCAGATATCAACTGTAACAACCAAGAGTTAGTTACCCTGGCGCACACAGAAACACACTATAATGAAGATGATGAGGGAGTGGTTACCCCTTAAGCTGCAGAGAGTTTGTTGGTTTACAACAGGAGGACTCGCTGAGGAGTCTCCTTGATCTATTGGGGTATATATACTAATACAGAGTGTTTGTACTTATGTACTGTACAGTTGATAAAGTTTAGTGGCTGATGATGTCATGGGGCCTAGCCCGCATGACCAGCTCCACTGTGTGAGAGAGTTGTATCTAAAATAAGAAGAAAGGCAATGTGGCGTGAGAAAGAGGAGTTTGAACAAAAGGGGAAGTGCCGCATGGCACCATGTGTTACGATCTCTATTGGACATTCAAGGACTACTCATTTCTTTTTACTCATCGGGTATACCATCGGACCGATGACTCATTTCCTTCACGTACACTTCCGTTCCTCTCACATTCACAGTACCTATCATAGTACTTAGTCTTCAACAGATGGACCTGCCCTAGGTAGGACCTAACTCCTATCACCGATTCATTTCCATTATAAATACCATGTAATAGCAGTAGTATTCTCCAATACAATTCTACGCAGTTTATGCTTACAAAGCTAGACTCCTAAGATCAGACTTCTACTCAGAAGAAGACCAACTCTCGTTGGAAGACCTCCACTCAGAACTACGTTCTCAAACTTGTCTTCGGATAAGTCTCTTTATAAAACCTCGACGAACCCTCAGACTTTGTTAAGCACTTCATGCGTAACACCATGTGTGAAAGCTAAAGTGTACAAGGTTAAGGCGGAGAACAAAGAAGAAGGAAAGGTCTGAAAATTGTGTTATCGTAATATCAACCTCATCATTTTGCCATGCACTATCCCCCACACTTGATGCAACCAGCGCACAATATGCATCAGTATGGACAACCTGGGGTGCCCCTACAACTGTCTGTGCCACTGCCTGTGCAACATTATGTGCAGCCTGCACCGTCGCATGCTGTGCAGCTGCCCTCCCAGCCACCCGCAAATGATCAGCTTCCCCCCAGTACACAATGAGTTCGGCCTAATGTGGAGGTCCGTACAGGTGGTCAGTCATGTCTATTTTATTGACATGAAATGTGGACTTACTCACCTTGATAGTGTATACATTCACAACTGAGGTTGTGAATGATGATAGCAAGAGGGACTTTGAGGCCACTACCGACATGAACTGGGTTCAGTTTCGGCGCCAAGTCTTCAACCTGCTTGATGGGCCTGAGCAAGACATTCAGCTGGCATATAAGTTGTCGGGTGACACAGGCAAGCCATCACATATGAACAACCACCATGACTTTACAGCTGCAATAGACCGACATGTAAACAAAGCACGAGTTGCTCGAACACGAGTGGTAATGCTGAAAATCAAGAACATAGTAAGCTGTTTCTTATATCATATGTGATAAACTCACCAAATTTGTTGTTGTGCCAGACTAAGCCAACAGCACCGGTTTCAAAAGGAAAGAAACAAAGTAGGACAGAGGATATACCACCACCCTTGAGTGACAAAATGTCATCACAGTTGAAGGCATTCAAGCAGCTGGAGAAGGCTACTCGGTGCAAGCTGCACCAAGGTCACTGCTTCATTGACAGGCCAAGTGGATGTGATGTCCACCGCTGTCTCAGCCATGATAAAATGACCTTGTGGGCCAAGAAAATTGTGAGTTCTTGGGTCCGGTAATTTATTTCTAGGGTGCTGACACTCAGTATAGTCACTGGGGCAAGCGACAGTCTATAGCGCACCCCATTGTTTGAACTTTGATCGCATTCCCCCAAAAAAAGCTTGTCTATTGCAAGGAAACTCACCCAATGTGCATGTTACAATCAAGAACATTACACCAAGTGCTTCGGGCTCCTCTTTTTCCGACTTTAGCAATAGATCTACACTGACCCCCCCTCCAAGTACACAGCCACGACGAAAGCATCCTAGTCTTGAGAAGTTATCTTTGCTGCCGCTGTCCCCCAAACACGAGTTGACACCTGAAGATGGCCCTATTGTCAAATATCCGCCTATTGGGGACTTGGTCAAGTTGATTGATGTCGAATTCCACCACCTTAAAAGTCAACCAGGTGTTAAATGCATTATTTACAGCTGGTGTCCGAACATCTGAACAAGTTGTTGTTATGCCCGTCAAAAAGCTGAGCCCTGTAGGAAAAATGGGTGATGAAAGGGCTAGGATCATACAATCCTATGCAAAATGTTGCATCCTGTCAGTCTTTGGGTTAAAAGGAAAGGGTAAGGAAACAGCGATAGACATTGCAGCTACTCTGCAACGCTACCACAAACATTCAAAGCATGAGGATGATGATGATATTGAGATAATTGATCTAGGCTGCAAGGAGGTGATTGATGTGGATGAGGAAGATGAGGGTGAGGATGACCAGGACTCGTCATCAGCAACATATAATTGAACTGACCTTTTCATTTTTTCGAAACCATTTTCAGCTAGAAAGTAATAGGGCTTGAACATCAGTAAATTTAGTATAAATATTTTATATGATATACTCACTATCTCTAAACCACCCTCTGGCTTTCTCAGATGTGATTACCGAATATACTGCCTCCCAAATCAATGTGTATGGATCACAACCAGGCCCTTCTGTCTCACCAAGGACATAATCACAATTGTTCCTAAGCCAAGCTTTGACAGCTACATTAATAGAGTAGACTGATAGGAAACTATGTACTCACCTGTCCTCAACAAGCTCGCGGATGCCAGGAACTTTATGCAGTGTAGCGTTGTCGATTACAAGCACAGAATTTGGCAGAGGCCAAGGCTGTATCTGATTGAGGACTCCCTCCACAAACTCGGCAAAGTCCTTCTCTGTAAAAGGACGGTCTAGTACCTCTAAATGCAAGACTCCATCTAATGATATGGCAGGTAATATAGAGTAAGGACGACCACGGACAAAAAAATCCCTACGCCTTGCATGTTCTCCACATGGGGCCCAGGCATATTGACGGTGCAGTGTAAGCTGGTTGAAATGTGTCTCGTCTGCAAAAACCAGTTGTTCTGGGAGGTAGTACTCCCCAATAAGCATCTTGAATAAAGCACGGTCATCCTCATCTTGTTCACGGGCAGGGCGAGTGACCTACAATAGAAATCTGTCAGAAAGCGCACAATATATGAACAGATCACTTACTTTCTTCATGGTGAATTCTTGTCTCTTCAAGGTCCTGAGAATTGTCACAGCTGATACCTTAATGCCGCATACCTCCTTAAGTTGCTCCTGTAACTCTGAGAGGATCATATCAGGCTGTTTTTCAATGCAGCCTTCAAGGAACTAATCAAAAACTTGTTTTATCAGCACATCAGAAGATTAAAAGAAAAAACTTACACTCGCTTCTAAGCCATCAAAGGCACAAGGTTGTCCTTGACAAGCTGGTTGGTGTCCCACTTCACCAGTGTCCCGAAAGGTCTTCCGGATGCGCCTGATGGTCCGTTGACTGATTCCTAGGTAACGGCTAACATGTCTGTTTGAGAGGCCATGGATGCAAGACAATTTGTACGCTAGTATCTTCTGCTCCTTGGGAATATGGTGCCGCATGCTGGTTGAGGGTTGATTAGTCTCTCCCAGATCACTTCTGGTTCTTCCCGAAAATATACACTCCGCTGAAGTCTGCCTGCACACTAACTCATTGGATAGTTCTATCGTTATAAAATCAGCTGTAACATCAGTAAACAATGCTTTGCCACAGTGATGGTGATGAGGATGTTGACAGCGGACTCCCAATAAAATATGAATATAAAAAAAGTGATTATATTATCAGCTTCTACATTCAGCCATTGTAACACCCTCAGTCCCCCTTGAGCTACATCTTGGATTCGAACTGAGCAAGTCACCAACTTGAGACCATAACCTTGTTGCGAGGTCTTGAAATTTGGACGCCATGTCCCGAACGCAGAACTCCTCAATCAAGATTGTTCATTGAGCCGCTCAACCTAATTGCCTGAAATAGAATAAACATGATATTAGAATATTGATCTGTGTTACTTAAGAAAAGGTATTTTATTGAGAGTCCGCTGTCATCATCCCCATCACCGTCACTGTGGCAAACCATTGTTTACTGATGTTATGTTCCAGCCATTATGGAGAAAAAGCGAGGGACGTTCAAATTTTTGAGTCATGTGATGTATTTAAATTAATTTAATTTTTATTTTTGTATATCATCTCAACATCAAAGCACTAGGACAAATCCCTCCTCTCTCAAAATAGAGGGTGGGTAGGAGACTGGAGTTAGGGCTTTGTAAGTGACACATGACAAGCTGACAGTTCTTGCTCTTAGTTTGCAGCTGTACAGTTATCCAGTGCAAATCCTCATAAAAGATCAAACACCAATCATCTTATCCTCATTCCCTCTTCCTCTCAGATTCACATTAGAAAATTCTTGTCTTCGACTTCTCTCCAATAATTTTTTCTATTTTCACAATGACTTATTCCACTGTTCCACCTCCTGGCAATAACAACAATGCAGCACCATCCCTTCCTAGTGGTTCAATTCCTCTAACATCTTTGACTACAAATCCGTCCAACACTGGTGTGACAAATTCCTCAGTTACAGTTGACATTCTCATAATGCATATAACTGTTCCCAGCATATGCCTATACATTATGAGATATATGCAACACAACAAATGTCACAATTTGTGACCAAATTATGCACATGTGTGACTATTGTGGTGCGGCTACCATTCCACTTCTATCAATGTCAATGCTACCACCATAAAACACAGCTACTTGTGCCAAAAATCCATCAATGATGCCTGCTTTGCATTCTTTAACTCATCGTGCCGCATGGTACCACAAAAATGATGAAGCTTTCAAATCAGCTCAAGTGAACATCCATCAGCTTCACCATATGCAATACATGCCGCTTCCAGTTTCTTGCATATCTAGATGGTATCAATCCGACTTGGCACCAGCATAGTCTCATCTTCCTCTTCTGAATCAATTTCTATAGCCTCACCATTCTCTGTGTCCACTTGATGATGAGCATTTGCAGCTATTTTTTTGTCATGTCCTTCAAAATCAAACTTATTCTCACCAACTTTCCTATCTTCTACAGGATCTAGGATTTTATCCAAAGAAAGTATCTATTAAGAACAAAGCTTGAAGGAAGTGTCTAGCCACTTGCTGAGAGCAATCAGGGACTGGAACTAGAGTCCAATGTGAGTAACTTAAGAATAGGAAGCATTGGACTCTGCAGTACTGTCCAAAGTTTTGTAAACAAAGGTAAACAAAGCAGCCACAAAGGCGAAATAATAGAAAACACAATCAATAGTGAATGATAGAAGAATAGATAGAGAAAGGAATGAAAAAATATAGGTAGCACAAAGGTGCAGAATCACCAAAACTAACACTCCCCCCTGATGCTGCACCTCCCAAGCATCAGCTCCCCCCTGATCTAATAAGTCCCATCATCTTCCTGAACACTTCCACTTTAGGCTTGGCAAGAGCCTTGGTCAACAAGTCTGCAGGCATTTCAGCAGTGGGAACAAAGGTAGGAGCAATCTGCCCAGAGTCAACAACATCTCTCAACCAATGCCATCGCAGATCAAGGTGTTTCATCCAACCATGGTGCTCAGGGTTCTTGGATACAGAGATGGCAGATTGGTTGTCAATATGAAGGGTGGAAGGAGAGGTGATAGGATATCCCATTTCCTTCAACAAATTTCGCATCCAGCAAATCTCTTTGCCAGCCTCAACAGCAGCAATGTATTCTGCTTCAGTGGTGGACAGAGCAACAATGTTCTGAAGCTTGGAGCTCCAGGAGATAGCACCAGATCCCATCTTGACAATATAGGCACCAGTAGAACGACCAGAGTCCTTGTCACCACCATGATCAGCATCAGAGAAAGTGGTGAAGAGTTCAGTGGAATTAGGATCAGGACCAAGGACAAGGGAATGATCAAGGGTGCCTTGCAAGTAGCGGAACAAGTGCTTGACAGCGCTCCAGTGAGTAAGACCAGGATTAGAGTTATATCTGGCAAGGACTCCAACAATGTAGGCAATGTCAGGACGAGTGGTAGTGGCCAGATACATCAGAGCACCAACAGCAGCAAGGTAGGGAATGTCCTTCATCAAAGCAGCATCACTGGATGTTTTGGGAGACATGTCCTTGGTGAGGCGCAAACCAGGATCCATGGGAGTGGACACAGGCTTGCAGTCCTTCATGCCAAAGCGCTCCAGAATGTCCAGAGTGTACTGATGTTGGGAGAGGGAGATGGTGCGATTACTTAGGTCTCTAGTGATGGAAATGCCAAGTAGGTAAGAAGTAGGGCCAAGATCACGAAGCTTAAAGTGCAGGGAGAGGTCCTTGACAGCTTGGTCAAGTGCAGAAGTAGAAGTGGATGCCAGTGTCATGTCATCAACAAAGACAGGCAGGATAATGCGCACATCAGCTCTGTTAAAGACATAGATGGCAGAGTCTGAATAAGTACACTTAAATCCGAGTTTTTCAAGCACAGTGTGCATCTTCTGGTTCCACATTCTGCCTCCCTGCTTTGTCCCATAGATGGCTTTGTCCAACTGGCAAACAAGATTGCAAGGACCCTGATGGAATCCCTCTGGCTGATGCATGTAGACCTTGACATCCATGACTCCATTCAGGAATACATGGGAAATGTCAATGGAGCGCAAATGGAGGTTGTGGATGGCTACAATGGCAAGGACAACTCTGATGGATGATATGCGGACAGTAGGTGCAAATATTTCGAGGAAATCAAAGCCAGGGCGCTGGTTATAACCTTTGGCCACATATCTGGCCTTGTAGCGCTCAACAGTGCCATCTGAGTTGCGCTTGATCTTGAAGACCCACTTGCCACCAATAGCCTTGACTCCAGGAGGTAGTTCCACTAGTGACCAAGTACCATTGCGCTCATGAGCTTGAAGCTCTTCCATGGCTGCCTCTCTCCATTTATCTGCATCAGGACACTTCATTGCATCTGCAAATGACCTAGGCTCAGCAGGAGGTTGATTCACAGGTGGTTTTGCATCAAGGTCCAAATGAGGCCCATTGTCAGGCAATGGCTGAGGCTGCTGAAGCGCAGCTGGTGGGCCCATATCTCCCCCTGGACCTGGTGCAGGGACATCCTCAATCAGGCCCAATGGCATGGATAGTGAAGGTGGAGTGGGAGGTGGAGGTGGGACATTGTCAGAAGACCTCTTCAAGCCAGGGAAGTAGCACTCATCAAAATCAGCTCTCTCAGAGATAACAGTGCGCTTGGTGGTAGGATTGTAGAATTTCCATCCCTTGTACCCCTCAGGGTAACCAATAAACACACATTTCTCCATATGAGAGCCAAAGACGCCTCTTTTGTCCTTTTGCACATGCACATAGGCAGTGCAGCCCCAAACGCGAAGGTGAGACATGTCAGGCTTGTGTCCATACCACAACTCAAATGGAGTGGCATGGGCCACTGCATCAGTGGGACACCTGTTCCAGACATGCACCAAAGCGGACAGACATTCACCCCAAAAGCTGTTAGGCAATGCAGACTCTGATAACATGGCAGTGATACGCTCAGTCAGAAGTCTGTTTGCTCGCTCTGCCACACCATTCTGCTGAGGACGATTCCTGGTGGTATGCTGTCTGACAATCCCATGGTCATCTGTGAATTGCTCAAATTCCTTGGACATGTACTCTCCCCCTTTGTCATTGCGCAGAGCCTTGATTTTACGCTCCAATTGAGTCTCAGCATAAGCCTTGAATCTCTTGAAAGCATCAAAGACATCTGACTTGGCCTTGAGAGGCACAACAACACGGAATTGACTGTGATCGTCAATGAAGGTGACCCAGTAGCGATAACCAGAGAATGTGGGGGAAGAGACTTGGTGTACATCAGAATGGATGAGGTCCAAAGGATGAGCAGAGCGAGTATCAGATGAGGGGAATGGATTGGCATGCATCTTGCCAGACAAGCACGGTTCACAGACAGGATCAGGAGCAGCCTTGGATTCCAGTGTAAGCCCAGTGACCAGATCTCTCTGTATCAGTCTCTTGACATCAGCATGATGGTGGTGAGCCAATCTGCGATGCCAGAGCATCAAATCAAGTGGTATAGTCGCAGTAAAATGTCCCAATTCAACACAAGCAGCAGTAGATCCATCAAGGAATGCTGCATTGTTGTCATTGATAGTTGCAGTGAACAAAAGAGTGTTGTCACGCATAAAGGACATGGAATGAGATGAAATAGTGACATTGAAACCACTTTGACGAGTTAAATACAAGACTGAGAGGAGATTATTTCGAAGATCTGGTACATGGAGTCCCAGAAGACGATGGTTACGATGGATAAGCAGTAGGACACTTGGATGGTGAGATATGAGGTCTGGAAGATGGCTAGAGCACAGGGCTCATAACCTGATAAAATTGGATATTGACCAGACCAGGGATTGAACCTGGAACCTTCTGGATACATGCCAGCTGCTCTACCAATTGAGCTATATGGCCAAGGTTATACAATGTAGGATCTTAAACATGACATGCAACCATGGACGTCTTACACAGAATAGCTGCTGCATACTGGGCTGGCTTACAAATCAGAGGTATTATCCTATGGAGTATTGGTATGTCAGAGTATATTCTAACAGTATCTTTCCAAAGACATGGTTTCTGTCTCGAAGAAGTTTGACAGGCTTGGTGAGCTGAGTTTCAAGATTTGTTAATTGCAACAGTGAACTTTGTGATTTTGCTGGAATTTTGATTGCAAATTTCTCAACAGCTTGGGTTATCCTGTCATTGTCCCCTTCTGCATCCATCACAGCTTTGAGGGGAGCAGCCCAATCAGCTTCTCAATAACTTTCACCAAGGCACTCCTTTAGGCTGTGTTCAGCTTCCAGTAATAACATCTCTGATGTTGTGAATTGACAGATGATGCAATAGGATCACCCTGTGCCGGGTGCTGGGATGGTGCTTCAAGTGTTACGATAACCCATTTTCGGACCTTTAATTTTCATTCTCCTCTTTAACCTTTTACTATAGTTTTCACACTCCGTGCCATGTGGCACTTTCCCTTTTGTTCAAACTCCACTTTCTCACGCTGCACTACCTTTCTTTCTATTTTAGATACAAGTCTCTCATGCAGTGGAGCTGGTCACACGGGCTGCACCCTCTGACATCATCAGCCACTGCCTTTATCAACTGTATAGTACATATGTACAAACAAACCTGTAATAGTATATATACCCCAATAGATCAAGGAGACTCCTCAGCGAGTCCTCCTGTTGTATCCTCACAACTAACTTGTTGAAGCCTAAAGGGTAACCACTCCCTCTTTGTTATCTTTTGGCTTGTCTGAGTTGTGCGCTGGAGTAACAAACTCTTGGTTGTTACATTAGGACTTGCTCTTTTTACTCTCTCGCACGTTGTGCAAATCCGGACCCCAGGGTTAAGGGGATAGTGTTATTGTTTAGGGATATCCCATATAGCAAAAGGGTGCGCTCTTCGCGACGGCTCTGTAGTGCTCTGGGAGAAAGGACTATCACATTTTTTTTGATACACGGCCCCCAGTGTTAAGAGGAGTACTTTAGCTCAGCAATAGTGTGGAACTATTGTTGATTAGAATCTACATACAAAACTTCTTCTTCAAATACCTCTGACCAGGCTGGGCATTTGCCTCCGCCAGTCTGGAGAAGGGTTGACAGCTAAACAAGCGGACCACCCCCTGACAACCATTTGGACCAGGGTTTAATTAACATAATTTTTACATACATTTTAAAATACTATAGTGTGGGTGGTCGGAGATTGAGATCCAATACTCAACTGGGAAAAGGTAGATCAGCAGATAGCAAGTGGGGAACCCCAGTTACCTTTTTTTACATTACCAAAGAGAACAAGTCGACATGTTGTTGCAAAGCCAACCTGACGTCAACACTCTGTTGCACAACATGCATGCACAGATTTTGGCGTTGACTACACAACTCGCTGAGCTGCAGGTGAACCCCGCCGCAGCAACCCCCTCGGTTGAGAAAAAGTTTCACAAGAAAGTCAAAGTTGTCGCTGACCCTGGCGCCTTTGAAGGAGACAGAGAGCAATTCACCGAGTGGTGGATCAAACTCCAGATTTGGGTCAAGGCAAACTGGGATGCGTTTGCCGACAATTTTGAGGTAGCTACTGCGGTGCTATCTCGGCTAAAAGGACCTGTGGCAGGTTGATACACCCAAGTTAGAATGCAGGAGTGCTACACTGCGGGAGTGTGGCTTGTCTGGGACGATCTCAAAGTCGAGAACAAAAAATATTTCAAACCGCAAGCTGAGCGTGACTGGGCACGTCAGCAAATCCGTTCCTTCAAGCAAGGCAACATGAGGACAGACCATTTCGTAACCTGGTTCCTGGCCCTCTCCATCCAAGGGGGTTTAGGTAATGAGCATGCAGTAGAACTGCTGGAACGCAATGTGAACCCCCACATTACAGAACAGCTTTATCTGCAGGATATGAGGAGTGACAACCTCTCCCAATCAAATCACTCTCACGGGTTGCAACCAGGACGGGGTGCTCCTATAGATATTGGCGTGGTCCAGGGTGGACAAAAACGCAGATTCACCTGCTTCAGCTGTGGACAGGAGGGGCACATGGCCCGAGATTGTACAAACAGAGTGCGGGCCACTCACCAAAAAAATAACCAAGGGCGCCAGGCGCGCCAATTAGAAACCGAAAAACCAGACAATCAGCTTTACACTCTGGCCGGCCGGTCCTATGATGAAATCCGGGCCTTCTTTTATGACCAGCAGGTCAACAAAATGAAGGCTCAGGGAAAAGAGTTCGGAGCTTAGGTCACTTGGGTACCTTCACTCCTCAAAACAATGAAGTAAACCACAATAAGGTGGCCCCTGCTCCGGGGTGTTGTACGAGCAATAATGGGAAGAAGGGGATGGCTCCCCAATTTGTAAATAAATGACTAAATTTGTTATCTGAAGTATGTACTTGTATACAAAGCTGTGACTGTGGATTCATCTTGGACCCACCTGACAATATGGCTGCTTTGAGCACTGATTCAGAGGTTCAAGATGATGAAGGAGTTAATGCTAAAAATACTTACAAAACCACCACTGTACCAGTGTCTCCCCTGGAGGGTGGCCCCGGAGAGACAAACAATAGGGTGCTTAATTATGGTAAAAATAAAATAGAAAAACATGTTTCTTTTGATACTTTTTCTTCTTTGGAGCCACCCTTTCCCAAAATCCCAAGGTGTGTGTTGATGCGCACATATTTATTCCAAAAGAAGATCTGTTTAGACATTGGCGTGGAAAACCTTGCCCGAGGCATAGTACACCCAACTAGTGCACTGCTTGATTCAGGCGCAAACAGCATCTTCATAGATCAGGTCTGGGCGGAGCAAGTTGGACTGCCTCTTGTAGAATTAGATGTATCTATTCCCGTCTATAACGTTGACAGTACACTTAACGCGGGTGGCTGTATCACAAACAAATGTTCTTTTGTTGTCAAGTACCAAGGACACAGAGAACGAGTCACCGCTGAAGCTACCAAAATAGGGAAGATTAATTTAATCTTGGGCTGGACCTCACTATTTAAACACAATCCTGAGATCGACTGGCAGACAGGGGTTGTCACATTGTCATGTTGCCCTCAGGAGTGTATAAACTTGGGTAAACCAAAACATGTCTGTCAAAATGAGTGTATAGAAAAGAGGAATGCTGGTCACGTTTATGAGCTCAGATCTTTAGAAAAGATCAATGATGACAATGACGAGGTGAAACCTGAGGAAGAGATTAAGAGGCTGGTACCTCCCAAGTACCATGACTTCTGGAAAGTCTTTTCCAAACATAAATCAGAGCGCTTTCCAGAAGCTAAGCCCTGGGACCATGCTATAGATTTGAAGGACACATTCAAACCTAGAAAGGGACATATAACTCCCCTCTCTGCTCCAGAAAGAGATGAGGTTTTTGGTTTCATAGACGAATAGCTTAGGATAGGTTACATCAGACCTTCCAAGCGCCCTATGACATCCCCGGTGTTCTTCATTCCTAAAAAGGATGGAAAGAAGCGCATGATTATGGACTATCATTATTTGAATGAGTATATGGTTAAAAACGCATATCCGCTGCCTTTGATCAGTCAGCTAGTAGACAAATTGGCTGGCACCAAGATCTTAACAAAGATGGATCTTAGATGGGGGTACAATAATGTATGCATCAAGGAAGAAGATGCTTGGAAGGCCATGTTCACGTGCCACCGAGGATCCTTTGAGCCCCTTGTCGTGTTCTTTGGGTTGACCAATTCACCAGCAACCTTCCAGAGCATGATGAACGAGATCTTTGCGGATATGGAAAACTGTATCGTCATTTACATCGACGATTTATTAATATTTACGAAGTCAGACAATGAGGCTGAGCAAACCCGAAAAATGTAATTTTAAAGTGAAGGAAGTAGACTTCCTTGGTATGATAATTGGCCAAAATGGAACCAGAATGGATCCTGAGAAAGTTCAAGCTATATCGGATTGGCCAGGACCTACTTGCGTCAAAGGAGTTAGGGCCTTTCTTGGCTTAGGCAATTTCTACCAAAGGTTTGTGGAAAAATTTGCAAAGATAATGAGACTGTTGAACGATCTTACTAAAAAGGACATTGTCTGGAATTGGGGTGCCAAAGGACAAGAAGCTTTTGATAAGCTTAAACAGGCATTTACAACAGTGCCCATATTAGCATTTCCTGAGTTAGACAAAGAGTTCCGGCTAGAAACCGACTCTTCTGATTTTGCTACTGGGGCTGTTCTGTCAATTAAATGCCTTGACAATCTTTGGAGGCCTTATGCCTATTTATCACATAGTTTGTCGCCTACAGAGCGCAACTATCAAATTTACGATAAGGAGATGCTGGCCATCATTCGAGCTTTAGAGCACTGGCGGCACTACTTAGAAGGTGCCAGGCACCAATTTGAAATTTGGACTGATCATAAGAATCTGGAGTATTTTATGACGGCCCAAGGCTTGAACCAAAGACAGGCTTGCTACGCGGTGTACCTGTCTAGGTTTAATTACAAATTAATTCATAAGCCTGGAACTTTGATGGGGAAAGTGGACACTTTGTCCAGAAGAGAGGATCATGCCAACGGCATCGAAGATGACAACAAAGGTGTCACCCTGATAGACCAATCAAGGGTTGCCAATGTTAGAATTGGGCAGGATTCCAATCTTCTGGAAGTCTTCAAGAAAGACATCTCCTCAGAAGAGAAGGCGCACCTTGACGGCAATAAAAACTATTGATGGAAAGATGGGCTCTTCCACTTTAAAGACAAAATATATGTGCCTGAGTCTGCAAGGATCAAGCCAATAGATAGACATCACAACACTCCAGTGGCTGGGCACCCTGGGTGGCAATGAATGATGGAGTTCATCTCCAGAAACTACATGTGGCCTGGCATGGTCAAAGATGTACAGGAGTATGTAAAATCCTGTCTGAGATGTGCCATGGCAAAGAACTCTCATCAACCGCCGGCCGGTAAGCTTATGCCAAATCCAATACCAGCTGGTCCCTGGCAAGATATATCGGTCAACTTCACGACGGATCTGCCTTAGTCAAACGGGTACGATTCAGTAATGGTGGTAGTAGATTGCTTCTCCAAAGAAGTAGTATTTATTCCCACCAATAAAACTATTACCGCCGCTGGCACGGCAGATTTATTCAAAGATTTTATATGGTCTTTCCATGGGTTACCAGAAATGGTTATCTCCGATAGAGGACCGCAATTTGCTAGTGAATTTATGAAAGAATTATGCCGGATGCTGGGCATCAAACCTAAAGTATCAAGGGCTTTCCATCCGCAGACTGATGGACAAACGGAGAGGCTCAATCAGGAATTGAAGCAATACCTCCGGATATTTATTAACAATAGACAGACGAATTGGGCCAAGTGGCTAAAGATAGCCCAGTTCTTATATAATATTAAACAGTTGTTGGCTACAGGAAAGACACCATTTGGGGTTATGAGATCATGGGTGTAGAACCTGGCAAAAGCAAAAACGAGGCTGCTGGGAACATGGTCAAGGATATGAAGTCCGTTTTAGACAAAACACGCAAGGCACCATTCAAAACTGCAGAGCAAATGAAAGACAGGGCAGAGCATAGATGCTCTAAGGCCCCTGACTACAAGGTCAGCGACCTGGTCTGGTTAGACACTGACCACTTAAAGTTAAAAGATTGGCAGTCTAGAAAACTGACCAAAAAGTGGATTGGACCTTACCGGATTAAGGAAGTCAAACCCAACGCAGTGGAGCTGGAACTCCCAAAATGAATGAGGTTAGTACCCACGCTTAATATTAGCCGTGTGAAAACCTATAAAGGGCCGCTGCCGGGACAGCGCGTAGACTGGCCCGGACCGGTTGTAGTCACCCAGGAAGGTGAGGAAGAGTTCAAAGTCAAACAAGTGGTGGATGCATGCTTAAAGCGTGGAAAATTAGAGTTCCTAGTCCTATGGAAGGGCTATGGAGACGAGGACAGAACTAAAAATCCCTCAGCTCCTAGGAATCTTAGAGGCATGGATTCTAAACTTTTCAATTCCCTTTTTCAACCTATGCCCAAAAGTCTAACTGCTACCTCCGGTACTTGGTCGGGCCTGGAAGTCGAGCCTTAGAGGGGGGTAGTGTTACGGTAACACATTTTCGGACCTTTAATTTTCATTCTCCTCTTTAACCTTTTACACAGAATTCCTCCGGAGCAATGGGGGAGGAGAATATACTGGAAATACATTCAAAAATCAACTCCGAGGAGATGGTGTCATCCAAGAAACTACAGCTGCAGATACTCCGGAACAAAATCGCATTGCAGAACGCATGAATCAGACATTGGCTACATTAGCAACCACTATGCTCCATGATTCCAAGCTCCCAAAGTCATTTTGGGTAGATGCCATGCAAACAGCTGCATATATCACAGCACGCAGCCCAGCATCAGGACTCCATGGAAAGACCCCATATGAAATACTGTTTAAAAGGAGAGTTGATCCAACTTTGTTTCGCCCTTTCGGATGCCAAGCATATGCCTTGATTCCGAAAGACAAAAGGCAAGGGAAGTTTTACTCCAAGAGGCGCAAAGCTATAATGATTGGCTACACACATGGAAAGCAAGCCTACAAACTCCTAGACACTGAAAAACAAACTGTGTTTTCCAGTTGGCATGTCATATTCAGTGAATCCGGAAAGGTACAAAAGGACGACACTGCTCCCTGGAACACAGACACTAGCACAAATCAGTGGGAGGGACTCATTCCAGAGAATGCTCACTATCCAGACCAAAATACATTGGAGGAGGATGATCCTGACCCTCGGATCCAAGATCCAAATGAATTGCAAATGGAACCACATCTCCAAGGAGATATTCCACAAGCAATGGAACCATATCAGCATGAAGATGTTCCGAGAGCAGTGGGAGCACCTGATCAGCTAAGACACCCTCCACAACAGTCTCTACAACCAAGACCTGAACACTGGCCATCTTCAGAACGGAAAGCCAAAGTAGAGTTACAGTCAGTGGGAGGACAGCCCCTCAACATACAGCCAGCTGATGTGGAAAAAGTCCGAATACAGCTAGACAGCCTGTCCATTGGATCAGCTTCTGGAAGGCATACAACACCTCCAAGGAGTCATCCAACACCTCTGAGGAGTTATCCAATGCCTCCAAGGAGTGATTCAACACCTTCAGGAGTGAGTGGGGCAACAAATACACAAATGTGTCTACTCCCTGGAGTACCTGCACAAGTTCCTAAAAGAGCAGTCATGCCTGCTGAAGTCCTAGGAGTATGCAGAAGCAGTTGCCA